ATAATTCTCTTTTATTAATATACAGTCAATACATTTCAAATTTACTCTCCATAATTTCTCCCAGTCCTCTAATTGTATCTTGTGCCCACTTAATCATTGTGAATTTCACCTCCTAATCTTTGGTCTCCCATTCTAATAAAATACTATGCATCTTTTTTTAATAGTTTAAAATTTTCATCTTCAATTTCTTTCTGGAATCTAGATACTGTATAACAAAAACCTTTCTTGTTATCTTCTTTAAATATCTGATTAAATTTTTGATATTGCAACCAATCTTGAACATGTTCTCTTATTTCATCAAAATCTTTTAAGTTTCAATTTTCCTTCTTTCTCCTCTAACAATTCTCTATGTGTAGGCCAGACTTTTTCCTCTATTTATTTTTTTGACTATTATTATTTCTATTGGCCCACTTTTGGCCTCATTAATGTGGTCCAAAGGAAAGCGGAGCAATTTGTTTGGCACCAGCTTGGCTGCAGGAGGCTTACAAGGCGCCATCCAACCGTCTTAGGGACTCTGCTCTATATAGGATTTACTCCTTAGCCTTTTCTTCTCCTGAAGATTTCCTGCAATGCAGCGGAGGTTTAGGATCAGAGCTTTCCTTCTCCTACTTGGGCTACCTTCGAAGGTTGAGGAGCCCCATCTGTCCCTAATCTGTCTATAGGATACCCTTTAAAAAATATATGAATGAATCAAGGTTGCATGTGCTAATGCTTGTTCTGATTTTTCTTTTAGGAAGGCTATGTCCTGCTATAACTCTTGAGAATGGCAGAATAATAAAAGCAACAGACTTGCGACTAGGTGATGAAATAACTCTAGGCTGTAATGAGGGGTGAGTTTTAAGTCAACGTTTGTAACACCTTGCTTTGTTTAAAACTCCTGGGAGGGGTTGGTGACAGACACATATTAACTGCTACCATATTAAGCATTACTGTACTCTTAAAAATCAGCTCTATCTTATAATTATAATCATGGGTGTCCACAGAGAGGGTATGGAGGGGAGTAAATGCTCCAAATAAATTAATAAAGAGGGAACAGATCTACTGTTTCTGGTTGATTTTACTACCTAAGCAGTGGCAATTTGTATTCAGATTTTTCATTTTGTTTCCAGGCAGCCCTCTGTTTATGCACATTCAATATGGGAGCAACTGTGTATATGCACATTGCGCCGAACCTGGAAGTGACCTGCAAAAACATCATAAAGATGTCACTGAAACATCATGGGGTGGAGCAGGGTGTTTGCAGGTTTTTTCCAATGGGTTTTAATTAAACATGATTTAACCAGCATGCACAGTGCTTTGGAACGTAACCCCGGTTAAACAGGGCTGCCCATAATTCTCATTTGGCAGAACCGCTGTCTTTCTATGGTTGGACGGCATCTGAATGTCTTTCCAATCACTACTGAAATCCTCAATTCTTTCCCTGTTTCCATTTGCTCCTTGCAGCCCTTAAGTGATTGCACTGCTGCTACAAGCCACTTCACAGCTCACTTCACAGAAAAACAATATGCCAGAATAGCACCATTACCATTAGATGATGATGATGATGATAATAATAATAATAATAATAATAATAATAATAATAATAATAATTTATTATTAGACTACACTTCAGGGTTGTCATGTATTACTCTAACTTTTCCCTTTCTCCAGCAAAATAGCAAAATAGATATAAGAATATGTTGCAGGGCTTGTTTAACCCACACTTTTGCAGTCACAGTCCTGCCCCTTGCAATATGGTAAAATAATGATGGGTTTTACAGATAGTTGTGTTGGTAATGTGATTTTTTTTAATGGTAATCAAAGGTGGGAACTCGCATAGTTTTAATGAAATACTACATGTTTAAAAGATAATGAATTGCTGCCTTTACTGCTCCCCTTTGTTTTTAAGGTGACATTCCACTCCCCATCATAGCGCAGTGCAAAACCCTCATTAGATACCTGAATTGCATTTCAAGTAGTCCATATTGACCTGAGGAAGTGCACTATAATGAAATTAGAAAGCCCAGGCTCTCTTATGAAAGCACTACAGCCTATCATCCAAGCTATCAAGGTTTTTATGTTGGTATGACTTTATCTGGGCACTCTTTTTTTAAAAAAGAAATAATTCTGTATTGTAAAGTGAAGTGAATTGCTAGGTTGTTTCAACTTAGACTGACAGCAACCAGAGACAAGACTTTTCAGTTGCAGTACCCCATCTATGGAATCCTCTCTTCAGGAAACTTCTCCTGACCATATTTTTGTAACATTTCAGCAACAACAGAGACTTTTTACTTGGACTTACTACTTGAACAGATTTTAATACTACTGCTGTTAATATTCATACTGCTGTGTTGTTTCTTTCTGCTTTTGTACTGGTGGTGGTTGGTTTCATTATTTTCTTTTTGTGTCAACTAGCAGAATTGTGACACTGTAGGGGAGAGTATAGTCTAAATAAGGTATATGTACTGGCTAAGATATATCCTCTAACTGCACACCTACACCCTTTGCACTAAAATATAAGGTTTCTCTTTCCCTTTAGGTACAGAATAATAGGCCAAAAGACTCTTCGATGTTCCCTTATAGACAGCAAAGTTGTTTGGAATAGAGATCTTCCACTTTGCCAACGTAAGATGATTTGTTAATTCTAGCTTATTAAGGTTAATCTCAATGTGTTATAGTGTGGCTCTGTTTATTGCAAGTGTGCAAGTGTCCTCAACCAATATGTAAACTCAAGATACTTTCTGATCTTGTTCCAGATACTCACCATAATTGTTGTTTCCAACCAGCTGGCTGTATTTCTAGCTTTCCCCAGAGCAGGAAATTTGTGCAATGAAATACAGTGGTACCTCGCAAGACGAATGCCTCGCAAGACAGAAAACTCACAAGAAGAAAGAGTTTTCCGTTTTTCGAGGTGCTTCGCCAGACGAATTTCCGTATGGGCTTGCTTCGCAAGAAGAAATCGCCCCGGGACAGCGGAGGCTTCGCTGCCACCCGCCAGCATTTTAAAATCGCCCCGGGACAGCGGAGAAGTCTCCGCTGTCCCAGGGGCTTTTAAAATGCTGGCGGTCGGCAGCAAAGCCCTCCTGTCCCCGGAGCTTGCGGGGCGGGAGGTGGGGAGAAGGGCTTTTCTTCCCACCGCCAGCCTTCAGAACAGCCTTCTGAAGGCTGGCGGTGGGAAGAAAAGCCCTTGTCCCCCCCCCCAGCCTTCAGAAGAGGTCGGGGGACAGACTGTCCCCAGACCTGGTCTGAAGGCGGTTTCCATAGGAACGCATTGATTGATTTTCAATGCATTCCTATGGGAAACCATGCTTCGCAAGACAAAAAACTCGCAAGAAGAAAAAACTCGCGGAACGAATTAATTTCGTCTTGCGAGGTACCACTGTAACATGTGTTAGTTGACAAAATCACATGTTACTGGGAATTCATGAAATTGGTATTAGAGGAGAGAGGAGTTAGACGCATAAGACATTAGAGCAGGGAACCTCTGCCATTCCTTGCAAATGGGTATGTTTCATCAAGAACCCTACACAGCCTGTTCATTAAGCAACTTTTCAGTGTTCCTAGAAACAGAAAGGAATTGTCCCTCTCAATCTAGTATTTAAGTTTTAGTGGAAGTAATGGAAGCAACTTTGCTTCATTATCATTATTCAGAGAGGATCCGAGGGAATAAAGCAGTGTATATAGAACATCCACACATTGGTGAAAGGGGTTAGTTTGAGGACCTCCAGAAGATCCTCTTCTCTGTGGTGATCTTGTATAGGGAGGTAGAGAACCATCCCTGGAGGAAAAGTGGGATAAAAATATATTATTATTATTATTATTATTATTATTATTATTATTATTTATACCCCGCCCATCTGGCTGAGTTTCCCCAGCCACTCTGGGCGGCTCCCAATCAAGTATTAAAAACAATACAGCGTTAAATAGTAAAAACTTCCCTGAACAGGGCTGCTTTAAGCAGATTAAAGAAGTAAAAAATTATTAGACTTTAACATATTCCATTTTTTTAAACCTATTTTTCTTGGGCTCACCTTTTTGCTTGGGTGTTTAAAATTTAACAATGGCCTGTGAGGAGTCTGAATTTGCGTCATTCACTGGTTGCCCCATATCATTTTGGGGGACCTATCTTCTTCTGGAGTTAGTATTCCACATGTGTGTGGATTGAGGAGGAATTGGCCGGATTATGTACCTTGATTACTGGAAGCCTCCTGAAACATCATTTAACTTTTCAGCTGAAACAGTTCCTTCTTGGCAACTTTGCATAGCTTTCAAGTGGCTTTGCCGGGTAGGAATGTTCTCTCCTCCTTCCAGTGGTTTTCAGGGGTTCAGGCTTTGTTATTTCTCTGTGTTCAGCTGTGAAGACAGCCTTGTCTCCACTGACATACACGGGGAGAAATAAAGGCTGTACCCCGGGTAATAGTGAGGAAGCTGAGGATAGTGGAATCCCTACACAAGGGGCCACAAGGACCATCTTATTCCCTGGTTTTACTGCCTCCATAAATTTCCGTGAAGAAAATAAAGCCCACTGTAAAAATAAAAACTGAGAGGAAGTTTTCTCCATCAAGGAACCTAGGGGCAACAGAGTTTTTGGTTGTGGGTTGCCTTTGTGTGTGTGTGTGTGTGTGTGTACGTGTGTACGTGTGTACTATTTATCCCCCCCCCCTTCAACAGCTTTCTTGATAACTCTTTTTTCCATAGCAGTCCCTGCTCTGAAGTTGGCATGGGGGCTTTGGTTGCTTCCCCTGTGTATATTTAGTGGCAGAAGACCCAGTTTGCTTTGGAGGTGGTTGAAATAGCTTCACAACAGCCCACTGTTTCAATGTTTGGCTGACATCCAAAATGGATGCATATGCCTATAATAAGTATCAAATGATTACTTTATAAAATGATACATCTTTTCAGTGAAAATAAATTTAGTCCAAATATCCCCCCTAATAGGGATGCTCTTGCAATTGTAGTCTAACTGAACTGTTAATGTTGCTTCTGCTTCCCAGGAATCCCCTGTTTCCCCCCTCCTGACATTGCCAATGGCGAACACACTGGCAGAGGTTTCCATGAGTTTGACCATGGCACAGCAATAACATATACCTGTAACCCTACTTTCTCCCTTATTGGAAGCCCAACCATTACGTGTTCAACTGCTGCAGATGGTATAAATGGAGAGTGGCGTCCAGCTGCACCTGAATGTAAAGGTGATGGAAATTTATGTTTAGTAGCTTCCTTGTGATACGTTAATGTAAATAAAGTTCTTGCTAGAATGAGCTATATTTGTAAGCTGCTGCTGTTATTCAGCCTCTGAGGTTTTCAGTGGGATTGAGATGCAGTATGAGATGTGCAATAGCATTGCCCCCTCAATGAGTAGCTTGTTTTAACCTGAGTCATTTTGAGGGAAGCTTATGGCCTGATCCAGTCAAGGATAGCCACTATTAAGTCACATTGAAAACAAAAAAACTTAGATTTAGTTGTGAGTAATTTATTCCATTGAGGGACACGGGTGGTGCTGTGAGTTAAACCACAGAGTCTAGGGCTTGCTGATCAGAAGGTCGGCGGTTCGAATCCCTGCAACAGGGTGAGCTCCCGTTGCTCAGTCCCTGCTCCTGCCCACCTAGCAGTTCGAAAGCACGTCAAAGTGCAAGTAGATAAATAGGTACCGCTCTGGCGGGAAGGTAAACGGCGTTTCCGTGTGCTGCTCTGGTTCGCCAGAAGTGGCTTAGTCATGCTGGCCACATGACCCGGAAGCTGTATGCCAGCTCCCTCGGCCAATAAAGCGAGATGAGCGCCACAACCCCAGAGTCAGACACTACTGGACCTAATGGTCAGGGGTCCCTTTACCTTTACCTAATTTCATTCCATTAGTTTCATTTGGACTTAAGCATTACTACCTTTAGCAGGAATGGGTTGTTGTGCTCAGAGTACATGAATAATCAAAATAATATAAATTTCCTGCAATACATGGAGGGAAGAGTATTAAGTAGTAATTGCTATTCTTTGCTGGGTTTTCTTCCTTTCTTTTTTTTGGCTGTCCATATTCCATGGGCTTTTTGTGTGTTATCTATACTAAACAAAAATGCTTTGAGAAGAAATCAGTAATCACTAAAATACGTAATAACCTAATGTTACCTCTTAGTATAGAGGCATAACACTATATGCTGCATTTCAGCTTCATAGAAAATGACTTGCATATGTGAGTTGCTTTTTTAAGAACAATACTCTGTAGGTAGAAATTGTCAAGTATACCTTGGTGAAATCATTTCAGCAGATGGTCTGTGAGCCAATCAATGATGTAGTCACATTGCTGAAACTAAGCAGATTTGGGTCAGATCTGGGTCAGTTCAGTGCCCAGATGGAAGGAAGGCAGGTTATAAATGTACTAAACAAATAAACACACCCTTTAACATCCAAATCTGAGGCACTGTGTAACCCGGTCCAAAGTTACAGAGGGCTTTAAATAGTTCTTAGCAATCTCTAGAAAGCCGTCCTTGAAGTGTGATCCAGACTATTTTATGGAATTGTAATAGTATAATTGCAGGGACAGTGTTACTGTTTTTAGAGGTTAGTCTTTTGAGTATAATCTGATTTTATCACTTTAATAGTTTCTGTCTTTGAAGCAGTTTATAGACCTGTCAAATAAATAATGTAATATAATGAAGATTATATATTTTTATTCAATCAGTTACAGTGGAACCTCTACTTACGGGCATAATCCGTTCCAGAGGTCTATCCACTGGTCGAAACGGTACGCAAGAAGAAGCGTATTGTGCGCATGCGCATTTGGCGGTAGCACGCTTCTGCGCATGCGCAGACGGCGGCAGCCACTTCTGTGCACACGCAGGTGGCAGAAGCCGCTTCCGTGCATGCGCGAATCATGGCAAATCCGGTTTGTACTTCCGGGTTTGCCGCGGATGCAACTTGGAACGTCTGTGAGACGAAAGGTATGTAAGTCAAGGTTCCACTGTAGTTGTTTAAATCCACAATAAGTGGAATCCTCTTTTGTGTCCACTTTCAATTTGGAATATGCAGATTCTGCTTTAAAAAAAACATTTTGCCAAATTTGGGTGGTTCTTGGTTGTTTGCAAGTATAAAGTCCCTGCTGCTTCTTTGGTGGAGACATTGGCCTGGTTTGCATAGAAGCCACTGTTTAACAAGTCATAAGTAAAGTGCGAATTATCTCACAGATAATGCAAACCATTGCTTGCTTTTCCAGTTTGCTTTCTTTTCCAGTCTCTCTTCCATTGTGTCTTTGCAGTTTGGTGAGTGTCTGAGATGGGGTGGCCAAACAAACCACAGTTAAGAAAAGGGTGCTGCACCCACATGTAATGCCAATCCACAGTTAAAACAAAGTGGAGTTTAAACACAAACAATTTCAGACTGTGGTTTTCTGGCAGTAAATGAACCATAGTTAAATCATTGTGCACAACCCATAGGTTAATTAACAAGTACCTTTTAAAATGCTGCTCATCTCTTTTCAGTTGTCAGCTGCCGTAGACCCTCTATTGAGAATGGAGGATTGACAACTACATTTCGACCTACATATGAATATAATAATATTATAATGTATGTTTGTGAACGTGGATACACTCTGGTGGGCAGCGACAGTAGTAAATGTGGGGCTGACAACGTATGGCATCCTCCTCCTCCAAAATGTCTCAAGGGTAAGTATTAAAAGGGCTCGTTGAGTGGAAAAGCGGGGTATTGTGTTGCACTTTAATGCAGAACATCCATATTTCTTTGCCTCCTCTCTTTTCTTGCAGGTATTTTCACCACTGTTGGTCCAGGTCATGGAAATACAACTTCTAACACAGGTGAATTAGAAAAAATGGGACTTCAATCTCTCAATTTTCAGTTTGTTTGTTTTTTATCTTGGGTCAACTGCTTCAGCTGCAAAGTGAAGTAAGCATGATCAAATCAGGAGTTCAAAAATTTCCAAAGCATTTCTATTTTATGTTTTAATTGAACAATATTTAATTATTAAAATCTTTGTAAGTGGTTTACCAAAAATATACATTAACTGGGGCTGTGCCCTTATTTGTGTAGCTCGCCAGCCCCGCCCGTGTGCCTACCTTTCAGACACTACCTATCTCCCGCATGCTCCCAGCTCCTTACATTCTGCAGTGGCATCTGGTGAGACAGTATGGGTGGGGCTTTGTTGCTTTCCTGACTTCTCAGGTCACAGCCACTTGTCAAGATCAGGTAGAGTGAGGCGCAGGTGTCTGGTGGATCTCTTTGGAGCTTGTTTCTCCAGTAAGCAGCAACCAGCCTGTGGTATTGAGAAGTGGCTTTCCCCTTTCACTACCCACTCCACATGCTTGGGTGACCAACTCACTCACTGTGCTAGCTTGGGCTGCCTGCCACCAATGGGCAGAAGGTCAAAAGCCAGAAGCATTTTCTCTCCTTCACCCTCCCCACCTTAGCCCAGAGAAGAAAGCCTGTAGTTTTGAAATACAGGTTTCCTTCTCTCCAGATTGGTAGCAATGTGGACCTAGCAGCTGCAACTTCCTGGGCAGCTTGCTTGCTTTGCTCACTCCACCAGCCTGTTCAGACATTTCTTTCCGCCCACTGCTAGTGATGAGGGTAGTAATGGTCATGTGCTCCGCTCGCTTGAGGCTTTCCCCATCCTGTTTAAACTTGACTGCTCATGTGCACTTGGACACCAGCCCAATGATGTACAAGTACAAATAAAGTGTTATAGAGAAGGTACAGATAAAATCTGATGTTAAAAACAAATTGGTCTATGAAAAATTCAAAATACAAATAAGATCAGCAGTTTAAAAAATATGCATGTTAACTTTCTAAAGCTTATTCCACAGACAATATGAGAAAAACCTGTTTGTGTGAATCTCATTAATGGCACCCCATACAGAATTTTCTGACTATTAATTTTGAAAGAAGGCATAAATGCATTAGTAGTCAGCACCTGAGAGTGAAAGTGAAAACTTGAAACTGGTAAACAATTCCTTTTTACTCTCATGGAATTAGATTTATTATGGAAATTATGTACTGCTCCTCAAGAGAAATTTATAGGTCTGTTTGTGTGTTTGGTCATAGTGTCTTGAGCTCAAAGTGCAAAGATGCAGAGGGAGATAGAAATGCCTATACAATTTAAATCATTGCTCCACCTATGTGGTTTGGTCTGCTCTGAGTAGCAACAGCTTTTCAAAGGCTTTTTTGGAGTAAATACTTTTCTCAGTCCCGATACACAGTGTCCTTTAGTTGGGAGGCTATGATGGGCCTTAAAAACAGACAAAACTGAAGGTTTTGATGCCGTAGGTTCTCAGTAATATGTAGGCTGCCTAGTAGACATTAAAGTTAAAAGCTTGCAGACAGAAATTAGATTTTAAAATAATAAAATTGAGAATGAGTATATGGCAGGTCCTCTACAATATCGAGTTGTTGGTCTCCAGATGATGTTGGACTCATAAGTCATATCTTTTATCATGCTACTTCTGATAGAAGTTGAAGGGCCGCATTTTCCACATTCTTGCTGTAAACTAGCAGTGTAAAACCTCCAGCCCAGGGGCCTAATTAGGCCTGCTAGGCCTCTCCATTGGGTTACAAGACACTGTTGGCCAAGCCACACTCTCCTGCCCTACACTTCACATCATATATGATGTGAAGGGTGGGGCAAGTAAAGATGCAGCTGGGCCAAAAAGGGGTTTGCAGCTTTGGAGGTTAACATGCTTCAGGACAAGCTTCTGCTGTTGGGCACCTGCATAGCATCGCTTGTGGCTTTTTGCAAGCCCTGAGAATCAGTTGATCAGCGGTCCTTGCAGAGACCATTGCTTTAAAGCCCCAATGATTAGCAAGTTTGACTACCTTTCACACTTGGCCTTTGACTGGCCCACTGATTGGATCCAGTTTCCCACATCTGATGTAAATGAATCCTTGTGAACTGTGCTGGCTTCATTGGTGGTGGTAGCAATCTGGAAATTTCTCCCTTTCATTCCACCCCTCCTTCTGCATGTCAGTGGCTGCTGCCTGGGATGCTTGCTTGCTCCACTCCTCTTACTCCGCTGGACTGCTCAAATGTTTCTCTCCTTCATTCTTTCACCCCCACCCACACACTGCTAGTAGTGGTTGCAACAGCAACAGTTGCTTCCTTTGCTTACTTAAAATCTGATGTTAAAAACAAGCCAGCTTTAAAAAAAAATCAAATTATGAAGTAGCATCAGCAGTTTTAAAATATATATACATTTTAACTTCCTAAAGCTGATTCCAAAGACTGAGACCATTGAGGAGCTGGTGTCCTGAGACCATATGGCACCCCATATGGATTTTTCTGACTCCTGATTTTGAAAGGGCATAAATGGAGAGCTGTCAGTACTTGAATGTTGATATCAGTCTCTTTACACAGCTGGTCCAGGAACGGGGGGAGGAGGAGGAGCAGGAGGAGGAGGTTACACCCTGGACCCTGGAATTGGTAAACGTTTGCTTTTCACTGTTATTGCTGGGTACATTTTAAAAAAGTGGGGAGTGAGCAAGAATTGAGCTTACGGATAGAACCAGAGTGGAGGAAATGGACTCTTGAAAATATTTACTGCTGATAAGTCAGCAGAGAGAGGATTAATTTTATCAGAAGAATATCATGAGGAGACTTGGGTACATGGTAGTGCAGTAGTCGTTTTGAAACACTGGAATTGCACACCATAAGAAGAACCTGCAACAGAATGTTGTGGTTTGTGGCCTTCCTTCTGAAAAGACTGCATGTTCAGAATTTAGCAAGCTATTTCCCATGTTATGTTTTTCTTTTCCAGCAGTCACTCTATTCAACAGCTATTTGGCTCCCTCAGTTCTCATTAGTCTATTTTGAAGGGTTTCCTCTTTAGGTTTTGTTTCTCCAAGCATGCCAGTATCTCTGTTGTTTCTCAGTGGATGTTCTGACTGCAGTTACAGCCCACGCTCAATAATCTGAGTTTGCTTTTAAGAGTGATTAAGGCAAACAGGGTGGTAGAAGTTCAGTGATAGTGCTAGGCAAAACTGAAATGAAAAAATGTCATTAGGAAAGCTAATGTACAGGAAATTGTGAGAATATGTCTTGTGGAAGAAATGGAAACATTTGTTCTATTTTATCATTAAATGTAAATTTTATAAAGAGAACAATTGTTCCTTAGGCTTTTAATGCTTCTTAGGAGCTCAGATGCCTTCTGACTGCTTAGTCAAATGTAATCCAACTCCCAAGTTCACTACTTCTTAAAAATGCTGAATTTTCCTTTGGACAGCTTCAACAGCAGACAATCACTCAGGATTTTTGGGGGTAAATGCTTTGAGTTTTTTCTTCCGTTTAGTTCTTTGTGGGGCCGTTTGCTGGTTTGCATGCTAGAAGGTCCCTTAGGAATGCCTGGCTTTATGTGAATTGTGTAATTTATGGAATGTTTTTTCTGTGCATCAAGGCATTTCTTTTATTGTGTAGGAAATTCTGGCAAAGCTTTCCAGTTTCCTTTGCTTTTCTTTAAAATTTTCTATACTGCTTTTCATGAATTCCAAAGCCAGTGTTTTATAAACTCCCTCTTTTGCATAGGATCTACACACAGTCCAGAGACAAAGCCGCCCAAAGATGACACAGGTAAAACTGAAAGGTGGTAGTGGTAGTGACAGCAAATTAATCAGCTTTTTTTTTAGATTAGCTATTGCGCTTCTATTGCAGGGTGTGGCAGCTTTTCTAACACAAGAAATTCTGAGCTGAGAATGGGAACATTCCATTTGAGAAGGCAAGGTGACGTAGGGGAGGATTCCTAGTCTTGTGAATTATTCCAGGAATGTTTCTTACTCAGTCCTTACTAATCAGCTTGTTAGGCGGTGGCAGAATGAGGAAGGAAGGATTCTGCGTGTTAGACTCCAGTGACACATTTCAGTATAATCTCTGTGGCCTTGGTGTCTCTTCCTTGTAGTTCTGAAGGTGAGGGGAAAGCTCATATTTGCTGCTTAGTATCTGGGGACACTGTTTGGCAAACAAGTACCCATAAGAACATAGGAAGTTGCCTTCTACACAGATAGTTGGTCCATCTAGCTCAGTAATGTCAACACTGCCTGGTAGTTCTCCAGGTTTTCAGACACAGGTTTTCAGACACATTCTGAGCTCTGCCTAGAGATGCTGGGCATCGAACCTAGAACCTTCTGCATGCAGGACAGGTGTACTACCATTTAACTGTGGCCCTTGCCCTTTAGATTTCTCTCCTTAGTATAATGTGGAAAGGATTAAGCTGGTAAAAATAGTTTGTTTTCTGAAACTGAGTATTTCTCTTGAGGCTTGCATACCATAAAGTTCAACTTGCATATAATCCTCAACTGAATATATCACCATGGTTGGCTTGTTGTCCCATGAATTCCCAGTGCAGTTCTGGAATTAAGTTTGACTTTGATTAAATCCATTAATTGTTCTCTTCAGTTCTGTAACTCACTGTAGCTAGGCATGATGATGGCTGCACTCCAAAAGCCCAAGCAATGTGTTTCCTAGGTTTTGTGTGCTGTCCTGGTACAAGTGATTCATGGGCTGTGCCAGTGGGCTTCTTCTCATTATCAAGAAGAGGATTTCTGAGAAGGCTGTAGCATATTTAAAAAAAACCCCTGAAATAAGAGAATGTTGTCTTTTAGACAAATGTTGACAAACAATAACAATGGTGTTTCAACAAGCCCTGTGCTTGTTAAAGCAGAGACAGTCTCAAATGTGGTTTTGGACAAGCCCAGGGACTTAAATACCTATGCTAAGGCCCTCTGACTGGGGATTTATGCCATCCAATATATGCCCAGCCATAAGGCTTTCTAAAATGGTCATTAGGTCAATGGGCAGGGCATATCTTCAGTTTAGTTTTTGCCTCAGGGTATGAGGGTGGCCTAGGGACGCGGGTGGCGCTGTGGGTTAAACCACAGAGCCTAGGACTTGCCGATCAGAAGGTCGGCGGTTCAAATCCCTGTGACGGGGTGAGCTCCTGTTGCTCGGTCCCTGCTCCTGCCAACCTAGCAGTTCAAAAGCACGTCAGAGTGCAAGTAGATAAATAGGTACCGCTCCAGCGGGAAGGTAAACAGCGTTTCCGTGTGCTGCTCTGGTTCGCCAGAAGCAGCTTAGTCATGCTGGCCACATGACCCGGAAGCTGTATGCCAGCTCCCTCGGCCAATAAAGCGAGATGAGTGCCGCAACCGCAGAATCGGTCACGACTGGACCTAATAGTCAGGGGTCCCTTTACCTTTACTTTATGAGGGTGGCCTGAATATTTGGGGAGCGGGTTCATATTACCCCATTGTCATGGTCACACCATTTTCATATGACCTACTATCAGAGAGTGATGGAACCTGGAGCTTTTTCCTGAATGCTCTGGGGCATTTTGTAGCTGACAGTTCCACCGAAAGCTGACAGTTCCACTGAAGCCATGGTCTCCCAATAGAATGGTGAGATGAAATGGGTGGTGAACATGCTCACCCCCAAATTTCCTCGTTGTGGAACCAGGGTGGCTCCTTGGTAATCTGGGGAACTTTGGGCTATGGAACAAGGTTTCATGAAGACTAGAGCACAAGTGGTACAATTCTTGCTCCAAAGCTAACCAAACACTGTTTAATGGTTGCAGTCACAGAGTCCAGAGAGAAGCATTGGAAGTGTGTTTTTGGGCTTCCTGCCACGTGTGCTATAGGGTGCCACAGGAACCTATTTCATCCATAATGCTATTCAGTATCTATATGAAGCTGCTGGGAGTGGTCATTAGGGGTTGGAGCAGGCAAGGTGCCAGCACTATAATCATGACGCTCACCTCTGTTTCTCTATAACATCTGAATCAGTACCTTTATGCAGTAGTGGGATGGGTGAGGGATAATAAACATATGTTCAATCCTGGCAAGATTCAGTACTGTGAGTGAATTGTTCCTTTGTCTGGGAAACTGATCAGTTGCCTGCCCTTGATGGGGTAGCATTCCCCCTGAAGGAGCAGGTATGCAATCTGCAGATGCTTCTGAATCCAGCTTTGTCACTGGAGGGCCAGGTAGCTTCAGTGGCTAGAAGTGCTTTTTAATCAGCTATACTTGGTATGGCAGCTATGAATATTTGTGGCCCTGGTGAGCTTGACCACAGTAATTCAGGCAGTGGCGAGTTGAAATTGGATTATTGCAATGCACTCTCTATGGGTCTTCCCTTGTGCTTGATATGGGAACTACAGGTAGTTCAGAGTGCTGCAGCATGGTTGCTGACAGAAGTGAGACTCTCATCTCTACTCAGAAATCCTATTTGCTGCCCTAACCTAACCCTTATATGCCTACTCAACCTCTTTAATCTGTGGAACTGGCACTGTTACAGGTGCCACATAATATTCATTCCACACCTGTAAGAAATATTTTAACATGAAAACACATATACTTTGGAACTCCCTGCATATTGACATCTGTCACTATACATCTTTTGGGATCTGCTTAAAACACTTTTGTTTAGGCAAGATTAATTTGGCATGTTACCTATTTTTAACTGCCTTTTATTGATAATTTTAATGTTGTTGTTTTTTGGTAAACCACTTAAAGGTTTTATTACCACCAAAATAGTATATAATAGTATATATATGTTGTGTATAAATTTTTGTATATAACTACATAACTGTCTTGTGACCTAAACTGCTAGTCTCCTCCCCTGCACTGGTCTGCCACCCAGGACTTTTAAGTGAGAACCCCATTTCGGTTTTCAGCTGGATCAATTGGATTTCTTATTAATTATAATTATTTATCAGCTAGATAAATGCTTCTAATTAATAATTAGAACATTCAGTCTTCCATTGTCTACTGGAGCAGATTATCTTCAGTTATTAGTTGAACCTTTAATAATGCTTTAATGTACTATATTTTATTCAGAGTGTGTGCGACAAATGCAAATGCGGTGAGAGAGCTAGAATCTGTCACCCTCACATAACATCTAACTTTCTTTTTCTTCCATTTTAGCACCTAACCACTCCTCAGGAGTTATTATTGGTAAGTAATTACAGAATGATGTACAATCCCTCATTGATTTGCTGCTCTTCATTCTCCAAAGCCTGGAGTTCAGCACCCATTGTACATTATTGCCTGGTGGAAATGTGTGTGTTCCTTCCTTTTTTTCTCCAGTTTGTGGTTTAAATGTTGAAGACTCCTACTTGAATAAAAAATTTGATTCTTTTGCGAGAATTCTTAGGGTGCAGACAAATATACTTTCTTCCAGGTTCTAGTGTATTTTTATTTGTTTGTTTGTTTGTTTGTTTGTTTGTTTTATTCCTCCACTACCTTTGCTTCTGTAATGAACATAGCTGGCTCCAAATCCAGCACAGATTTCCTCCATATTGTGGCTTTTAATGTTCCAGCTTCTGGGCATGGTTGGTGCTTTAAAAAATTTTCAAGAGAAAAGGTGTTTTGAGCTGGACACATTGCTTGGGTTGAGGAGTTGCTCTCTGATTGTCATTAGGGCCGTTCAGTTTGCACAGCTAACATCTAGGAACAGGAATAACTTGTTTCTCTGAGGAACACTGCATATCCGCCCGAAAAGGAGTGAGTGCAGATGTACAGTGGACTTGCTGCTCAAGGTATGTATGTGTCTAGAGACTTGCTGTGTCCTGTAACACTTGAACTCATCCACATGAGTGGCTTCAATGTCCATTGAACATTACAAGGTAGCAACTTGTCTGGTGACTTGTTCATACTATTTCATGGACTAATTAAAGTTGTTTAAATCTTACATAGTTTAATAAGCCACATATTTCTAGGATTCCTGGCTTCACTATGAAGTCTGATATTGGATTCAAAGTACAAATAGTGGAAACAAATGGAAGTGGTCAAACACTGAAAGCACAGCTTTTTATGTTCTTCATGTGCAAAACAAACTGACAGGTTGTTCTCATTGATTTTAATAGTTTGTCTATCTTTTGTTAAGTCTGCAGTAGGATTTGGGTCCTGTTTGGGGGTTGTTGTCTCAAACCTATTTTGAAGCTACAGATGTGATTACATTTCAGTCTTTATTTAGGACTGGGGCAGTTTTTTCTTGAACAGGAAAAAAACCTATTACTTTGCCTTGTTAATCATTACTACAGTATATCACTGGATTTCTTCTTCTTCCCTTCAAGGATCTGTGGTGGCTGTTATATTGGGGATTTGTCTTATTGCTGCAGGTTGGAAATACAGATCTTGCTTTATAAAGGGGTGAGTCAGCTCAGGAGAAGCCGTATCTAATTCTTTGTAGCTTCGTTTGTGGCGGTGTGAGCTAATATACGCTTCTTGGCTTCACTTTGCCTTCTATTCACTTACACTTTCCGTATAAATGTGCTTGGTGTTCAGAAAGGGCTTTAGTATTTTTATTATTTATTTATTTGGCGAACAGTTGCACTAATATGGCAGCACAGAATAAACAGTAACAACTAAAACACAATAATTTTTCTAGAATGGCTAGTCAGTATTTTATCCCATTTCCACCATTGGTGTTCTGAAGTGACAGAAATGCTCTGTCTCAATTTACCAAAGCTGTCCATCCTAATGCAGACTTGACAATGAATATTCTGGCACTAAAAATCCTGCAAGCTACTATTAAATTAAGTCATCAAACACTCTGATCTAATCTACAGATGTTGGAACCGTCAAGGGTACTTGCTGTTTGTGATTTTTACTTTCAGACACAGTAAGAAAATGGATTTGTTGAACAATCCCGCCTGAAGCCAGTAGATTTTTTCTGGAAGAATCTAGGCCGGTCCTGCAATCTAAGCCAACAATTTGCAGCAATAATTTATTCTGAACATTTATCTTGCATGACCTTTCTATTTTTGTGTCCAGGACTGTCCATTTTTGTTGTAGCATTGTATACATGATTTTACTATTTTAATATGATGCATGTATGTATGCAGACAGGTTCACTTAAATTTGTGAACACTAATTGAGGTATTTCTGTAGATTAATACAATAATTATTTATTAGTTTTGAATAGTCATTGCAATAATTTCTGTAACAGATTGTTCACATGTCTTTTAAGTCTTTAAGATATTCTGAGATTCAGTTTTGATACTAGAGAATACTGATTTTTTTGTCAAAGGCAAGAGATCTTTTGGATTCAGAGGCAGTAACAATACCAGTGGAGAGAAGTTCGGTGATTTTATTAAGTGACAGGCTAAATACAAAATACTAATCAGTGAAAAAGACTTTCAGCAGAGTAATATAACATAAGCAAGACCAGATATTTCCCCATTCATTTGTCGGGAGCCCCAGGGAGAGACCCTTTCTGGCCAACATACAGGACCCAGCTGGTCTGGGCCTATGTCAAATCTCAAAACTTATGTTTGCATCTGGGAGATTTATGTACTCTAAATTCTTCGTAGCTGTGTACTTATTGGCATAATGTCCAAAGCCCTCAAACCTGCTTTGGAAGTTGTTATTTAGAAGGCGTGAGGGATACGATAAGCAAATGGACAAGGCCAGCATAATTAACCTTGGGGTCCTGCTGTAGCTGTAATACTTCTGGCAGGCGCTTGACCTTCAGACAGTGACTCCTGCCCCATTCTGCAGACACCTAACCTTGGAATAGTCAAAGCAATAAAGCAAACAATGCAGGCATGGAGGAATGATTGTACCAACCAACCTACCTCCTCAAAATACATCTTCCAGTGTGGGTTTCCCCAACACTGATATAACCTCATACTCATGATTATGGGAAATATAAATATAATCTATTGTTGGGACTGCCAACTAATTGCACCTTAATGTGCATACCAGTAGAAGGCCTAGATGTGTAGTTCTGCACAAATACTTGTTAAGGAATTGGGGGGGGGGACCCATGGCGTTGTGTTGCAATGGGTCTTAGTTTGATTTTTGAGCAACTCAAAAATCATACTATATTTACTTTGAGAATGTTTAAGCCCATTAATGGCATCTTACCTGCTTGAAGCTGTTCATGTTTATAGTTTTCTATTGAATATTGAGCATCTCTGCCTCATTTTAAATGTATTGTAAAGTACAATATTGTCAAGCCTTTCCAGTGCTAAATATAGTCATCCTACTATATGTGCTGAGTAAGCTTCTCAATCTTAGTCAAACAACCTAGAGATTATTCTTTGAATAACATGTTTTGTGTTTGAAGATTCTCTTTTTAGAGCGATCTAGTGGGTTTGTGGGAAAGCGTTTTACATTTCTTTCTCATGATTGTTAAATGTCAAACTGTGAGCAGGCATTAATAATTAAAGCACAGAAATGGGAAGGACATTGGAATCACCTGTGTGGGTCAGGGACATTATTCTGGCTCATGGGTTCCCTTTTCCCCAACTCACCCTCTTTCTTTTCTGTCTCAACTGATCAACCAGTCAAATATTTTCAGCTGCTAGCATGTTTTGTCCTGAAGTCAAGAATGTTTTTATGTAGATGGTAACCTGTATTTTTAAATAGTTAATTGTGGTGTTATATGACAGCAAAGGACTCTTCTTCCACAGTGTGTAGCAAATAATGCACCCTGCCTGGGCACAGACACTTCTTAAACGTCATTTAGCAATAGCTACTCCAGCCGTGAATTATAACTATAGTCACATTTAAATACATGAGTGTTACAGGTGTGTGAGAGAACTACCAATACTCTTCACTAGTGGAAATAAAGTGGCAAGTGAGAAGCTTGGTGCATGTACCTGGCCTCCTGGCGGCCAGGTGTATAGTGCTGTTCCTCATCACCAACCACTCCTAGTGGAAGCATTTCAATGAGAAATTTTATTTTGTAGGTCACATGACATCCACACAGTTATTCCCATCAACTTGTAATCGCTTTATGCAGAGAAATAGACAAAAGTAAATTCATTCTTGCTGGTAAACAAAAGGCAGTACTCCTTGTTTACAGAAGCTCCATTGCTGACACTTGTCCAAGTTTCCCACATGGACAGTGGTGCCTGTGGAATGTTGATTCAAGGGCAGATTCTACAAGGAATGTTAGAAGTGACCATTTTTCTATACTGTACTTAGGCTGTCTCTCTCTCTCTTATATCTGTTGTGTTTATATAATCCTAATTCTCTTTATCTGTTTTACTTCTAATATCCTGCAGTTGTTAACAGTCCGTGTATTACTTCTGCTTCTATAGCTTCCAGAACTAATTTTCTTTCCTAAGAAGTAACAGTATGGCCGCTTCTTCAATGTAAAAGTTGCTTTCAAAATGTCAATAGCATGCAGTGGAATGCTGATGTATTTGTGTGTTGCTTTTTCCTTCCTGACAGGAAGACTAAACAGAATGATGATTCAAACATATCAAAATCAATCAAAAATATTTGTAACTTTTTTTTTTACAGAAAAGCTGACCCTTCTTCTTGCAATGCTGAGTCTTACCGTGCAGTTGCCACTCACACAGAAATAGGATTGGAACCCAAAGCCTCCTGATTGCAGTAGAGCTGTGCAGTTCCAGCTGATAATTAATTCCCAACAGTTCTTATTTTGAGAACTGGAAATGAGAATTGAATGAAGATCTGCATGGAAAAAGCCAAAGCAATTTTCATTAAAAACTGGGCATCCAGGTTATTCAGCTACTTGAAGCATGAAGCAGTATTGGGCCCCAAGAAAACTCTGTTCATTTGCACTTACTGTTTTTGCATAGAACTGGCTTGCAACTTCCTTTGCAGAATGTGTTTTAAAGTGCCTCAATCAAATACAGAACCAAGAAGAACTTATTACAGTTTGTTTCCTAGAATCTTGTTCATCGCATGAAGGGGAGGGACAAGTAAAGCTGTTAATATTTACCAAACATTTGACTTCCACAAGCCTTTCTCATGAAGAATTGTAAAAGTTGTCTTGATTTCCTTACATGATCTTAAAAAGTGTGAACAAAAGTAACAAGTGCCTAATTGAAAATACTCGTTTTCTTTTTGATATATTTTCATAGGCAAACAAAAACCTCTGTGTACTTAACCAAAAAATCAAGGGTCACGTTTACAACAGCTTAATTTCAGTGGAAACAAGTAAAATGATTCTCCTGTTAAGATCAATGTGAGTGAAAAGTGCAGTGCTTCTGATGGTTTGAACTATAGTTTGTTACAGTCATGAAGGTAACTTGTTTGTTATATGCTATTTTAAAATTTTATGTTGAATTGTGCACTTCTTCTGTTTAAATTGATTAACTATGTAGTATGTATACAGAGAGAAAAATTGTTTCTCTTAGAATGTGTGCAAATAAACTAAAATATTGAATAAAAGGCACTATCATTGGTATCTCCCAAGAGATAAGAGGAAACTGGTGATGCAGTGCAGCTTGTGTTGATACGGCTAATAGCACATAGCTGTTTCGAATCTGTTTCTCACCATGCAGAGATGCACAATGCAGTGAAAATAGATGTTTGTGGCAAAAACTTCCTGGTAACTTCCTTTACAGCACCCAGACAAGCATTCTGTGCACACATTTTAACTTTGAGCAAAGTATCATGAGATGGTGCCTTGGCTATAAGTACGGTATGTGTTCTTAGCATCTCAAAGTGGGCCATGTGCTGTTCAGTGTTGCTTCTTTAATTTTGAGTGTTGAATGTGATGGACACGTGTTAACTGGCTGAAATAAAAGTACATACCTTTTTTTAAAGGTCATTTGGTTATGGTAGCTACAATGAGCAAAACTAAACATGGCCTTCCTTGTAATAGTGAGACTTGCATTGTTTGTAACTAATTTATCCATATTCCCTGCTGTGGAAAATGGCATCTGTATAGCGGCTTTGTTAATATGTGCATTAATTGAAATGTAATTGGCAGCTGACTGTAGAAATTTATTTTAAGTTGGCAGGTTTTTTATGTAAAAACCGTTAGAACTCAAAGTAGCTGAAGCTTTCCAGATAATTTTGGACCACAACTCCCATCAGCCTCGCAAACATGAATGTTTAACTTTGAGCTTGTCTGTGGCCACCCAGTCCTTCATGCATAGTAAGTCCGTGTGCCTCTGAGCCTCTAGTTAGCTCTGCTACTACAATAAAAGCAGGAATAATAGTTCTGTTATCCCCTGCAATCACTGAAGTGTTGCGTACCATACTGGGTCCTGTCTTCTGCAGCGGGTGATTAGCAGGAGATGCAATTATATGTTCACTCTGCAGTTGCATGTGCATTGGTACTGCAAATCCCTTTCTGTGTTATGTATTTCATACACTGAGAACACTTCAGTGCAGGAAATGCTGTAAAAGGTTACAGAAGGGAACTGCTTGCTCACATATCTGAGTGTGTAAACATATGCTGGGAAGCCACAACTGGCTAAAGCTTTCCAAACTGGAATGTGGACACAGGAATGGGATAAAGGAAAGGAAAACTCATGTCTGAATCCACTATCAATTTTTCTTTAATTTTTTAATTGTAAATGGCATGTACCATTAGTTAAGAACAGTTTCTGTCTGGTGGTGTACTTCTGTTTTGAGTAAGCTCAGTGCCTTACTTGCTAGGCAAATCCCATGAGTAGAATTTGCAGTGCAAAGCAAACAACTGAATTCAGACCGTAGATTTATGGTAAGCAGTAAAATGCAGTGCTTACTAATCAGCTTGGAAAGTAGGCAAAAATCCCAGCCCCTGGAATCACATAGCTGTTGGTAAGAGGTGCATTTTAAGGTGCCAAATAGTAAAACTTCATCCTAGCATAACTCATCCTAATCTTCCAATTTCAGTATTTCCCAGGACAATAGGGGTGCTAATTCTAAAAGCCAGTGACTATGCCAGCCTTTTTGCTGTCCAAAGGCAGCAGCTCAGCCTTAATGTAATACAGTTTTTTCTATCTTCTTGGAAGAAATGGAGGCTGAGCTGAGGACAGTTTTCAGCAGTGGCACTATAGTAACTGTATGATAGGTTTGGAGGTAGGATGGCCAGAACCAGTGCATAATTTCTCAAAAGAGAATCTCATCAACTTAACCCTTTCTATTTGCTATGTTCAAACTGAAACCAGACTCTGGGCTAATGTCTGCCAGGACTTACACAATGCTTTTAAGTGCTGAGAAAGACTGGGAAGCCTTTTATATAGTTCTCTGTCAAGCTTCCTTTGGGTTTTTTCTGTGAAAGCCCCATTTATTTGCCTGCTGCTGCTGCTTCCTCTTCTGCATTTATTTATATATCCCTATTGGGTTCAGCAACTTTTCATTCATTGCTGTGACCTGAGTGAGAGCTATGATGCTTGCATGCATGCTTCCCTTATTATGGGGCTTGATGGAACTTCTGGCCATTACTTTGGACGATCAAGGTGAGAAGTTGGGAATTGGGACTCTTTATGTCTAGCTTCTGTACTTCTCCTTTCCCATCCTTTTTTGCGGGGAGAGGCTCCCTTTCCCATGGAATGTGGCAAAAGTTGGTGCTGCCTGAGTTGGCAATACATTTTTGTTCCGCTTCTGTTGGGAGAAAGGAACTTAAGGAAGGGTCATCAGCAGTTAAAAGGGATTTCAAGAGGGTAGCTAATGGGGAGGGATGGCTCCTAATCCTTGCTGTATATTGTTTGTTGTTGGTTGGCATCCATCTGTCTCAGAAGACAATGGAGGAGTGTGCCTTTGGGAGTGAAGTCAAACCATTGGAAGGCTACAGTGCCTGTTGTAGCTGTAGAGGCTGATACAGGAGAGACATGTTGTGTTGCAGCTGGGGCAGATGAAGGTGTCCAGTTGTTGTGCTGCTGCAGGTGCACCATGGCATTTCTTCTCTCCGCACTCCTCCCAGCGGTCATTCTTCCACCGGTCACTGCTATGGATGCACAACCTGACTGTGTGTCTCCAGCACTGTGGTCGTCTGCAAGGGATTCCCATGAGGGGCTGATGTTGCCTGCCTTCATGTCATATTTGTAACACAGAGCTGGTCTGCCAACAGGCCTGGTACCTGAAGTCAGCTCCCTGTAGAGCACGTCCTTCAGGTTTCCTGCCATCTTCCATTCTGTGTTCATGATTAAGCAAGCATAGATGTCGCTGAGGGAGCAGTGTGAACATACTGTGCCTGCGGACTTGGAAAAGCACATCTTGAGACTGTTGTGCAATGTGATGCTTATGCCTAGTGCAAAAGTTCAGTCTGTTTGGGGGGTAGACTCAGATTTATTGGGTCTACTAATTAGCATGACCAGCATCTCCTCTTGGCCTCATTCAAATGAAAACTTCTGATTCACTTTATGCTTATTCTAGCCTTTCTAGTCCATTGTGACTGCAAAGTAAAACCTAGGAAACTCAACCCCAGATTGGTATAATTCTGCTTGTAGGAGCATAGGAAGATGCTTTATACTATATAGTCAGACCAACGGACCCTCTTGCTCAGTATTGTTTACATTGACTGGTAGTGGCTATGCAGATATCAGGCAGGAGTTTGTCTTATCTAACTTTTCCAGGGGTCTGAGAATGGCAATGGTACAGTATGTTTAAACTATGAGAACTGTGGGGACATGGATTACTATATATCAGTGCTATTTTTCTAGAATATGAGGTGCCAGAACACACACTTGATTTTTGCTAATGGCTTGAGAGGTGCCAAAACTGCTAATGGCTTGAGAGGTGCCAAAACTGAGTTCTGGCTAACCCCCCCTCCCCCGCTTTATATCCTTTTTAAAGTGTATTTTAAGTGCCTTAAGACCTCAGGTTAGAACAAGGTATAAATCTTTCTAGGCAGACCCAAGCCCACAGTGTTAGAAGGAAAAATGAGGGAAACACAGCAAGTGAAAGCAATTTTTAGAAATGAAATCACTACATATTTAAAGTTTACTTTCATGTAAACAGCTGCAATAATATGAATAGGATGCTAAAACCAGTTGGCTCATGGTTGAAGGAAAGGGTTTTGTTTATATAAAAGGGAGTTAGATTAGTCAAGTTTAGTCTAGTTAGATTAGTCTAGTTAGATTAGTCAAGTTTAAGAGCAAGAGCTGACATTTTATGGCTTTTAAAAATAGTGAGTGAGTCTAATGTTTGGATGATCCCCCTCACATGTTCACCAAGTACATGAGGAGAGTGGGATGATGCCTGCTACTAACACATCCCAAATCTAATGCTGTCAGTGGTCAGACCCTTCTGGTTGTATGTGCATGGTACTGTGTGTCTGTCCATAGGGATCTTCTGCACAATCAAGAAACCTGGAACAGTCAAGGTTTCTGGTTACATTGAAGAGACGTACATGCTTATATTTAGCATTAATGCCAAACACACAGCCACCACAGCATGTAGCCTATAGTAACACTGGTATTTTAGGGTGTGGCCAGGTTGGTACAATTATGCTTCTTTTATTCTTCTTTTTACAATTGTGCTTCTTCAGTGAATGAAGAGAGTCAGTTGAATACTCCTATAAATCCATTACATAAAATAGCAAGAGGAAGTTTCTGAAGGAAGAAACTGCAAAATATTAAACTTCCTCAGTGGCTTCTTGTAAATAAACAATTTTAAAAAGTCCCATTTGATTACTAACTTTTGTATTAGAAAGTGGGCGGAGCGGGAGAGCTGTCTAATAAAACAATGCACCTAATATGTGGCAATCTTATTTAGGATGTTCCTCATTCATCAATGTATAAATATTTCACTATGTGTCCTAGACACTATTATTAGCAGTGCATAAGTGGATTTCTTTATTGTGCTATCTGATGTAAAATTGCAATATATATGCTGTCTGATGTAAAGTCTCAATATTTATCTGTTACGTTTGTTTGTTTATCTCCCTCCCTCCCAAAGATGCAAGGACAACTAACAAACAACATATCCAACAATAACAAAAATATTTCTAAAGACAGTTTTAAAATCTACAATGCCTAAATGTTTTTGTCAGCTTCCAAAGGCCTGAACAATAAAATGTATTTAAATTCTTCCTGAACATGACCAGGGAAGGGAACTGTCTGATCTTTCCTGGGAGAGAATTCTTGTTATTATACCAAAAAAAAAATGGGGTGTTTTGCAGCTCAACTCCCACTCAAGAGACTCAGTATCCTTTAAGTCTATCATCATCATCATCAACAACAACAACAACAACAGGCACTACAGAAATTGCCCAACCCCTTAGCCAAAGACCACCCAAAATCATCATACATGCTTTACAGAAAAAGGTCTACAATAGAAATTTTGAGAGTATGACTTCTGTTGGTCAAGGTACCTGACAATACCTAATTGTCTCTCCTGGCCCCAATAGGAATTTTCACCTATTTGTAGGTATATGCTCTTTTGACAGGTCTGCTCTGTTTTTAACAGATACTTGCCAGACTGGTTTTGTAGAGCAGTGGTCCAATCATACAAACATGTTTATCTATTTATAGCAGTGGTTTTCAACCAGTGTGCCGTGGCACCCTGGGGTGCCTTGAATGATGTTCAGGGGTGCTGTGGACAACACTGGCCTCTGTCCCTCTTACCTTCCCTTCCTCCTCTGAATGGTGCCTCTGGGGCTGGGCAGGGGGTGCTTCCCAGGCCCCTGTGGGGCAGTGTGAGGAGGCACCTCTCTTTGGGGCAGGGTGGGCAGCTCAGTGGTGGCAGCGGTGGCTGCCCGGAGGACTATTGGGGGGAGGAGAGGAGGCTGAGGGAACGCTCCACAAGGGTGTTCAAAAAGCAGTAAGGGGCTGCCAGCTCTGCAGGCAAGGGGTGACATAACTTGGCTCCTGAGCACCACAGGGGTGCTGCAGAAAGAATGTAGTTGGTTAAGGGAGCCGTGGACCCAAAAAGGTTGAAAACCTCTATAGGATTTGAAGGACTTGCAAGTGAAAATAACTCAGGCAATCTATTGGGAAAGGTGTTTCCAACATGCTTCCTTCTGCAGCAAAAAATGATACTTGGGTTCATTAAGAGAGTAAAGATGCCTTTGGGATTGCTCAGTGAACTCAAATAAAATGTCTATTTTGGGGGGAAATGTTCCCTAATTTTTGAAGGGCGAAGGATTGGTTTTCTGTGGAGCGTGTACCTGCTCTGTGTATGCACCTTGAAATTTGTACAACAGTCTGTTGAATAGTTTGTTGTAGCTGGGTTGTTGTTTTTTTACAAAAATCTACAATTAGGGGAAATAATTATTTATCTTTCTATTAGCAGTCTTTTTGATCAACATTTTGCCTCTTTGCTGTCATTCCAACTTTCCACAATGCTTTAGATTCATATGCAAGTTTACTTTACTCAAAAGCAAGCTCCACAGTATTCAATGAAACTTAATCCCAGGTAAGTGTGTGTGGTATGATAGCCATTGGCCACTAAGGCCAAAGATGCAAGCAAGTGATAAGTCCATTAATAGAAATAATAATTAGTACAATTTTTGGTACTATACAGATTAGTAAGAACTCTCTTCACCATTTGGTGAAATGAAATTACTGAGTTCCAATGCAGTGATTGTCAAAAACTACATTTGCCTGGCAGCACATCCACAGGAGAGTTGAAATTTCCAGAAACGTGTGGTTTTTGACAATCCCTAATTGCCAATTGCAACTTCTAGAAACCTATTGTGTGGATCAGTTTGATCGTTTGGAAAGTTCCCATGCTAGGTCCATGGGGCATTTTGGTCTCACACTGAACTGTTGCCACATGCTCTTTGAAACCTCCATATGGATCCAAAACTTTTGAAGCATGAAACAAAGGTAACCATTTCTGATGTGATTATGAAAAGCTCGGAGGCAGAAAGTTCATTTGAGGGGCCTTTCTTGATGTAGCATTTGTCCCCATTCCCTTAGCCAACCATGCATATTTTAAAAATGTATTAACATTATCCCCCCCCCTCTCTCTCTCTGTGTGTGTGTGTGTGTGTGTGTGTGTGAATGAATGAATGAATGACATCAGAAGCAGTGTATGAAGATTTGGTTTCTAAAATCCAAACACACATACACACAGAGAGAATTCACTTCAATTGTTGCTCCCATGTCCCATCTTAAGAAGAACATCCAATTAATTTCCTCAGATCATCTCTAAATAAAATGATAGTTCACACACATGTACATATTTATCCCAATATGTCCCAGGCCCTGACTGCTCTACTTCTATCTTCCTCTCCCAGCCACAGGCCTGAATCCTCTATTGTCCTTCCCCCCCAGCCACATTACGTACCTTTCTTCCTTGGTGATGGTGTAGTGGATATTGCTGCTAATTTGTTGTCTCCTAGTCTCTCCTCTAAGTCCACATGCCTGCATGCTAGCAGCAATCCGTTTAGAACTTTTCTCTCTACAGGCTTTTTCCAGCTAGAACTATCCCCAGAGAGAAGAGGAGGAAGAGTCCTAATTGGTCTCTCTTTGATCTTTGCTGGCAGCATCCAATTAGAGTAATTCCCTATCTCCTCTCCTCTGAGTTTCCTGGAAATGAGCTGCCTACAGGTAAAACAGGCCTGAAAAATAGCCTGGAGGCCCAACCTGCCCAGAAGAGACTGGAATGCAGTGCAAAGTTGTTGACTTTTCAGGATGTAAGGCCTTTGTCTTTGCCTAGCTGTAATTTGCTGGGTTGTTGTCTTTCCCATCATGTTAGGTAGGCCCACAGGTATCCTGTTGATAACATCAATGCCAGAGGTTATCCTATTGCTCTCCCTCACAGTTCCTCACCAGTGGCCTCTGGTGGGGGGAGGGGGGAGCACAGCCCAAATGCTGAGAGAGGCAGTGAGTGGAGATGGCAGTTCCCTTGCTGTCTGTTGTTTCTAAAAGTTGTCAGCACCACAGCAATACCAATGCTGACATGGTCCCACCACGTGTGAAGCCTGGGGCAATTGCCGCCTGAAAAAGGCCCATGGCAGTTAATTATTCCAGAACAGCTAGAAGATAAATACAGAAAGCCGAATGCATTAACATTCTACTACATTTAACTTGTGGCATATCCCACAAGGAATCAGACTCCCACCATTTCTGTACAACTACTGCCCCAGTTGTTAACTTTTGATGATAAGGAATGGTCATTTCCATGTTACAGGTGGAGGAAATGATATGGTGGTTCAAAACACAAAATTGCACTGGGCAGAGCTTCACATTTCCTTGATTTCCCCCTCTTCTCTTTTCATCTTTAGGTGGCTGTGGCCCTCCACCTAGGTTAAACTTTGCTGAGCTAACCGACGAGTATAAGCAAAAGAATTTATTTCCTGTTGGCTCGATTGTGAAATATATGTGCCGTCCAGGCTATACTGGACTGAGGTACTCTATTAAGTGCCTTCAAAGCCAGGAGTGGTCCAAAGTTCTGGAGCGCTGTAAACGTGAGTGTCATAACATTTTTTGAAATACTTGTGAGAATGTGCCCTGTACCAATCTGAATCATTTCAATGGTTTGAATACAAGAGATGTATTGAGGTGTGCAGTTCTGCCCTTGAGAATTTATTAATTTAAAACGAAAAGCAGATGGAAACTTTAGATCAGCATTGTACTTTAAGGCACACTTTGTCTCTTTCTTCCTGCTAGGACAATCTTGTGGAAATCCAGGGGAACCAGATAATGGGAAGTTGATTGTGCCCCAAGATATTTTATTCGGTTCCACTGTAAATTACACCTGCAATGAAGGGTAAGCAACAGAAAAGCCAAGAAGGGAGAATTCCTCTGCTCCCTCTGGCCTGACTTCCCACTAGGGCTGCTCTTATCTCCCCTAGTTGCATAAGCAGAAAGAATCTGGGAAAGCTTTTCCTTTCACTTTTCTCTCCCATCAGGAAAATCTCATTTGACTTATTTCTGTTGGTTCACTATGCAGTTTTTAAAGGCACCGAACACATAGAAAAGGAGAGAGCTTGTAACCCTAGAGACTAACGATTTCCTACACTTAACCCTAGGCCTGTTTGTTCAGAAAGGAATGAAGTACTTTGCATTCATGTCCTCCTTAGACATATGGTTGGCCACTTTAATAGGTGAATGATGGCCCTTTGGTTTGGTCCAGCAGAGCTCTTATGTACTGGGTGTGGTGATATTTTTGTTTTTAAGAATCTGAGCACACAGGAACGTTCCTACTGTGAAGCATTTCAGTTTGCCAGGCAGATCATTCCCCCCCCCATGCTCTCCCCCCACTGTTCTGGGGGCAATTTCAGGAGACACACAGGAAGGGAGAGAAAGTCGCATTGTACAAGCAGAAGTCTTTGCACATGCTTCCATGTGCAAAAAATTACTTATTGATTTTTCATACCGCTCTTCATCAAAAGATGTCAGAATAAAATACAAGATAAAATAATTAAGCCAAAACAATAGCCCTCCTTATCAGCCAAAGGCCTTGTTGAAGAGGAACGTTTTCACCTGACACCTAAAAATATATAATGAAGGTGCCAGGCGAATCTCCCTGGGGAGAGCATTCCACAAACGGGGAGCGACTACAGAAAAGGCCCATTCTCGTGTAGCCATCCTCTGGACTTCATGTGAAGGAGGTATACAAAGGAGGGCCTCAGATGATGAATGCAATGTCCAGGACCACCACAAAGCGGTGCCACCTATCCCCAACTCAGACAGCTGCTCTAGAAGGATGCTATGGTCAATGGTATCAAAAGCTGCTGAGAGGTTGAGGAGAATTTACAAGGAAACATTTCCCCTGTCTCTCTCCCAACAGAGGTCATCATGCAGGGCAACCAAAAGAGTTTCTGTGCCAAAACTAGGCCGAAACCCCAACTGCAATGGATCTAGAAAATCAGTTTCCTCCAAGAGCACCTGGGTCTGGTCCACAACCACCAGAACCTTGACAAGAACCTTGCACATGAAGGGGAGATTAGCAACTGGCCGGTAGTCAAAGATTTCTGAGTCCAGGGAGGGTTTCTTAAGGAGTGGTTTTACCACTGCCTCCTCCAGGCAGGAACCACCGCCTCTTGTTATGAGGCATTGATCACCCCCCTGGCCCAGCCCCACTAGCTTTTATCAGTGTTGGCATGTAACCATTTTCAGTCATTCCTTTCAGAGGACAATGTATCATATTTCTTAACATACAAATAAAATAAATTAGGTATGTTGCGTTATAAATCCATATTACCCCAGGAAGTGTACTGGATTGCTTGCTCAATGGATATTAGTTAACTGGGACACTCGACACCAGGAACAATTGAAAGAGGGGTGAACATATTAATTAAATGAATATTGTAAGATATGTTGAGATAGCTGCACAATCCTGTCTGACAAGAAATGTGTTTCCCTGTCTTTCAAAAAGCATTTCATTTGTTTGTGGAAAGTCAGTAAGAAGAACGTTCACATTATAAGCACATCAGTTCTATGCATCTCAGGAGGCAGAACAAGACAACCCACAGCTACTTCTTTCTTGATACAGGCACAGGTTAATTGGTAGTACTTCCAGCAGAAAGTGTGTCGTATTTGGCCGAAAAGTAGGGTGGACTAATGATATTCCTCTTTGTCAGCGTAAGTAAAACATATTTTTGACTGCTATGTTTGTAAATAGTATTCTTATATGGCACCAGGAACACCTCAAAATCAATTTAGTATGGATGGTAAAGGGTTAATACATTTGCATGCTCTCGTCTAGCAGTATTAGAGGTAAATCAGTGTCAAAATGTTGTTCTTGTTGTTACAGTGGATGCTCGGGTTGCAAACGTGATCCATGCGGAATGCACATTCGCAACCCGTGTCTGCGCATGCGCAGGTTGTGATTCGGCGCTTCTGCACATGCACAAAGCGTGATTTAGCGCTTCTGTGCATGCGCGACTGCCAAAACCCGGAAGTAACCCGTTCCGGTACTTCCAGGATTCGGCGGTCCGCAACCCAAAAAAATGCAACCTGAAGCTGCTGTAACCCGAGGTATGACTGTACTTTAATTTCTTACCTATACTGCACCTTAAGGTTCCAGGGCAGGTTACAGCAACTGAAAATACAACATTGGTGGCGCTGTGGTCTAAACCACTGAACCTAGGGCTTGCCGATTGGAAAGTTGGTGGTTCAAATCCCTGTGACGGGGTGCGCTCCCATTGCTCAGTCCCAGCTCCTGCCCACCTAGCAGTTTGAAAGCACATCAAAGTGCAAGTAGATAAATAAGTATCACTCCGGCAGGAAGATAAAGTAAGATCCTCCCTCTATTGTGTGGGCAGGTAATCCCTCCCCTACCTGGCCTGGTCTCCTTGGCAACGCTTCCCCCAGGTGGGATTGGACAACTGACTGAGGTAGGCGGAGACCTCCAGGTATCCCACCTGAGGGAAGGCAAAGCCAAGCCTATGCTGTTGGAGCCACTCCAGATCTAGGGGCTGCACGCGTCCACGCAAAGGGCGCCCCCTGTTTTAAGCGGGGAGCGGTCATTCTGTGCACTGCTCTGGTTCGCCAAAAGCAGCTTAGTCATGCTGGCCACATGACCCGGAAGCTGTACGCCGGCTCCCTCGGCCAATAAAGCAAGATGAGCGCTGCAACCCCAGAGTCGTCCGCGACTGGACCTAACTGTCAGGAATAGACAATGGTTCAATATTGGTCACATTCAGTATAAGAAAAAGTGAAGCAGACTCCTGTATCTTCAAGCTATTTTGCAAACCTACTGATGTCAGGGAGGGCCTTACCTGTAACCAGGGCTGCCAACTTGAATAAAATCGGAGGGGCAAGTAAGCCCCACCCTGCATAACTGTTCACATGGTGCAGCACACACGCACCATTTGAATGGCAATTCTCATCAACTTCGGGGGACAAGCAGCCCCCTCAAATATTTTATGGGGGTGGGCAAAGGGTCCTCAGCCCTGAGTTTGCTCCTGTGCCTGTAACAATTGTTACTTGCCTGTTAGCTTGAATGGCACAATGCAATTTTGCCCATCTCTTGTCACATGGATGCTGTCCAGATAAATGTTTCTTTGCTATAAAATAAATAACTAAAAAAAATGGGTCCTGATTCACTACCACTAACTTCTATAGAAGAGGTTCCCTGAAGTGAATTAGACTGACATGAGTACAGTTATGCAAAATTTCTGTAGATGTACTTTTTAAATTTTCATTATAGGGGAAAGGTTAAAATACTGTGAATGAAAGAACTTTGCATGGATGTATCAGGAAAAAGTAGGCTTCCTTACTTACATGAAATTAATATAATTTTAAAACAAAAAAGATGAAATTAATGATTGCCAGATGTAACTGGCAGGTATGATGTACTATTTCTGCAGCGTCACACAAGCCTTCTATGCCTGCTTATCGTCTAGTATCCAGAAAATAATTCCCTACGTGCCACTCTCTGTTTTTATTATTATTCTTACACTTACAAAACCGTCGGATTGTCTTACAAAAGAAATTCAATATAACAATTCACAAATACAAAAATAAGTGTTCAAAAATATAATTCCTGTAGGGCATTAAAAAACTTTCAGATTTCTAATTTACAAAGATAATAACTGAACACCACTGCATTTCCTCAAATTAAATGAAAGCACTCGTGTTTCCTTAGGTAGGGAGATGTTTAGATGCAAAATGAACTAAGACACAATAAATATTTTAAAAAAACCCACTAAAATATTTGTCTTTGGCATGTATCTTCTGCTTATGTTTCTAGGTATTCCATGCTTTCCACCACCAGATGTTCCCCATGGCAAGCACAGTGGCAGGTCCATGAATGACTTCTCCTATGGGACAGCTGTATCATACACCTGTGACAAAGGCCACCCCCTTGTGGGAAATGCCACTATTTACTGCACTACTAAGGATGGATTAAATGGAATTTGGAGTGGCCGTGCATATTGTGGAGGTGTGGTTTTCCAGTGTTACTCTTTGTTCTTCTATTGTTTATATGGAAAGGTCCAATTTGTGTTAATTCCTAAACATGATGATTTGGCAATGTGGCAAGCATTTTCTTCTGATAGCTCTAACAGAATAACTATTAGGTATCAATACTTCTAAATTTTCAAAACCAACCCACCTGTCCATGATGCAGCAGATAAAGGCACAGATGCACTGAGTGAGGGTCTATTCTTTTACTTTGTCCTTTGTAGCTGTATGTTTATTAAACACATCTTCTTTTCAGTGGCTCACTGTCCAGCTCCTCAAATTGAAAATGGAAGAATAGTAACTGGTTATTCCGTCACCTACACTTATAACCAAAGGGTGACATTAGACTGCAATGCTGGCCACAAAATAGTTGGCTCGAGAGAGATCCATTGCCAAGTGGATGGCACATGGGACCCTCCACTACCTCACTGTGAACAGGGTAAGTATCACTTTGAAGCTCTTTCGTATGAGACTCCTCACCCGCAAACAGACTTCCCTTTCAGGCTGCTTCTGACTGTGTTTCTAATATGAGGGCTTTTAACCTGAGCCACAATAGAAGGCAGTGCCTTTTTGTAAAAGGCGAAAGATTTATACGATCTGAAGAGAAACCAGAGCCTTTTTGAACCATAATAAGCAGAAATTTCCCATGACTCTTTCTGGTTTCTGTTCCTCCTAAAGTTTATGTTCCTAGTAATCAAAGAAGCAACATACAAATCACTAGAAGCAACCCACAAATCACTTGCTGTAAAATGTTTGACTGTTTCCACTAATAATTGTTTGAGAAAACCATCTAGTGCTTTAATGTAGTGTTCCATAAATTCATTTTTCAATCATTAATATGTAGGGAACATAATTAATGCCTTGCTGTGGAATCCTACACATGCTTACTCAGAAGTAAGGGCCATTGAGTTCTGTTAAATTTACTACTACGTAAGTGTGATAAGATTGCAGCCTTCATGTTGAATAGATTGTTCTGTTGGCACCCATCTGTCTTGGGAGACAATGGAACAGTGTGTTTTCGCGAGTAAAGTCAAACATTTGTAGAGTTACAGCACCTGCTGTGGCTGTAGAGACCAATATGAGAGATACATGTTTTGCTGCAGCTGGGGCAGATAATAGACTTGAAGAGTTGGAAGGGAACCTGAGGATCATCTAGTTCAACCCACTGCAATGCAGGAATATGCAGCTGTCCCATATGGAGACTGAACCTGCAACCTTGGCGTTATCGGTACCATGCTTTAACCAACTGAGCTATCCAGGCCCACATTAAATAACTGGCAGCAGTGGGATAATGGTGTCCAGTTGTGCTGCTGCAAATGCACCATGGCAGTTCTGCTCTCTGCACTCCTCCCAGTGGTCATTTTTCCTCTGGTAACTACTATGGATATATGACCTGACTGCCTGTCTCCAGACACTGTGGTTGGATGCAAGGAATTCCTACACAGCAAGGTTGATATTGCCAGCCTTCATGTCACGGTTGCAGACATCTTTGTAACACGGAGCTGGTCTGTCAACAGGCCTGGTGCTTGAAGCTAGCTCCCCATAGAGCACGTTCTTGGGCATCTTGCCATCTTCCATTCTGTGGACGTGCACAAACCAATACATTTCCCAATTATCAGGAAAGTGTTAAGAGGTTGTCTATGATCCTAGAAAGTTAGTGTTGAATTTTACATCAAGGTTTTATATTTTCTGCAATACACCCTTCTCTCAGGTCTCACATATTATAGAATTGAATAATGGCTTTATCCTTTTTCCTTCACAGTCACTGGTTGTGAAAATCCAGAAATCCAGAATGGAAGAATAACAAGATCTAGAGGGCAAGTTAAACCCAAAGAGACAATTACATTTGAATGTGACCCTGGCTATATCCTGAAAGGCAACCATACAATTCAATGCCAATTTGACAGCATGTGGGATTCTCCTGTGCCCATTTGTGTTAGGGGTAGGTACTAGTATATCTTTCATTTGCGTCTAATAGTCAGGAATGCTTTCCTTTTGTTTGGATCTCCTTTGACAGTTTCAGATATGAACCAAAAAGAATGAAAGTCTCATCTGAGCTTGTGCACATTAAAGACTCTCTGCAAATCAACACCATACAGGGGTGTGTAAGTACTTAAATCATTCCACTGAATAAAGATAGCCAAGTTGGTGCCCTTCATGTGTTGCTGGACTGCAGTTTTCATCAGCCCCAGTCAGCATGGCCAATAGTAAAAGATTGTGGGAGTTATAGTCCACAACAACTGAAGTGCACCAAGTTGGCTACGCCTGCAATAGAGTGTGATTGAGGAAATAAGCCTTTGGGGGTTTATTGATTGGCCTGAAACCTGAAATAGGAATCATAACAAATAATGTCAGACCATTGCAATTGCATGACCAAAAAGAAGTGCAAGAAATATGTATCATGTTTCGTTTGAATTAGCATATGCTTTGTAAAAAGCATAAATATAATAATGATACCAGAACCAATAAAAGTTAAGGGGGGGGGGTTCCTTTCATGTTAAGTTAGGCCAACCTTTACTCATGCCATGATCTACGGTAATAAACCAAAGAAAAAGTTCAGATTGACACACACTTATTAACAGTATTTATTATTTGTTTGCTTCATAAAATTTATACACTGCTTGATTGTAAAAAACAATAATTTCAAAGTAGTTTACAAAAATAAAATCAAGGAAATTTTACAACTTTAAAGCAAACAAAAGTTAAAATAGTAAAACAGATTAAAATTATTTCAACTTTCTAAGCATCAGGGTAGAATGCTTTTAGCAGATGCCAAAAAGAATAAAGTGAAGGCACCTGCTTGATATCAATAGGCAGGGAGTTCCCAAGTGTAGGTGCTGCCACAATAAATGACTGAGTTCTTACAAATGTGGAATTTACAGTCAAGGATGTTTGTAATGTGTTTTTCCATTGTAACCACCTTTTCCCCCTTTCAGTAATTCAATGCCAGCCACCCCCACATGTTCAAAATGGGATGTACAACCAGGAAGCAGCAGTGTTTACTAATGGAATGTCTGTGAAATACACATGTGAGCCTGGCTATGGACTAATTGGAGAGGGGACTATTTACTGCACAGCATCTGGGACATGGTCTTCCCCTGCCCCTCGCTGTGAAGGTACATCTTTTGACCATAAAATTGTCCATATTGGCTCTAGCAGGGCAAGCTACAAAGCAATGTTTACACCATTTCTTCCATTCAGCCTTGAAAATTTGGATCCAGGCAAATAAAGTAGTGCTGCTTCCTATAATGAAAGCACACACTTCGAGAACTGTCACACAGAATTCAGTTCTGTGCAAGTTAATGGAACTTCTGAAGGGTTCCTTAGGAGAGACAAAGAGTGATACTGCAAGGTAAAGGTAAAGGGACCCCTGACCCTTAGGTCCAGTCGTGACCGACTCTGGGGTTGCGGCGCTCATCTCGCTTTATTGGCCGAGGGAGCCGGCGTACAGCTTCTGGGTCATGTGGCCAGCATGACTAAACCGCTTCTGGTGAACCAGAGCAGCACATGGAAACGCCGTTTACCTTCCCGCCGAAGCGGTACCTATTTAGCTACTTGCACTTTGACGTGCTTTCGAACTGCTAGGTTGGCAGGAGCAGGGACCATAGGAACGGGAGCTCACCCCATCGCGGGGATTCAAACCACCGACCTTCTGATCGGCAAGTCCTAGGCTCTGTGGTTTAATACTGCAAGGTACTGTAGTTCTATAAGTGCAAGGACTTTTCGTTGTGCGGTAAAACTGCCCCTTCTCCCCCTCCCCCTGTGCATACCCTAAACCTGTTCTAGGGTTCCCTCATCCCTTCCATAGCAGATTTGGAAAAGGCACAGGGAAAAGAGAGGGGTGGGAAGTTTCATTGCACAAGCAGAATGCAATTACTTTGCTGGCTGCTGCTCAAAGTCAAGCTGGCAACTGTTGAAGGAAGGCCCTTCTTATAATAGTGAAGGCACTACCACCTTCCAAGAAACAGAAGACATAAAACAGCTTGAATGTTCTTTAATCTGCTTGAGTAAGGCACTGGACATCACATCTTGTTCCCACTGATGAAATTGCTTCTCTCATTTTTGTCTTGTGCATATTATTTCCTGCTTGATGCAATTATCCTATTTTATGTTTCACATACATATAAACGCATAGAATAAATAATTTTTAACTTTTTATATGGTTTTATGTATGTATAATTGTGGTAAACTGCATTGATATTTTTTTCTGAATAGCAATATATGCATATTTTAAAATAAAATTCAAATGAATAAATAATTACAGTACAGGTGAGAAAAGAGTGGTGAGGAACACTGCTATATTATAGGTGGAGGAACTGGAGATTAGTCTCCAGTTAGAACCACAATATTACACTTTGTAGAATTTCACAATAACCACTGGCCTCATTTTCCCCTCTCTTCCTCCCCACTTCCTCCCTCCATCTCATCAGAAGGTAGCTGTGCACCCCCACCCAGTTTACAATTTGCTGAACTTCTCAATGAGTATAAAGAAAATAATTCCTTTCCTGTTGGCTCAGTTGTGAAATACATGTGCCGTCCAGGCTATGCTAAGCATCCCGGATTGAAGGCCTCTCTTATGTGCATTAGAAATCAGGAATGGTCAGGAGTTCAGGAGTTCTGCAAAAGTGAGTCTCTTACCATCCTTGTATTGATTGTTATATTAATATAAGTGGTTTGATTAAGTTGCACCATTCTTCCTTTGTGCTTTAATTAAATTTGTTTTAAAACAAATTACAGAGAGAAATTCTGTATGGTTTGCTTTTTTTCTGACAGGAAAATCATGTGGGTATCCAGGAGAACCAGATAATGGGAGGCTGATTGTAACAAAAGATCTTTTATTTGGTTCTACTATAAATTACACCTGCGAGGAAGGGTAAGCATTAGGAAATCAATAAGGTTACTTTTTCTGGTAGGGCTCCTCTTCCTTTAACGATTTAAGAACAGGTCATTGGTGTTAACTTTCCCCCCTCACCTAACCTCCTATGCAGGAAAGGGTTCATAAATCAATTTCTTATTGTAATGCAGCTTTTCAAGAAACAGGAACCCTGTGACAACAGATTTAGCCAGTCCCAGGCACTAACTTGTCTTGCAGCCTAATACTGATCTGCTGAGGGGAGTGCCAGTAGGATTGGAGACAGAACTACAGATAGAGGGAGATATCAGCATGCTTGTGGGAATTGCAGGGTTTGCAGAGGAGAGAATTCTGGTCTGAATAGAATATACTTTGCTGTGATAATCGCTCAATATACAGCTTTGGTATCGGTTGTGAATGGGTACACATGTTAGGAAGTCATTCTTCAAAGAAGAAAAAAAGGTTCTTGTAGCTTTAAAGAAGTTTTCTTTAATAGGAGTGACATTCTAGGCTGATTGGTTACAGCTGGGGATGAAAATAAAAAGAGGAAGTTGCAGGTTGCAACATCCTGCACTAGGAAAGAGTACCCACAGGCTGTGAGTTTATACCATGGTGGAAAGATGTATGTAAATAGTTTTGTATATAGTTTGAACTAAAATGCTTGTGAACCAGCCAAGAAATAAAGGTAACTCTTGACTGAGTATTTTGCACAAGTCTTGTAGTCTCTTGTCGTCTGCCGCCAGGAAGAAACTCTGCTACAAGCTGTTTAAAGCGATTTTATTGAGGAGCCACTACACTAGCAGCAAGCGCAGTAGAAGTGTGTGGGCCGTGACCTCTAATAACACAGTGCATACATTTCGTAATATGCATTTAATTCTGTGCATCCTGGGATAAAGAAGTTGACAATCCATAATTGCTTCTATCTCAATTCAGGTACAGGCTAGTTGGTCTATCTTCCAGACAGTGTGTGATATCTGGCCTAAAAGCAGTATGGACTGGTGAAACTGCTATTTGTCAGCGTAAGTAGAACACATGTTAACATATAGTGGTACCTCGGGTTACAAACGCTTCAGGTTACAGACTCCGCTAACCCAGAAATAGTATACCTCGGGTTAAGAACTTTGCTTCAGGATGAGAACAGAAATCGCGCGGCAGCAGCAGGAGGCCCCATTAGCTAAAGTGGTACCTCAGGTTAAGAATAGTTTCAGGTTAAGAACGGACCTCCAGAACGAATTAAGTTCTTAACCAGAGGTACCACTCTATATCATTTTTCCAGAGGGCAACTGAGAAGTTCCACCAGGACTTAATAACTTTTACTCCACCTGAGCCTAAATCAGTCAATGCAAGTTCACTTTCTGGACACTGCTGTGCAATTACATAATGGACATAATGGAAAGCTACTGACCACTGCACATACTTACATGCTTCCAGCTTCTACCCATATCAGACATGTATCAGAGTATAAAACCTACCCAATGAAATGGGGGAGAAAACAGATTGACAAGGTAAACAGATTGACAAGGCAAGGCTGGCACCAAGGGAAAATCTACTATAGGATAGACCTAGAAGAGAACATCACTTGTCACATGCAATATCCAGCTAAAGACACTGAAATGTATAATCAATTACCTACAACCTGTCCTCTGAACAATAACACTTCCCTCTCATAGGCTTACATACATCACAGCCTTGGGCTCATATCTGCTTACAGACAGCCCCCAAACCTAAATGATAGGCCACATAACAAAGACACTGACACAGGGACCAGATCTTATGACAGATCCATTTGTCAGCTGCATGCCACTGTCCTTGCTTGCAGTACTTAATATGGCTATTTGCAATATCTCAGATTCATTCACCTGCTGCACCCTGCTGCCAGCGCCATGGTGATGCCCGCGAAGCAATGGCACCAACATCTGGTGAGATCTTGCCAAAGTCTCATTGGATCTTAGGATCTCGTGAGATTTTGGCAAGATCTTGCCCCAGACCAGTGCCACTGCCAGTGCTGCTTCCCCAGAGACAGCAGGGTGGGTGGCAGAAGTGAGGCGGGTGCAGCATTAGATACAAATCTGTTTGTCCTCATCAGTGGGCCAGGCCTACATTTAAATCTCCACTCCCTCCCTCCTGATAGGATGGCACACCACCCAGCTCTGAATGGCTTCTGGGTCCCCAGGAGGCTGATTCAAGGCCCGTCCACCACAAGGGTTGACTATTAGCTATGTAAAAATAGCATCATTGACACAAAAATATTGACAATTAGTGAATAACTAGTAGGTGTGGTTCACTTCTACAGCTCTTCCAGTCTTTTGTGCCTTGGGCAGCATCCGATATTTGCAATATTGCAAATAGCCTTTGGATATTTGAGTCAATGCCAGTCAGCCCAATCTTGAGAAACATTGCAGCAACCCTTCAAAAACCATACGGTTGTTGGAAAATTAAAGAGATTCTTGTAATCAAATAATATAATAATATATTATATATTATATATATTTCAATCAAATATGTGAAAATAAATTTGTTTGCCCCTATTTTTATAGGATTTTCAGCAGCTTACATATCTTTGTGCTTTTACTATTTCACCAGATTCCAGATAAATTAAATTTTAATTTTTACAAGTAACACTTAATTTAAAAGGACATAACTATTCACACTCATATAAATGTGTGCTTTTGACTTTTGTGCTAGTTGGCACTGAAAGACCTGTTGTCCACAATCAATCACATGGTTCATGAGGCCTGAATTCAGAATAATCTAGTTAAGATAGCATATTCACATTTTCCTATATCTAACCTAATCTGTGTCAGTCACCTGGCAAAATTACATAGCGCAGGAAGACTGGCAAGGGATATTTATCATGTTGAAAGTATAAATGAAGGGGTTGGGAGACTGTAAGATATATGGTTGCCACCTAGTGGCCAAAAGGCAAAAGTATTTCTTGAGAAAAAGTTGGAACTGAACAGGTTCAAGGCTTGCGCTCTTGGGAGTGGTTCCAAGATGGATGCCAGACTAACAGAAACTGGTGTAACCTACATACATTATCAGTATCACAATCACATGGCAAAGTTATAAAGCACAGGAATCCTGTGGCAGAATATAGTATCAGGTTATCAATGAAATCATGAGAATAATGGAATACCATTAGGGAATATCTTACACCTTACACTAGGTAAGGTAAAGGTAAATGACCCCTGGGCAGTTAAGTCCAGTCAAAGATGACTGTGGGGTGTGGCAGTCATTTCATTTTTCAGGCCAAGGGAGTCAGCATTTGTCCACAGACAGCTTTCTAGGTCATGTGGCCAGCATGACTAAACCACTTCTGACATAACAGGACACTGACAAGTGCCAGAGCGCGTGGAAACACCATTTACCTTCCCGCCGGAGCAGTATCTATTTATCTACTTGCACTTTTTGGCATGCTTTTGAACTGCTAGGTTGGCAGAAGCTGGGACAGAGCAACGAGAGCTCACCTCATTGCAGGGATTTGAACCGCCAACCTTCCAGTCGGCTGCCAACCTTCCAATTGGCAAGCCCAAGAGGCTCAGTGGTTTTAGACCACAGCACCACCCACGTCCCTAGTCTTACACTATTAAAACAATGTTTGTAATATTGCTGCGTTCTTTGCCCTTAGCACAGAATTGTAGTTAACATTCTCACTGTTGACTGACGTTCTTTCCAATTTTCCAGCTGAGGAGCATTAATCCTCTCTTCTGATGTGTATCTGCAGCAGCAACAAAAATACTTTCTTTACTGTATGCTCCTCGGTTGTATTTCTCCTAAACTGATAATTCTTTCAGCCTAAAGAAAGTGGTCAGTCTCTGTCCTGTTATTGTTATTATCTAATTTATGTGTCTTACAGAATAGTTCATCTCTGTATTTTGGTATTTATAAGTAGCCATTGTAGTTCTTGTGTTTCATGTAATCTCCATGGCAGATTATGGAACTCTGGATGTCTTGTATTATTTTCTTCCTTTTAACTATTGGCTGTATTCAAGGGATAATCATGTTTTAGCAGTCATTAATATTACATATGCTGTTAACTTCATCTGTTGGCTGCAGTAGTAGCCATCAGAAATAGAAAACAGAATACATCATTTATGCTATATGTTTGTCTTCTACCTTTCTCTAGCTATTTCGTGTTCTCCACCACCAGATGTTCCCCATGGCAAGCACAGTGGCATAGATGACTACTTCTATGGGACAGCTGTATCATACACCTGTGAAAAAAGCCACCCCCTTGTCGGAAATGCCACTATTTACTGTACTACCAAGGATGGAGTAAATGGTGTTTGGAGTGGCCGTGCATATTGTGGAGGTATGTTTATAAATATTCTCCATGCCATTTTGTTAATTGCAGGAAGTTGTGTTAATCAATAAGCATGAACATTTGGCAAAATCACAGCAGTCATTACTCTATTACTTCCCAACAAGAAGAATCATTAGCTATATGTATTCCTAAAAAAATGCAAAGGCAAGGGTGGGGGATTCATATTGGGGCAAACCAAAATGTCCCCAAGTATTGTACAAACTGCAATGCCTACCTGCAACTATAATTAGGACTGCTGGGATGAAAAGACATACAATGGTTGATTCCAACATAACAACCCCATTTCTGAAAATACAAAATCCAGTTGTTAATCAGATCTGCATTCCTCCTTAGGTGAAACATGCAGTTCTTTGGTAGGGTGAATAGGGAAGTGGAGAAGAAACTCCTGCTTAATGTCTGCAAAGAGAAGGCAGGAATCCTAACTCCATCACTGTCTCCATTGACACCACTCACCTTCCACCCACTATTTCTCTTGTTTTTCTCTTGCTTTTTCTAATTGAAAAGTCTTTTATTAGATCCTCAAAACTAATCTTCCATAACATGCTTCTATACTTTGTAGAGATAAGGCATCCTGCCCGCCTTGTTGCATAGCTGTTCTGTTAGGATTTTTAATATACTTCAACTGAGAAAATAAACACTCAGCTGAGCAGTCTGTGACGATTTGTGACCATTAATATTAAAATATACGAAAGCAAATGTCTGTATTTGGAAAGGCAGACTCAACATTGTCTTCTACAATTGTTTTATAAAGTTCAGCATGACTGAATCTTGTTTTTACATTTTTGGTTGCACTGAACTTACGATGCACATTTGAGTGAAACTGCTGAAGCTCAGCTGAGAAATTAATAAAGTGATGAGTTCATAGTGATGCACATATAATTTCATCGTAAGTTGACACATCAATTGTCTCCCAAATCTGTGTGGTTATTATTTTGCCGCCCCAACACTCACACCCAGAAAAGCTGTGGAGATAACAACAATTCTCACCAAAGCCTTTAAAAATCTCCAAATTTGAAGGAACACCCCCCGCCCAAAATCTGGCAACACTGTACTGAACACTGCTCCACTCACTCTCAGTGGATGACTGAACAGGACAGCTGAAATGGCCAAGATAAGAACGATTACATGAGCCTCAGTGAACCGAGTGGCAGTTTACCAGTTACCAGATTCTAATTTTGTGGTTTTCCCAATAATAATGCTTGTGTGGGCAGGGTGGTTCCTCCCGCTACCTGGCTTGATCACCTTGGCAATGCCTCCCCAGGCAGGATTGGGCAACTGGCTGAGGTAGGTGGAGACCTCCAGGTATCTCACCTGGGGAAGGCGAAGCCAAGCCTGTGCTAATGGTGCCGCATAGGGTCCCGGGGGCTGCGCACGACCATGCAAAGGGTGCCCTCCATTTAATGTGGGGAGCGGTCATTACTCTCTATTGTTACTAATTCATTGTTACTAATTTATTATCATTATTTGTGTGTGTCCGTGTGTATTCATTTTTCACTTATTGTGGGAAACTTTTTTGTGGAACCTGGTTCAGTTGCGCCATATGGTCCATGTTAAATCCGACAATGGAATTTTTTTTGTGGCGCCCCCCTTCCCTTGATGCCCTAAGTACGTGCTTATTTTGCTTAAAGTTTAATCCAGCCCTGAGCGTGGGGAGGGACTTGAGGGTCAAATAGAGAAGCAGGGTGGGCTGCATTTGGGCCCTGAGCCTGAGGTTCCTCACCCTATTCTATTAGTCCATAATCCACATGTCTATAATACTGCCAGCTAAACGCACAGATATGCAGAGAACAGGTATATTCCTTTTTACCTTCAGTACTGTATGCTTGTTGAAACTTTGTCTTTTCAGTGACTCGGTGTCCAGCCCCTCAAGTAAGGAATGGAAGGATAGTAACTGGTTATTCAGACACCTACACGTATAACCAAAGGGTGACTTTAGACTGCAATGCTGGCTACAAAATATCTGGAACAAGAGAGATTCATTGCCAAGTAGATGGTACATGGGACCCTCCTCTACCTCACTGTGAACTGGGCAAGTATAAATAAGAAGCATCCATATATATGCAAGCATGAATATGAGCCGGATACATACATGCTCGTAACTTCAATATTCAGGGAGCATTTGTAATTCTTTAGTTATAGAAGGAAGCAGGAATATCTGCAGTAAATGTTCACACAAGCAGTAATATTGCTATACTGTACTTGCAGACCGATTGCCAGATCTCAGGCGTATGGCATAGACAGCGGGACATGCACAAAAGACATGGATTCAAATCTTCAATCCTGTCAACTTCACTGTCCTTGGGCCAGTCACTGACTATAATTGGACTTAACACAAACTCATGGTTTAACTGGGACTAGTCTCCCCTCAGGCTTATGCACCCCTAAATCTCTAGCACAAACTATGCAAATGAAATTAGAGGTGTCAGTTTTAGAGTAACTGCAGTTTAGCATCCAATCCAAATTCTAAACTGTGGTTAACCTGAACTATGGTAAATTCAAACAGGGCAGCTCCATAGACTGAAGCTGGCTTATTTTCACTAACCATGGTTAAGGCAATTGATTGCAGGTTGTGTCCAGTGGTAGTCCTAATCCAAGTAAATGGATAGTACTGTAATACACACAAGTAGTGTCCATTAATTTCAAAGGGTCTACTCAGAATAGGACTAGCATTGGATACAAATCTGTTTGTCCGTAAGATGCCTTGTGTTCCTTGGATGACAGGTGGAATGCCCTCCCCAGGGAGGCTCACATGGCACCTTTGTTACAGATCCTTAGGTGCCTGGCAAAAACATTGCTGTTCTCCTTGGCCTTTGGCTAATTCAACAATCTATGTTCTTTAAAACTGTTTGTGGTCCCCCCCCCTTTGTTATGTATTTTTGAGTTTCTATATTGTAAACTGCCCTGTGATCCTCAGATGAAGGGTGGTATAGAAATTTAATTAATAAATACATAAAAATATTTTAAAATTTTTAAATACATTTTCAGTTAAATGTGCCATTAATATGCTATTGTGAATGTTCTCTCCTATTTCATTTTTCTTTTAGTATCACAGTGCCCCTTGCCTCTGGATATACCCAATGGAAATCACAATGGTTTTCCTGGGGAAGTGTTTACTTCTCAGAAGTCTGTAACTTATTCCTGTGATCCTGGTTACTCACTTGTTGGAAAGGCATCTATTTCCTGCACAGCTTCTGGAGAGTGGAGCAGTCCTCTGCCACGTTGTGAAAGTATTTACGATGACATTTTGTACAATCTCAGCAACAGAAGATATAATTGCTTTTTATCATCTGTACTGGTGTTAACACTGGTCTTTGTTCCTTACTGTGACCTGCACATCTGCTAAAATTGGTGCTCCTTTTCGTTTTCATTTGAACAAGATTTCTACTTTCTGAAGGAAGCCTTCTTGCCTCTAATAGTTTCCTTGACTCTGCTGTTTAACCATGCTGGCATCCTCTTTCCTTAGTGGTACTTTTCCTGATCTGCTGTTTAGATTCTAGTGAGTTTCTATTACTGTAGTTATTCTGGAAATATTGCAACTTTTCCATTGAATTTCCTTTTCTTAATCCCCTCATTTCTTTGGTTGAGTTCCTCATCTGAATTACAGTAGACTTTAATTGTGTTGGACTTGCTTGGCAATTGCTTGCTTACATAGACAGTATCGCCACTCACAGGGATTGGATCAGAGTTTGCCCTTTTAGGAAATTCTAGCTTGTATTATCTCCAGGACTAAATTACTCTTGGGGCCTGCAGCTCACCACCCACACCAATTCAGAGAAGTCCACCCCTTTTGGGATTTCTAGTATGTCAGGCTCACTGAAACTTCACATTAGTACAAAAACAGAACCATCTGCGCCGCCCTAAATCTGGCACTGTGTTCAACTTTATGTCCTCTGTGATATACAGAGCAGCATCACCTCCAGCCACTAGTATAAGATAGTCTGCATTTGGAAGATGTAATCTGAGACACAATCCCAGATGTTGTGACAGTTTTCATTTTTTAACTCCTTGATATACTTTACCCTCTCTTTCAACAGGGCAGTGCCCCCCACCTCAAGTGGTCGCTCACGGGAAATACAGCAGTCAGGAAGCAAAAGGTTTTACTAATGGGGGGTTTGTAGAATACACTTGCGATCCTGGATACAGCATTATAGGAGATGCCAGAATTTTTTGTACAGCATCTGGGTCTTGGAACTCCTCAGCGCCCAACTGCAAAGGTGAGTCAGCCTTTTTATTTCAAGCAGCATATGCAAATCATACGACAAGTCTGAAAACATTGGTAGGAAAGATATTTCATATATGATGCACTATATGTTTAAAAAAATAGTTTGCGGTGGAAGGAAATAAGAAAGTATATCTAATTTATGACTTTATATGTCTACAAGCAGTGTTTTGCTTTCTATAATAAACATTTGTCTCTTGGGGGAGCAGCTTCATCAATCGGCTAATTGAATACAAAATTCAATGAAATGGGACAGATTTAGACGTATTTTCCTTGCTCCTACGTCTCTTGAGAAGTCTCAGACTGCTCAAAGTTCTCCTAGCATGCTGGGAAAATGAAGTCTACCTCGTAGAAGCCTCTCTTTCCACTGTGTAAGCTACTCAAGATCTGGGTGGTGAAGGGAAGGACTTTGCTTTACCAGAGAGATCAGAATTTGCATTTATGCTGAGGTGCAGGTCCATGGTATTTTAGTATATAAAGGTAAGCAGCATTGTTTGTAAGTATGGAATGTGAACCCCTAAGCATAGACTTCCTCTGTACAGAGAAGTTGGAAGTTGCCTTGATGTTCAGCAGCAGTTCCAGTTGTTCCAACAGGACTGAGAATAATTTAGAAATATGTATGCAGAAATGGGGGGGGGCAGCCTTGTTTTCTGTCCACTGTAGCTAATAATGTTGGTGATTTACAAATAATGGGTTAGGGTTTTGTGAGCTCTGTGTATTCTTGTTGAGTGTAGCCACGTCATTAACCCTCTTATGGTGTGTTGCATGCTTTTTCCCATCAGAAAATATCCTTCATATTTCATATCAAAACTGTACTTATTTCAACCCCCCCCCACTGACATGTTTTATTGTTGCTTTGTTGGTGTTGGTCCATTAAGTCACTGTTTGTTGGGGTGGGTGCTTTTGTGAGTATGCATTGCTGTTGTCCTTTTGCAAACCCACTATTCTTGCTGCTCTCTTACCATCCCTGTGGCTGTCAGAAGGGCAGTACCTAAAACATTTCAAATTCTGCACTTCTGATTTCCATAGGGATGGCTGAAGTTTAAGTGGACAGCTATGGATGCAACAAGATCAAAAACACAAAGGGAAATAACAAGCACACAGCTAAAGTTGTTTAATACAGTAATGTTTGAAAACTGAAGTGAAGGCATTTTAAACCAAATTTAATCACACTATACTATGATCTAAAGTAGGAAGCCGACTTCTTATGTATGTTATTGTTGGATGTATCGCCTGTCTGTCTTGCTGAGGAACAAGATATTCTTCCCTTGTTGTTGTTGTTTTCCAGAGATACATTGCCCCTCACCTCCCAAAGTCCAGCATGGAAAGTACAGGGCTCTGGGATTAGAACAATATACCAGTGGAAAAATTGTAAAATACAGCTGTGACCCTGGTTATGTGCTAATAGGAAGGGCAACTATATATTGCACAGCATCCGGTGTGTGGAGTCTCCCTGTCCCACGCTGTGAATGCAAGTATTCTGCTACACTGGATTTTCATTTGGGCTTTGTATAGGCTAACCAGTCAAAACAGATTTAAAATGCAAGTGAATGTTCATACAAGTACCTTATTTCTGCATTGAAAATTATAGTTCCAGTTAAGTCCTTAAGGGAAGGGCACCTCAAATATTATGTGTGAGCCACATATATACAGCTCTGTTAATGGATCAAGGCCTGACCAATGGAGTGACCATTCTTTTCTTTTTTGGGTCCCATTTCCTTGCTATTCCTCGGCAGTCCAAGCTGAGACTTTCTAACTGCAAACTGTATGTTGCACTATCTTGCTATTGATCCATAAAGAGCCTTATATAATAATATAAATTTTGAGCTTTACATTAAATGTATTAAGAAAACGGTTCTACAATATACTCCTTACTGCAGCTGACATACACTGTGTAGTCTACTAGCTACTTTATATTTTCCTTTGCAGTCACTGGCTGTGTAAGTCCAAAAATTCAGAATGGAAGAATAACAAGATCTAAAGGGCAAGTTAAGCCCACAGAGACAATTACATTTGAATGTGACCCTGGCTATATCCTGAAAGGCAACCATACAATTCAGTGCCAGTTTGACAGCACATGGGATTCTCCCACACCCATCTGTGTAAGGGGTAGGTACTAAGCACAGCTTTGACTGGATTTCATTTTTCTGTGATAAGCAAGAAAGTTAGTTAAATCTGTTGAAGTCCTCCTTGGGATTTTCCAGATATGAGCCACAAAACATACAAACTTATCTAACAAACTTATCTAACTTGACACACTCCCACAAAAGAAAATCCCACTTACTTCCCTCCCAAATTAGGAATATGGGAAGCTGCCTTATATGGAGTCACACAATTGTGTTTCCGGGGGGGGGGGGGGGGAATTTCCAGCCTTACCTGGAGAAGCCAGGGATCTTCTTCATGAAACAAATGTTCTACAGTTCAGCTAAGGCCCTTCCCCTAAACACAAAAGGGGAAAACTCAGCAAGTTCTGTTTTTAATTTATTGAACTGAATTTTGAAATAGAAATCCAACAATAATGATAGGCAATATCACTAGTAAAGGAAGGGTGCTGCACTCAACCCTAGTTGGACAGAGACTGTGGATGAGGGGTTCCTAGATCTGGGAACAACCACTAGTTGCTTCAGATGTCTTGTCTTTGCCCAGGTTTTACCTGACCCACAACTTTCTGTGTTTTAATCCCCATATTTCTGTTCGCTGGCACTGGTGGCCTTTTTCACAGGGCACAGTACATGCTGCCTTAAAGGCAATAGTTCACACGAGTTCACACAATGGTGCCCTTTTAAAACAATGTCAGCACCTCTGAACCAGGAATACTTTCTCTGAACCTGGATCTCTGTGGACCTTTAATGGCTGACAGGAAGAGCTTCTGTATCATGTGACTTGGAAGAATCTAGCATACCAGCTTAGCTCATTCCTATCTGCACATAGGAAGCAATTGTGATTCCTTGCGGTAAATGTTTTATTTATTTATTTTTACTTTTTTCTATCTACCGCTTTTGCTCTATTGTCAGAAACTCGGTGCCAGCCACCTGCAAAGATTGAAAATGGGAATCACAGCCACCATGAATTATCAGTGTTTACCAGTGGAATGTCTGTGAATTACACATGTGAGCCTGGCTACTTTCTTACTGGAAGGGCAAATGTTCACTGTACAGCATCTGGTACATGGTCTTCCTCTGCTCCTCAGTGCAAAAGTAAGATTCTTGGTCATAAGTTTTATTGGGATGGCTCTAGGAGTGAAGGCTACAAAATATAGAACTGGTGTTCACTCATGATTCCTCCTTTCTACATTGAAAACCATTGATACAGACACATTCTTTTAGTAATGCTGCCTCAAACTGGAAGCACATATTTTGGAACTTTATCACACAGAGTTTTGTTTTGCATAGGATTATGGAGAGTGTGAGCTGTCTGTTAGGAAAGTGTCCTTATAAAGAACCTCTGGACCAGAAATACTCGTTCTGAACCTGGATCTACATGGCAGACATGGGTTGGAACAATAGCCCATAATAGTAGTAGAAGAGGGCTGGTACTCCTGTGATCTCAAACCATGATTAATGGGAAAATAGGTAGCTTATGCTAGCTACAAAAACTAGTATCTACTATAGTGAAGGAGTTGCAATCCTCGGATCAGGAATTGGGAGGGTTTCTACTTGCTTTGAGATAAGCTTGATGCTCATATAGTTTTGCTTTAGAATTGCAGTGTCCCCCTCCTCTGCCTATTCCAAATGGTGATCACAATGGCCACGGAGAAGCTCATTTTGCTACAGGAAGATACGTCAATTACACCTGTGACCGTGGCTACCTGTTACGTGGCAAGGCTTCCAGTCAGTGTACAGCCTCTGGAGCTTGGAGTCAACCTTTACCCCAGTGTGAAGGTCAGTATTTCCCTGCCTATCCCTGTTGGCTAAAAACACAGAGCAAGTGATACTTGGGAATTCTCAGTTAGCATCATTATATCGACTTCTGGTTTTCTTTTCTTTTTGCAGTAATGCATTGTCCACCGCCACCAAGCATTGCGCATGGAAAGAATATAGGAGAAGACCTCACCTATGGGAGTTCTGTAATATACATTTGTGATGCCGGTTATTCCCTCGAAGGAGAGTATCTGGTTACCTGTATTTTAGAAGGCTCCAACTCTGTGAACTGGACTAAACTTCCAAAATGCAAAGGTTATTTTCATTCAGTTGTACAACCACTGTCCCTGGTCCATAGAAGTGCACATGACTCTATACAATTTTGTAGCCCTTGTAATTAATGCACGTCTGCCTAAAGCGCAGTTGTCCTGGCTTAGGTCTTACAGATATAAGTAAATGCTCTGATGATAGTTCTGCATTGAAACATTTCTCCACAGGGTGCCCTGCACCTCAAGTGATTGCCAATGGGGAACGTGACTCTGAAAGTCTGGAAGATTTTCCTTATGGCTCCTCTGTGACGTATCGTTGTGACCCTGACTACTTTCTTACTGGAGCTGCGACAATACACTGTCTGTCTTCTGGAACATGGGATCAGTCTGTTCCTCACTGTAAAAGCAGACAACGTAGGTGGCAATATATTTAGCTTTTCCAGATGAATAACACTGCTACTATTAAAATATAATAAAATGATTATAAAAAGAGATAAAGCACTTAAAATGATAAAACAAGTAAAACTATTTGATACGGAGCAGAACAGCTCTAATTCAGTAAAAAAGGTGTTATGGGACCCACAAAATAAAATATTTTTAACTGTCAAAAGGTAAAGAAGTGGATTTTCAGCATGTGGCGAAAGCTATACATAAAAGATACTAAGCAAACATTTGTGGGGAGAGGGTGCCACAGTTTCTCTCTAGCCATGCTCAAACCCCTCCTCCCAATATTGTCACAATTACTTGCCCCCACATCTATTTGTAATGGAAATGAGAAAACAAGTGTATTGAATTTGGTCATTTGAGATACTATCTGCATATAGGAAACTATTATGATTCCTTGAGTTGAAGAATCTTTCTTATTTATTTTCTGCTAGATTCCACTTCTATTCCTCTGTCCGAGATTCAGTGCCAGCAACCCACAAAAATCCAAAATGGGGATCACAGCCACCAGGAATTGTCAGTGTTTACCAGTGGAATGTCTGTGAATTACACATGTGAGCCTGGCTACTCTCTACGTGGAGAGGCAACAATTTATTGCACCCCATCTGGCAAATGGTCTGCCCCTGCTCCTCACTGCAAAAGTAGGTTTCTGGATTGCAATACACGAGACATAGGGTGGCACAGTATTCTGTACAAGCCGATGGAGAAGAGATCCAAACTGTATACATGTAGAAAACATGAAGTACACAAAGAGGATGGGAGAATAACTTTGAATGGTCTTGACATTGTAAGTACACTCTTTTCCTTTCAGAAATTCAATGCCGGCCACCCCCAAGTATCCAAAATGGGATTCACAGCAATGAGGGATCATCAGTGTTCACCAATGGAATGTTTGTGAAATACACCTGTGAGCCTGGCTACTCACTTACTGGAGAGGGAACTATTTATTGCACAACCTCTGGCACATGGAGTGCTCCTGCCCCGCATTGTGAAGGTGTGTGTCTTGCTCATAGGCGTTAGTGGCTTTTTTTCAGCTGGGACATAACATGCTACCAGAGAGTAGCACACAATGGTGCCCTTATAAAGAACCTCTGGACCAGAAATACTCGTTCTGAACCTGGATCTACATGGCAGACATGGGTTGGAACAATAGCCCATAATAGTAGTAGAAGAGGGCTGGTACTCCTGTGATCTCAAACCATGATTAATGGGAAAATAGGTAGCTTATGCTAGCTACAAAAACTAGTATCTACTATAGTGAAGGAGTTGCAATCCTCGGATCAGGAATTGGGAGGGTTTCTACTTGCTTTGAGATAAGCTTGATGCTCATATAGTTTTGCTTTAGAATTGCAGTGTCCCCCTCCTCTGCCTATTCCAAATGGTGATCACAATGGCCACGGAGAAGCTCATTTTGCTACAGGAAGATACGTCAATTACACCTGTGACCGTGGCTACCTGTTACGTGGCAAGGCTTCCAGTCAGTGTACAGCCTCTGGAGCTTGGAGTCAACCTTTACCCCAGTGTGAAGGTCAGTATTTCCCTGCCTATCCCTGTTGGCTAAAAACACAGAGCAAGTGATACTTGGGAATTCTCAGTTAGCATCATTATATCGACTTCTGGTTTTCTTTTCTTTTTGCAGTAATGCATTGTCCACCGCCACCAAGCATTGCGCATGGAAAGAATATAGGAGAAGACCTCACCTATGGGAGTTCTGTAATATACATTTGTGATGCCGGTTATTCCCTCGAAGGAGAGTATCTGGTTACCTGTATTTTAGAAGGCTCCAGCTCTGTGAACTGGACTAAACTTCCAAAATGCAAAGGTTATTTTCATTCAGTTGTACAACCACTGTCCCTGGTCCATAGATGTGCACATGACTCTGTACAATTTTGTAGCCCTTGTAGTTAATGCACGTCTGCCTAAAGTGCAGTTGTCCTGGCTTAGGTCTTACAGATATAAGTAAATGCTCTGATGATAGTTCTGCATTGAAACATTTCTCCACAGGGTGCCCTGCACCTCAAGTGATTGCCAATGGGGAACGTGACTCTGAAAGTCTGGAAGATTTTCCTTATGGCTCCTCTGTGACGTATCGTTGTGACCCTGACTACTTTCTTACTGGAGCTGCGACAATACACTGTCTGTCTTCTGGAACATGGGATCAGTCTGTTCCTCACTGTAAAAGCAGACAACGTAGGTGGCAATATATTTAGCTTTTCCAGATGAATAACACTGCTACTATTAAAATATAATAAAATGATTATAAAAAGAGATAAAGCACTTAAAATGATAAAACAAGTAAAACTATTTGATACGGAGCAGAACAGCTCTAATTCAGTAAAAAAGGTGTTATGGGACCCACAAAATAAAATATTTTTAACTGTCAAAAGGTAAAGAAGTGGATTTTCAGCATGTGGCGAAAGCTATACATAAAAGATACTAAGCAAACATTTGTGGGGAGAGGGTGCCACAGTTTCTCTCTAGCCATGCTCAAACCCCTCCTCCCAATATTGTCACAATTACTTGCCCCCACATCTATTTGTAATGGAAATGAGAAAACAAGTGTATTGAATTTGGTCATTTGAGATACTATCTGCATATAGGAAACTATTATGATTCCTTGAGTTGAAGAATCTTTCTTATTTATTTTCTGCTAGATTCCACTTCTATTCCTCTGTCCGAGATTCAGTGCCAGCAACCCACAAAAATCCAAAATGGGGATCACAGCCACCAGGAATTGTCAGTGTTTACCAGTGGAATGTCTGTGAATTACACATGTGAGCCTGGCTACTCTCTACGTGGAGAGGCAACAATTTATTGCACCCCATCTGGCAAATGGTCTGCCCCTGCTCCTCACTGCAAAAGTAGGTTTCTGGATATCAGGATCTTTCAGAATGGTTCAAAGAGTGCAGGCATCTAAATTTTGTTTCAATCTTTACGCATTATTGTTCCCCTCTTCATTGGAAAATTTTGGATTCTGACACATTCTTACATTAATGCTTCCTGAAACTGGAAGGACATATTTTGGAACTGTATCACACAGAGTTTTGTTTTGCATAGGATAACTGTGGGTGTGAGCTGTCCGTTAGGAAAGAGAAAGCCAGATTGGCAAGTGGTGAAAGCAAGTGCTTGCTTTATCAGTGGAAGTCCTGTCAAGACCAGTGTGTTGGACAATGCCTCCACAAGAGTTCAGCCAGATTAGCAAATGATTTAATGCCCTTCTGAAAATGTTTATGGGTCCTGGGACAATTTATGCAATGGCAGGGGTGCCTGTGACTGAAACCCTAAATTCCTAAGTCAACACTCGGAACATATTATTGACTGTACTGCAGTGGGTGCTGGTACTAAATTAAAGCATGTTTAATTTAATTAAAGCAACAGCTATCCTTCTGATTTTTCAGGCCTATTATGTTAGGCTGCTCCACTTAATTATTTATTAAAAGTATAAAAATAATTACTAGTACAGCTATTGAATACACAAGAAAAGGAAAACTTTTAAAGGGCTCAAACAGAACTACTGCACAATTTAAAGACTGGACTTCTTACTTAGATACTATATTCTGAAAGTTATTTTATTATGTATATTACCAACCAAAGAGTTTATTGTATTAACCAAAGGCCATAAGAATTTCACTGCAATTTGCCAAACAGCAAACCATAACATACAGCATACAACAATTACATAATGCAGGGCATCAAGGATTTCAAGGAAGGTAGTAAGAGTTCATGCCTAGCTTAACTTCTGTTAGACCTCTGAATCCCCAGTGCAACTTATTGCAATATTGTCTAGCTCTCGCTCTCTAAATCTTTCTTGAACCCAGAGCATAAGGTATCACTTTATCTGTCACAAATCTGTTAGCATCACACAAAAGAAAGTGAACCATTTTTGCCATAGTAAACCTACTTCCAGGAATTCCAGCAAGAGTTTCAGTAATTGGTCTCTTGGATCCCTGTACAAAAGGCAGATTAACAAGTAATGTGTGATGCCTTCCACCTGTGCTTGGCCACAGACTGTCATCATATGGAACCCTGTTTTAGTGCTCCCCCCAAGACCACCATGGGCATCACATTTTTAAGGCAGCAGGCATGAGTTTGGGCAAATAACATGCTCTGAAATCTTCCATTCATTTTCCAAAATGAGAACCATGGCAAGAATTTGGTGTTATGTACTGAAGTTATCACCCTGGGCCAGCAGGTGGATACTGTAGATAGTTTTCACTCAGGTCCACATATACAAATAAGGGATTGAAAGTGACGTTCAGTGATTGGATAGTTACAGAAAGCTGTAATGGTTGTGTTGTAGTGGAGCTCTATATAAGCAGGCTGGCTGAACCCTTCAGTTCAGTTCTGTTCTGGCCTGTGAATAAACAAGAGCTGTTTGAAGAATCGCTGTGTCGTCTGATATGTTCACCCACAACTTAACTTTTGGAATTCTTGATTAAATGTAAATCCTTTCTGGATTCTGTCCAGAAGGTTATGTATAATAGTGTTGGAGATATTTTCTCCCTCACTCACTGACTAGTGCAGAGGAACACGACTTTCTATTTCTCTTTTCAGTGATACAGTGCCCCTCGCCTCCAAATGTCCAGCATGGAAATTACAGTGCACCAGAATCAATACAATATACCAATGGAAAATCTGTAAATTTCAGCTGTCAACCTGGTTATGTACTAATAGGGGAGGCAACACTGAATTGCACAGCATCTGGTGTGTGGAGTCTTCCTGTCCCACACTGTGAAGGTAAGTGTGTATATAATTCCTCCACAGCCATAAAGGACCCTAGCTGCCACTGCTGGCCAGCAGTATTTATCCAGTTTATCAAACTGTCTTTCTTTTCTGAGGTTCTCTCAGAAAAGCTGCTATTGCAACTCTAATTACAAGAACAAGCCTGATGAGCGTTCCAGGTAGCTACTTCTCCAAATCCCAAATTATTTCCAGATTAAGTTCCTACTGCCAAAATAAGGAGGGTTTGAAATTTGCAGGCCCCAATACTGTAAGACGCACGATCAGTGTTTTGTACTCCAATATGCTTTAAAAGAAAATGGCTATAGATGACTTGGACAAGTGAGCCAAGCCATGCACTGTAGAGGAAGAGAAAAAAGGGGTTTCTACAGTTTTTCTAAACTCACAATATACTACAGTGGTACCTCGGTTTACGAACTTAATCTGTTCCGGAAGTCCATTCTTAAACAGAAACCATTCTTAAACTGAAGCATACTTTCCCACTGAGGCCTCCTGCTGCCGGTGCCCTTCCACCGTTCAGATTCTGTTCTTAGACCGAGGTAAAGTTCGCAAACTGGGACACTACCTCCGGTTTTGCAGAGTTCGTAAACCAAATCGTTCTTAAACCAGACTGTTCTTAAACCGAGGTACCACTGTATTAAGTTTATCAGTCACAGGAGCAAAAGTAAATTATCAAAAAGTATTTGTAAATTTTAGATAATTCCCATCCTCACCTCTTTCCTGATATGCCATTTTCATTATCTTTGATTTTCAGCAGTAGGCTGCATCCTCCCACAGATTTCTGGTGGCAAGAAGGAGAACTCAGAAATTGTGATTCAGATTGGAGCTAATGTGACTCTGGAATGCGAGGATGGTTATGTCTTGAAAGGCAGTTCTCGTGTTCAGTGTCAGCCTGATTTCACATGGGATCCTCCTGTGCCAGTTTGTAACCAAGGTGAGCAACAGAAAGGATGGGTTTATGTAGATGACGAATTTGCATTTCGTTGAAGTTTGTATTGATGGAAAGATTTGTATTGCCATCCAGCAAGTGAATTTAGAAAATATCAGCAAAAGCTAATGGCTTTATTCCACAATAAAGCCCTGTCTTGATTTCCTCTGTGCACCACAAGTGGCACATACATCAAGAATATACTTCATGTCTGGAGAGAATGGGAGGGCCGGTAGGCCTGAATCCTGTCTGGTCTCCTTTACTGAGCTACTGCACAGTCCACAGCTAAAAAGGCTAGAGGCAAAATGATACCAAGCTGCCAGGGAGGGGGGGGGGCAGAAGGATAGTATATTTCCTATAGTATTTCTTACTGATTTGGTAGACTTGTTAAACTTGCCGAAGTCTGATCACGCTTGATCATTAGTCACATATTAATAGTGAAATGGCATATTAAGATACCATTGATCAATTGACTGGCATATGGACATTTAAGTTTCCTAAGGTGAATATATTTCCTCAGTAATAAAAAAAAACCATGCATTGCTTGACAATTACTAATGCCATTGTTACATCCCCCAACATATTTACTTTAAGTTTTATTTGATAGATAAATCAGTTTCTTAATTATAAAACTATGTGCTTAGAAAGCTTTCACTCAATGTTTCTTGATCAGCTCATTCCTTATGTTTCATTTTGCACTTTAGGTTTTTATATCTCCGTAGCCACAGGCATTGGTAAGTAACTTCCAGAGAATTCCATCTGATTCTTTATAAATGTAGGATGCTACAACTCCACAAAACATATATAGAATGGCTTAAGCCTATTAGTGCCAGTGGTGGCTGATGCTCATTGGGACTGGTAGGGTGAAAGGCAGAGAGGCCAACAGTAGGTGGAGCCACAGCCAATGAGAGGCTGAACCAACTGAACCGGTTTGTCCCCATCCTCCTCACTACCGAATTCTATGAACATGGAGGAGGAGGAAGCTGATAGCTGCTGCCACCTCCTGTAAGAAGACTGAGGTTGGTGGGGCAGTACCCTATTTTCCTTAAAGGTCCAGCCTTTGCTAATTTTCTGTCTCATAGTTTAGCACATATTTTCCAGAATCATCTATACTAATAACAAACTCAGGTGCTGCATTGTGACAGCAATGGAGGCAATGCTGAGAAACGAGAAGAGGTGGTAGCAGCATGCTTGGCAAAACACCAAGATAGCAGGTAGAAAAGAAACATTTAGGAGAGTACACTAATATGGGGTGCACTATTACTTACATTTGAGAGATATGGGACAGGGGATTATTGGTTTGTTTTTGTTCTTATTTTCATTATGCAATTTGTGTTTTTAATATTGTAATTTTATGTTGCGAACCACCCTGAGATCTACAGATGAAGGGCGGTATACAATTTTAACAACAACAGCAGCAATGATGATGGACTGGCATCTGAAGCAATGTATTTGGAAGGGGACAACTCCACTTCCACTATCACAGGAATGTTGTGTCCCTATTCCCTCTCATTGTTATATATTACTTCAAATACAAATGTATTAAGTATTTTAAATGTATTTTATTCTACTCTAGCAACAGGCTCAGAGAAGTATTTTATCCTCACAATAACTCAGTGAGGTACTGAGAAGTATTTTATCCTCACAATAACTCAGTGAGGTACTGAGAAGTATTTTATCCTCACAATAACTCAGTGAGGTACTTTAACATGACAGAGTAATTTGACTAAAGTTACTAAAACCTAAAGTTCCCTTTTCAAATCCAACCCTCTTAACACCCCATTCCCTACTATGCTGGCTCTCAGATAAGAAATACAGAAGATATGCAAAGATCACCGCCACCATGTCTTACACATTTGAGTACAGTTATAAGAGCTGTTCTAGGTTTCCATTAAAAAAAACAACCTGGAGGAAGCTCAGGTGGCCACTTTTATTATACAGCTATTTTGTCAGGAACAGAGTCAAAACATGCCATGACTCTAGAGCAGAAATGTTGCATTGGATTGCTTTATCTCCCTTTCAACCTAATCCTAAACGGTTATATTCAGAATTCTAGGTAAACTAGGATTTCAACTTGTTTAAAAATATGTAATTTAATATAGAATTTAAATGAACATTTATCAAAACCCAAAACATTTTTGTAAATGTCAAAATTTACGAGAGTGCACTCATTCATATTCATAAATCTCATATATAGCTCAGGATTCAAGAAACTGCAATTAGCTCATAAGGTAAAGGTAAAGGGACCCCTGACCATTAGGTCCAGTCATGACCGACTCTGGGGTTGTGGTGCTTCATCTTGCTTCTGGGTCATGTGGCCAGCATGACTAAGCCACTTCTGGCGAACCAGAGCAGTGCGCGGAAACATCGTTTCCCTTCCCGCCGGAGCAGTACCTATTTATCTACTTGCACTTTGATGTGCTTTCGAACTGCTAGGTTGGCAGGAGCAGGGACTGAGCAATGGGAGCTCACCTCATCGTGGGGAATTCAAACCGCCAACCTTCTGATCGGCAACTCCTAGGCTCTGTGGTTTAACCCACAGCGCCACCCACGTCCTTGGAATTAGCTCATAGCTGTCTTCAAATAAAGGTTGCAGAATTATTGACTATGAAATTAGAAAGATGTTTTGTCGGGATATAAAAATGAAAACCATGCCGATTAATGGGTTAATTTTTAGAATGTTTCTTTTGGATTTTGTAGTGTAAATGATTTCTGATGAATTATTGTAGTATTTTTATTAAAGAACTTTTTGTTTGTTTTCCAAAATATGATGGTTTTATAATGTTACTATTAGGAATTACGGGATACAAACATTATTCATTCTTTGGTTTCAACAGGCTCTCTGGTTGGCGCCTTGCTGCTTTTGGTTATTGCTGGTGTTTTCTGTGTAATTGTAATTGTTTTGAAGCGGAACAAAGCGTAAGGCACATTACTTTATTTTTATGACTTATTTGTATTACTCGGTACTAAGTTACACACATTTGCAGACCGATCCGTGTCCCAACCCCTGCACAAAAGTACAAGCGGTGTTTTTCAGCTCTACGAGGACAAAAGCCATAGCTTTTTACACAAATGCAAATGCATCATTTGCCTTCTGTTTTGGGAGAATGGCCATGGGGTGGTATCAGCCATCCTCTACCTTAGGCATCCCCAACCTTCAGCCCTCCAGATGTTTTGGACTACAATTCCCATCATCCCTGACCACTGGTCCTGTTAGCTAGGGATCATGGGAGTTGTAGGCCAAAACATCTGGAGGGCCACAGGTTGGGGATGCCTGCTGTACCTGGTGCCCTCCATGTGTTTTGGGCAATAACTTGCATCAACCCACCTGCTTCATCAGATTGTTCGTTTCTTTTGCACTGTAATTAAAGGAACATTGGCTATATCTTTTAAAAAAATTCTTTTTCTGTAAGATATGTTTTTAAATAGAACACCCATTAACAGGGCATGCCAAGATTTCACACTTCTATAAATTTACACTGATCTTTCAGTAGTTTGAAGAATTAGTTGTTATCTTGGCAAACAGCCACATCTCCATGTTGGGAAAGATAATGGGGTTAGAAGAATCTGAGGAAAGGATAATCTGTGCGGCAAAAATCACCTCCCTCCCTCCTGCCCCATCTCCAGCTGGATTGTCCTGTGAACAGAGTTCCACTCACAGGAACTCTGGATCCTAGGCATCTTTAAAAAAAAACATTTTAGTTTATTTGAATCCCGAACTCTTCTACTTGATTCTTCAATACTGTTTTCTTCCTATTTCTTAAGTAAATATACTCCTGCAAGCAACAGAATATATGAAAGTCCAGACCTTCAAGTAGCATGATCCAACTCTGAAAAAGGCTTCGTTATTGCAGTAATAGGTAACACTTTGATTTAGATAATTTTATCCACATTCAAAATGTCCAAGTTGAATGTTAAAAAGGAGACCCTGAGTCTAATGCTAAAAAAAATGGGGTGGGGAAACTATGATCCTCTAGATATTGCTGTATTACACTTCCATCATCATCATCATCATCCCTCACCATAGACTAAGACAATTGGGGCTGATGGAGTTCAACATCCTCTGAAAGGCCACAGGTTCCTCACAATAGCTGACTCCCTTCTCTCCCCCAGCCCCCGATAATACGCATTTATTTCTTATATATGCATGTAATGCATGCAGTAATAGAGAACTAGCTATAGATTACAGTATGTACCAATATCTGAATCTTCTGATATTGCCCCCGTTCTAAAGATAACTGTTTGCAGCAAGATAAAATGTGTGTGTGTGTGTGTGTGTGTGTGTGTGTGTATATATATATATATGCTTTCGTAGATTTTCACGGGTACAGGAATGCAGGTTTTGGTGTCCTCGGGTGTCTTCCCGTGTAAAAGTTGGGGTGTCTAGGCGACGTTTCGACGAGGTCTCACTCGTCATCTTCAGGCTGGTGCTTTCGGCTTCTTGTTACTGGAACAGAGCAGGATCTCAGTGTTTGAGTTCCTATAAATACTGTTGAGGGGGTGTGGTGTATAGCCTCCAATGTTCTGGGCAGAGAGGAAGTTCCCAGGCTAGTGTGCCTTTTCTTCTTTTGTTCCTTAATTACTTGAGGGATATCTTGAGTGATTTCTTGAGTGATATTCTGAGTACCACTTAGGTGGGTCATTAGGTGTGGATTAGTTGCTCAAGCCTTCGTGTCTTGACCTCTTGAACTTTGTGAAGAGTTTTTTTCTGAGAAGATGGCTGTACTGCACTTAGTTGTGCTCTGGCTTGGCTTCGGGTATAGGGGCGAGCTGTGGTTTTGTGCCCTGTGCCAGCCAGATCTGTGTAGGGATTGCAGGGGGGTGCCGCATCCGGAGGTGCCACTATGGTTTGGCTACTGGATGGTGTCTGTAATTTATCCGTGGAGAGGGTCTGGGTTTGGGTCTGGTGTGGTTGATTGGTGATGGCGTTCTGTGTGCCTCTGGATCTGGTGTCGGTTTTTGTGGGGAGGGCTAATTTCCAGATGTCTGGCAGGCGGGACGTGTCGTCACGCTTGTTCATGTTGTGAGGGTGTTTCTCTATCTCGATGGCTTCCATGATTATTCTCTTGTGGTGATGTTCCATGTTAAAGAGCAATTTGGAATCTGCAAAATTAATTTCGTGTCCTGTTTCTTTCATGTGTTGGAAAAGAGAGGAAGTTTTTTCTTCTTTTTTGACGGCATTCTTGTGTTCTGCGATACGTGCATTTATTCGTCTGTTTGTTTGTCCAATGTACGTGGCTGGGCAGACTTTGCAGGGTATTTCATAGACCCCTTGGTTTTCCAACTGGATTTTATCTTTGGGGTTTCTGAGGATATTGGCTATTTTTTGGTTGGTGCAAAAGGCTGTTTTGATATTGTGTTTATGGAGGATTTTGCTAATTTTGTCTGTAGTGCCCTTGATATAAGGAAGGAGGGCCATGCCATTGTTTTCTTCTGTGTCTTGGTTTTTGGGGGGTGTTTCTTTTTGGATTAGCTTCGTAACCCTGTTTTGCTGGTATCCATTGGCGATTAACACATTTGAGAGATTCTGTAACTCAGTTGTCAAGTGGTCTTTGTCAGCCAGGCGTTTGGTTCTGGAGATGAGAGTCTTGGCTACGGAGTTTATTTGTGCAGGGTGGTGGTGTGATTGTGCATGTAAGTAGCGGTTGGTGTGTGTTTTTTTCCGGTAGATAGTGTGTCCTAGGGAGCCATCAGGTTTTTTGTAGATTAGGACGTCAAGGAAGGGAAGTTGGTTGTTGGCTTCTATTTCCATAGTGAATTGTATTTTGGGGTGTAGGCTGTTGAGATGTGTGAGGAAGCTATCTAGTTTTTCCTTCCCGTGTGGCCAAATTACAAAGGTGTCGTCAACATATCTGAGCCAAAGTTTGGGTTTGTGTTCTGACTTGTCTAAAGCATTGGTTTCAAAGTGTTCCATGTACAGATTTGCGATGACCGGTGAGAGGGGTGATCCCATAGGTGCTCCTTCTATCTGTTTGTATCTTTGTCCATTGTGGATGAAGTACGTGTTGGTTAGGCAGTGGTTGGTCAGGTCCAGGATGTATTCGGGGGGATTGTATTTGTTTTGAATGGCTGTCAAGGCTTCATTAATGGGCACTTGTGTGAAGAGAGATACAACATCGAAGCTCACAAGTAGGTCATCGGGATGTAGGTTTTGCTTCTTTATTGTTTCTATGAACTGGAAGGAGTTTGTAACGTGTGAAGAGATGGATTCTGCATAGGGCTGAAGTTGCTTAGCGAGAAATTTAGCGAGATTTTGTAGAGGTGAGCCTATGGAGCTGACTATTGGTCTGAGTGGTGTTCCTTCTTTGTGTATCTTGGGGAGGCCGTAGAGTTTGGGGCATCTGGATGATTTTTCTCTGGGGATGATTCTTAGCTGGATTTCTTCACTGATAGGAGAGGCTTTTATTTTGGATTTGGTGGTTTTTTCCAGATAGGTGGTGGGATCTGTTTTTATAGGTTGGTAGGTAGGGTCTTGGAGTAGATTTGATAGTTTTGCTTGGTAGTCCGATGTGTTCATCACAACAGTGGCATTACCTTTGTCTGCTGGGAGAATGATTATGTTGTTGTCTTTCCTCAGGTTGGTGAGTGCCTTCTGTTCTTCTTTGTGTAAATTGCTTCTGGGTGGTTTGCTGGAGCAGAGGATGTTGGTGACTTCAAGTCTGATTTTATTGGCTTCATCTGGGTTGATTTTGGTTAGGCTAGCTTTGACTCCGCATATGATGTTTTCCGTGGGGATGCGTCTCGGGGCGACTGCAAAGTTGAAACCTTTGGAGAGTACTTTGGTTTCAGTTGAGGTGAGGATCCTGTCTGATATGTTATGTACTGTTTGTTTCATGGGTTGTTGTGGAGGGTGGCTGGGCTTCTGGCGTTTCTCTAGTTTGTGGAGTTTGTTGGTGTGTGTGTCTGTCTTATGTGAGGTCTCAGTTTCAGCTCTCCAGACGGCTAGTTGTTTGCATTTGTCCCAGAGTGCAGGGTGGATTTTGTTACAGAGTTTGAGGTGAAGAGTGAGCAGATCTTTGTTGGTTTGGTTTAGTAGGTATCTTTTCTTATGTAGTTCGTTTCTGATTAGGGATAGTTCAGTTCGTTTCAGGATCCTTTCGGTAGCTGGGGTTTTAGAGTGGAATTTAAGTTGGAAGCATGTGGGAATTAAGTTGTTGTCTCGGCAGTTGCGTAGGAACAAGAGATCACATAAGATGGTGGCTCTTCGGATTTCTAGTTTCTCGTAGGTTCTTGTCAGCTGGAAGGTTTCCTCCCCGTAGAGGTGAGATATTTGCTTTCGTAGATTTTCACGGGTACAGGAATGCAGGTTTTGGTGTCCTCGGGTGTCTTCCCGTGTAAAAGTTGGGGTGTCTAGGCGACGTTTCGACGAGGTCTCACTCGTCATCTTCAGGCTGGTGCTTTCGGCTTCTTGTTACTGGAACAGAGCAGGATCTCAGTGTTTGAGTTCCTATAAATACTGTTGAGGGGGTGTGGTGTATAGCCTCCAATGTTCTGGGCAGAGAGGAAGTTCCCAGGCTAGTGTGCCTTTTCTTCTTTTGTTCCTTAATTACTTGAGGGATATCTTGAGTGATTTCTTGAGTGATATCCTGAGTACCACTTAGGTGGGTCATTAGGTGTGGATTAGTTGCTAAAGCCTTCGTGTCTTGACCTCTTGAACTTTGTGAAGAGTTTTTCTGAGAAGATGGCTGTACTGCATTTAGTTTATATAAATAATTTTATTGCATTCATATCCTTCCTTTCATCTGTCATGGAATCCTAAGGGGGCATACACATGGTTCCAAGATGGTCACCTGTTGAGGCATTGACAATACTCAGCAGGGCCATCTTAAGCATATCCGGTGCCGTGGTGCAAAAATCCCTCTGGCCCGCCTCCCCCCCCCCCCCGTTTCCCAGAGTTGTCAACCTTTATACAGCGCTGCTGGCAGCTTTGCGGGCAGCGGCTGGAGGGTGGCTCCTCCAGCGGGCAAGAGGCGGAGGCTCCGGGCGTGGCGCTGCTTCAGCGAGGTGGGCAAGGGCTGCGAGCTGATGCTGGGAGGCGCCACACCCACCCTCCGCCTCTTCTCTGGTGCCCATGCCGCTGTGGCCACGGCAGGCGGAGGCTCCAGGTCTGGCGCCCTCCAGAACTTGGCACCCTGCACCACTTGCCTCTATGGGCAAGACACCCCTGATACTTATACCTGCTAAATAGTGGCCCCATGTCCCTTCAGACCTGGGACTCTTTCTTTGGATTCCCCATCATCATTCCTTGCTACTGTTCATGTGGCACTTACTCCAGCATTTAGGAGGTCTCTCGTTGAGAAGGAATTCTGAACCAACCAGATTTAGCTTCATGAATACATTAAGCAGTTAGAATCATGAAGGTGAACATGTGCCTGGATGAAATAGTGAAAATTCATTGTAAATAAAAGGAATATTTACTGAATACTGCTACTGTTATTCCCACCTAAATTACAGGTGAAAGTAACTGGATGAACAGATGCCAACAAATATACCTGCTTCTTTGGACCACTTGACACAATCACTGCTTGGAAAGTGAAAACAAGTATTTTGCTACATGCAGAAGAGGAACACATTCATGTTTCAGTTTTTGCACTGCCCCTTTCAGATAGAAATAATCACTGTGGTTTTGATATGCTAACTTTTTTTGTATTTTCAAAATATATAATATAATACAAGCTACCTTGTAGGATTAATATTCTGAAAGATCAGAAATAAATAATTGTTATAAATAAAATTAAATTTAAAAATTATGTATTTTGTTCTTAATTCACAGCCAACTTGCATTTGACATAATTGACTTATTGCAACAGGTACTGAAATTCTTTGATGGTTGTGGCTGTTTTCATTAAACAGCTGTATGTATCATAAATGGAGCTGACGCCTGCAAGAGAAGTTTGGCTTGGAAATGTTTCAGAGATATCACTGGTTTACTTAATGAATTCACTCTACAGATGGGGACAGTAGTAGGAAAGATGTTTGACTTGGAATGATGCAGTCATCCCTTTATGAAGTGATAGTCTTGATCAACATCTTTATCTTACTAAACTCTAGACATATAAAACTACTTTGTACAGATATATAAATTTCTGTGAGGGTTTGTTGCTGCCTTAAAGGCACAACCTATCACTTGGCAACCCAGTATCCTAATCTAAGTTATATGCAAGTGGCTGCAATCTGCGGGAAAAATAGCACTGCACATGCCTAGAAGCACACCATCCTCTATGTATACCTTCATATCATTCACAGCTTTAACCCTGGCATTGAAAACAAGTTTCATGAATGAAACAAATATTGCAGTCTTACGTTAACTTACTTGATATGGATATGCATTGAATTGAGTGGGTTTTGCTTCTGGGTAAACAGTTTTAGACTCAGAAACTAGTGGAGTAGCATTTCAGTTTCCCAATGCATTCTGTAGCAAACCTGAAAAATTATCATACACCAGCAAAATTTTTGAAATGGAGACTCTAAATAAAGCTACCATGCTGAATAATAATAGAAACATGGTCATCAGATCCTAGAAATTCATAGCTCTCTACAAAAAGATTCTTTAGTTTTCAACCACTTACACTCATACCTCGGGTTAAAGTTGCTTCAGGTCGAGCGTTTTCAGGTTGTGCTCCACGGCTGCGGAACAGATCCTGTTTGCATCCAGAGGTACCACTGTGCTGCCCTCTGCCAATTTGCCATCAGTTGGGGGTAGGTCATACCAATCACACTAAAGGTAAAGGTAAAGGTACCCCTGCCCGTACGGGCCAGTCTTGACAGACTCTAGGGTTGTGCGCTCATCTCACTCTATAGGCCGGGAGCCAGCGCTGTCTGCAGACACTTCCGGGTCACGTGGCCAGCGTGACAAGCTGCATCTGGCGAGCCAGTGCAGCACACGGAACGCCGTTTACCTTCCCGCTGGTAAGCGGTCCCTATTTATCTACTTGCACCTGGGGGTGCTTTCGAACTGCTAGGTTGGCAGGCGCTGGGACTGAGCAACGGGAGCGCACCCCGCCGCGGGGATTCGAACTGCCGACCTTTCGATCGGCAAGTCCTAGGCACTGAGGCTTTTACCCACAGCGCCACCCGCGTCCTCACCAATCACACTAGCTCTTGCCTATTTGGATGCAATATTCTTTTGTGCTCTATGTGGTGCATTAACTTTATTGTTTCTATCAGCTTTTGGCCTAACTGGTTCTCTCCCCACCACTCTCTTCTCTTTGTACTAGGGTATGTGTGGCCCCCCAAAGCTTATGCCACAAAATATGTGTTAGTCATAAAAATACCACAAGATTCCTTAGATGTCTTTTGTAAATAAACTTGTAACAAAAGACGTACTGCAATACTCATTGATTGAAATAGCGTGATATGGCCTTTGGCTAGCACAATAAAAATTCTTATAAAAAGTTATTTTTAAAAAAAGGCTGAGGTTTCCCACCACACCAAAACACATCCAGCTCCCTTTGCTGCTCCAAGAACATAAAAGTTGTGCCCCACTCTCTCCACCAGACCATATTATTGAACTACAACTCCCATGATTCCTGATTACATGGTGGACGGGGCTGATGGGAGGTCTCACCCCACACCATTAGGAAGGCCAAGGCTTCCTTTCAACTGCCAACTTATTTTCCTTGCTGCCGCTACGTGCTGCCTTTCCTTACTCAACCTAATACTTAGGGTTGCCATATGTCCAGAACCCCCCGGAAATAGCCAGTATTCTGTCCTTGTAAATGGCCTACGGGCGGAAATCGCTGAAATGTCCATGAAAATCCAGGGTAATGCAGCCCATATTGGTAGTGTAGATCTGGGAGATTTTCACACACACACAAAATCGCAAAAAAGCTGGCAAAACTAAAAAAAAAAAACCTCAACAACTTGGCCAAAAATAAAAGAAAGCTCAACCACCTTTGTGTCCGGATTTTCTCGCCTTCACTGTAGCCTGGAAAGTAGGTGGGCGGAGCAAAGGGAGCGCAGCCCTTAGCCAAGCCGCCCATCTCTCCTATCCCACCCAATCGTAGCGCGCTCTCGGGCGGGGGCGGCGCCTCCTGCCGCGCCCAACTCCCAGCACGAGCTCAACTGTTTTGCACACGCTGGACCTCGCCTCCCTCCCGCCTGCCCGCATGCGCAGTCCTGATACCCGGCATTCGACGGCCACTTGTAAAATATGTAACAAGGGACCCGGAAACCTACTTCCTCTCTAAGGCTATAAGTGGGAAGGCCGGTAGCGCGAGCTGAGGGCAGCGTTCGGCACGCGCCTCGCCACTGCCACGCGGCTCCTGCCCAACGTTCTTTCCCGCCTCCTTCCCCCCTCCGCATGCGCAATGAGGGGCTCTCCGCGCCGCCGCCTCAGCTCAGCGTTATGCTGCGGCTATTGTGGGGGCTTCTACGGACTTGCCGGCTCTTGGCGATGTCGATGCTGTTGTTGCTGCTGCCTCAGGAACTGGTGGGTGAGTACGAGGCAGGCAGGCGGCGGCGGCGGAGCCTCTAGCGGCCTCTCTCCCTTCGCGTTGCCTCCCCTCACGCCCGCTCGTGCTTCGAGAGGCTTCGCAAAGCGAGGCATGATGTGGGTTAGAGGCCGCCGGCGAGGAGGCGTCGAGTCCTGGCTCCTCAGCCGCGCGGCAGTTGCGCTCCTCTCCCGCCCAGGATTCGCAGCGGGAGGCAGGTGAGATGCGAGGCCGCCGCAGGGACCTCGCTCGCGGCGGCACGAAGGCATAGGCGCCGTTCAGGCACATATAAAATAACTTATTAAACACTATTCCGTGTGATCACTACCGATTTAAAGTTGGAACGAGCGTGCATCTGCCTTGTTTTATTTTATTCCCTTTTACCCTATTGTACGCATTTGACTCTCCTGCCAACCTGGCAGTTCGAAAGCACGTCAAAGTTCAAGTAGATAAATAGGTACCGCTCTGGTGGGAAGGTAAGCGGCGGTTCCGTGCACTGCTCTGGTTCGCCAGAAGTGGCTTAGTCATGCTGGCCACATGACCCGGAAGCTGTATGCCGGCTCCCTCGGTCAATAAAGCAAGATGAGTGCCGTAACCCCATAGTCGGTCACAACTGGACCTAATGGTCAGGGGTCCCTTTACCTTTACCTTACACATTTGACTAATGTGTTTTATGTGCTTTCTATTTTGTTTCGTTGGTGCTGGTCGTTTGATTGCAACCATAAAGATTCATAGCTGTCAAGTGTCCCTTATGTGAAGGGACAGTCCCTTATTCCAGTGCCATGTCCCGCTGCTATCCCTTATTGATGGATGTCCCTTAAATGATGTCCCTTAAATTTCAAAGGAAGCAGCTCCTCTCCCTCCCTCCCTCCCTGCCGGCCAGGGAGGAGGGAGGCTCCAACTGTGTTGCTTGGCTGTGTTGCTCACCCAATAAGAAGTCTAAGAACGACTGGGGGTGGAGCTTGCATGCCTTGTGTGTGGCTAGTTTATGCAAGCTGAGGGGTTTTTTGAATGCTGGATGCCATTTTGTTGCACGTGCTGCTGCAAACTTTGCAGTGCAAAGCCAGGCTGGGGAGCCATCTTAAGTTGAGGCTGCATAGGCCTTGTGGTGCATGTGATTCAGATTCTATTCAGTTGAACCTCTGGTTACAAAGTTGGTTGGACAGTGTTCTCAAAGCTACCAGCATGAGTTTGACCAGACTGCAGGAGGACAGGAAGACTGGAGTGCCTGGAACAGGTGAGGCTGCAGGTCCCTTATTTTGGCTGCTGGTCCCTGATTTTCAAGGCTGCTGGTCCCTTATTTTCAAATCTGTAAGTTGACAGCTATGTAAAGATTTGATTTGATTCAGATCGATGTCCTCTGGGGTAGCCATTCCAGCTGAGAGGCAGAACTCGCTCCATGCGCTCTTCTGTGATCAGCCAGCTCCACCAGGCCTCCTCTCTCCTCACTGTCATCTGGAGGCCGCTATTCCAGCAAGATAGGAAGCAGGGCTGCTTTACCTGGAAGCCCAGCTCCATCGGGCACCACCTGCCCCAGAACTGTTTTCGCTGGTCGGTTATACGGACCTACCCACGTGACACTGATACAAAAACCTACACAAACACTATGCAATAGAACGAAAGATCATTATACCCCTATCTATTTCCCCTGTGTCTCCTCTCTTCCCCTCTCCCCCCACCGCATAATGCATGCCACAACAGTGTCTCATACCAAAGGTAAATGAATTATGAAAAAGATTCTATGAATTGAAAGTGGAGACACTATACAGTGGTACCTCGGGTTACATACGCTTCAGGTTACAGACTCTGCTAACCCAGAAATATTACCTCGGGTTAAGAACTTTGCTTCAGGATAAGAACAGAAATTGTGCTCCGGCGGCAGCAGGAGGCCCCATTAGCTAAAGTGGTGCTTTAGGTTAAGAACAGTTTCAGGTTAAGAACGGACCTCTGGAATGAATTAAGTACTTAACCCGAGGTACCACTGTATGTACTTTTCTTTCTTTCTTTCACAATAAAATCTTTAATAAAAACTAATTTTAAAAAGATTATAGGAACATCTCTCCCTGAGTTTTTATTTTGATTTTCCTCTTCCTTTCCTGGCCCTTTTCCCTTGTGTGATGTCCTTTTTTAGACCAGTATAGTATGTGAAGAGAAGATGAGTCTTTTCACAAAGACCAATTTTTGCTATACTTGTCAGTTGCTTGAGGCTCAGGTGGTGTTGGTGGCGTGGAGTGCCTTCCATCAGCTTTGTCTGGTGGCCCAGCTGTATCCCTATCTCGACAGGGATAGCCTGCTCTGGTAACCTCTGGGTTAGATTATTGCATTGCATTATACAGTATATGGGATTTAACTCTGAAGACCGTTCAGAAACTTCATTTGGTGCAGAATCAGCTTCCAGCTTGCTCGGCAGGGAAATACGGTTTGAGCATATAACACCAATGCTGGCCATGGCAACTGAAATTTTAACTGATGGTATTCGATTCCCTTTAAATGTGTATAGATGGTTTAAAATGTTTTAGAAATGTTTTAATTTAATTTTAAATCATACTATTGTAGCATTAGATGCTTACTACCCTGGGCTGCTTTGGGAGGAAACACAGTTTTTAAAAAACCAAATAAATGTGTGAAAAATGCACAAAAATCTGTTTTGATGAGGTGGGACCTAGTAATTAGACCTAATTTTCTAGCGTGCATACAGTATATGGGTTGAACACTCCCTTCTGTTATTTATGTTTGTGTTTTCCTGTGTGATTTATTTGATCCCCTCTTTTCTCTTTCCTTTGCTGCCCCTCCACATATACAGTTTGTTTTGTTTTTTTTAAATATTTATTCAAGATTTTAAACATTATCACCAAACACATATAAACCCATCCCCAAAGTACAATAGACAAAGAGAAACACACAAAAAAGAAAAACATACAACATCAAAATCAAATCCTTAATATCCATACTTTCTTCACCTTTTTAGACTTCCTCACGTCTCTCGTTCCTGCATTCCAAATTTATAAAGTTCTAAACAGCAAATTATCACCTTGTTTCAATTCTTATTTTGTATTTTTCCAATATTATGTCTCTAGTTTTAACTACATTAACCAAAAGCTTGAATATTTAATTTAGGCATAATATTAACTCCAAATTTAACTTTTTCTCAAATTTAACCTATTCACAAATTCCTTTCAACTAGCTTACTGATGCCACATTTATTTATTATTCTTGCATCTTTTCTTAACACTCATACAATTTACAATGTTTTTGTAAGTAATCCTTGAATTTCTTCCAATCCTCTTCCACTGCTTCTTCTCCCAGGTCGCGGATTCTGCCAGACATTTCTGCTAATTCCATATAGTCTATCAGTTGCATCTGCCATTCTTCCAGCGTGGGCAGATCTTGGGTTTTCCAATGTTTAGCTATAAGTATCCTTGCTGCTGTTGTTGCATACATAAAAAATGTTAGATCCTTCTTTAACACCCTCTGGCCAACAATGCCCAGAAGCAAGGCCTCTGGTTTCTTAGGAAAGGTATACTTAAATACCTTTTTCAACTCGTTGTATATCATTTCCCAGAAAGCCTTAACCCTAGGGCAAGTCCACCAGAGGTGAAAGAACGTTCCTTCAGTTTCTTTACATTTCCAACATTTGTTATCAGGCAGGTGATATATTTTTGCAAGCTTGACTGGGGTCATGTACCACCTGTATATCATTTATATCATATACCTGTATATCATGTATATCATATACAGTTTGGTGTCAAGTCATATTCTTCATCGATTTACCACAACACAGATATAGAGATCTTCTCCTTAGTTAACTTGGCAAAAACCTCTGGTCTTTCATGTAAGGGAAAGCCTGGGCAAAAGACATCTTTAAAAAATGTTTGAAGGATCTGATGGTTGCTACTTCTCGTATGGCAGGAGGAAGAACATTTCATAGCACAAGGGCAATAGCGGAGAAACCTGATTTTATTGGTATTTATTGGTATTTGTCACTCCACCCAGTTTTGCCTCTGGCCCTGCCTGCTATTAGAATGTGTTCTTGAAAGGTTTTTCAAAAGGGAATGTGGCCCTAGAGCTGAATACGGTTCCCTACCCCTGCCCTTGAGGGGCATTCTGACCAGAATTTTGAACTTGGAAATGTATAAGAATTTATAAGATAGCATCAGTGCAGGTATCATGAGTTTGCACAAGAGAAGATTCAGGAAGGCTGAATTTTAAATTTCAAAGAGTACATGAGTATTTTCAATTGTTCTTTCATATCTTAGTTATAATAATTTGCTTTTTTAAAAGATACTTTTATTACTTATATTTTATTACATTAACTATCAGAACAAATATGGTGAAATAGTGAACAATGTTTTTAGTTCAAAAGACTTAACATCTTTAACTATTGTGTTTTTTAAAGGGGACCGAAAATGGTGTAAAATTGAGGAGTTACCAGTGTTTTCCTTTTCTGAGATCATCCATGAACTACCTGGTAATGCTGTATATGAATGCAAAAACGGTTTTACAAGATTACCTTCAAAACCAAATACGACTTATTGCATTGATGGAAACTGGACACCATTGGAAGACCCCTGTGGTGGTGTGTTGTTCTTATTGTTGTTCATATAAAGTTGCTGTAATGTTATAAACTCAAGAAAAGTTGAGCATCTTCTATTTTGTGGTTGTGATTATAACCATAGTTACCTAGAAGTGAGCTCTACTAAAATAGAGATGACATCAAACTGGGAAGGGTAGCTAATACCACAGAAGATAGAATCACAGTTCCATAATACCTAACAGATTAGAGATCTGGGCCAAAACTAACAAAATGAGTTTCAGTAGAGACATATGTAAGGTTCTACACTTAGCCAGGAAGAAGCAGATGCTCAGATATAAGATGAGGGATACTTGGCTTGCCAGCAGTACATGTGAAAAAGATTTAGGGGTATTAATAGACCATAGGCTTAATGAGTCAACAATGTGATGCATCAGCAAAAAAGCAAATGCTGATCTTGGCTGCAGAAGTATAGTGTCGAGATCAGGGAAGTCATAGTATCACTCTATTCTGCCTTAGTCAGACTGCACCTGCAGAACTTTGTTCAGTCATGGGCACCACAGTTGAAGAAGGGTATTTACAAGCTGGAACATGTGCAGTTGAAGGTGACCAAGATGACCAAGGGTCTGGAAACACAGCCTTATGAGGAATGGTTGAGGGAGTTAGTTATGCTTAGTATGGAAAAGAGACTGAAAGGTGATATGACAGACATCTTCAAATATCTAAAGGGCTGTCACGTGGAAGATGTTTTAGAATGTTTACTAGAATCCAGTAAGTCTCATGACCCTGCACAGGTACTGTTGATGGTGACTGATTCATGCAACCAGAAAAAATAGCAAGTTATGGTTTACCTGGGATACAAGGAAGACTAGTTCGAACTTCATGAAATCTGGGTGGACCTTGTAGGTGCTTGGATCTGTTCCAGAATAAAGAAAGGCCCCTGTTTTTGTCTAATAAAATTTTATTAAGACTTTTTCATAATACAATACAATGAAAAGCAAATTAATCTAGATAAAGAAGAGAAAAGAAAATACAAAGTCAGCTCTCAAAGTTAGATCTTAACCCTTTTCTCACACAGAAAGAGGTGAGAGCTGAGAGTTTACCTTTCTTCCCCCAGTCTCAGCCTGGGAGACCTTCCCTCTCTCGCAGGGTCCTTCACCAAGCTATGATTTTTCATCCCTTTTTTTAAAAAAACAACAACTTCAATTTCCACTATTCTTTCTCCATTCTTTCTTCCATTCTTTCTCCATGAGTTGGTAGCTTTCCCCTGTAAATTCACTCCAAATCATATGGAGAATCCTTTCTCTTCAACTCTATCTCTGCCAGCTCAGAATATCTCTTAGTCTCTCCATCCATGACTTCATTCCACTCCTCCAACATCATAATTCTGCCATTTGACTGTTTTATCCCTCTAGACACTGTTGTGAAGGACTTCTCCATTTCATCATCTACTGCCTCCAACTTTGATTTCACTCTCCTGTTCTGGCAACATTTTATTCCTATTGTTCTCCAAAGCTTCTGTGTCTTTAATTCCATTTTCCATTTCAACCTCCTGTGGTCCATTTCCATTCATCATTTCATGGATCTCAACTCTGATCTATTTTAATTACTCATCCACTAATTGCTGTAATATGCCAACAGTCAATGGGGTGTCCAACAATGCATTTGCCATATGGAATGGTCTTAGTTGTATTAGCAGCTCAGTCTCTACCTTAAGATTTCCATAGTCTCTACATTAAGAGCTTCAGTCTCCCGTCTTCACCTTAAGGTCTTCACAGGATTCCTTATTGGGCTGCATTCTTTTCCCACAGTGACATAGAAAAAATACTTTTCAGTTTGATGTAAGTACCATTGATCAAACAGAGAGTTTAAAATAAAAAAATAAAATAAAATAAAGATTTCTAGCAATTGGGATACCATTTGGCTATTTAAAATTTTCTTAGTTGCAAATAATTAAAACATGCTTTTTGTTTTGCTTTCTGTCTTTTGGTAATCATCTTCTTCAGCCAGCAGTTAGCTCACAATCCAGATGTAAATTTCAAATGGCAGACTGATAACATCTCAGCCGTAATTTAAGCTTCTTGGTCCCGGCATGGAAAGCTGCTTTTTCAGAGCACCTGAGGTTAATCACTTGTTCATTCTCTTTTCCCAGAGCGAATTTGACTGCCAAGATTTACAGCTTGGCTATCAACAATCACAACGAGCTGTTGACTGGAGGTGTTGAGTTCACCATTTCCTTCCCCAGACATCTGGGAAAGCCTCTGTTATTGATGATCTAGAATAGCAACAATTGGATCAGACATGTTATGTGGAGTTTCATACTTCATCTCAAACAGCAGGATATGTTCTGCTAATGCCATTTTATTCTGCATTTGTAGGCTTTGTTAGCACAGTTCAAGTGTTGAATAAGTTTCTTCTGGACCTCTTAAAGGTGTGGCAGGAAGTCTCCAGCAGTAGGCACTGAAGATGAAGCAGGGGTGGCTGGATGTGGCCTGGATCATGGGTTTATTATTCTTGGCAAATTCCACAAATGGCCAGAGCATTGGATTCCTTGACAGAAAGGCAGTATATTCAGACAGTAAAAATCAAAAACAAACAAACAAGATGAAGGCTTTGGGCTTGAGGGGATGGCATGGCAAGGGAGCTAAGTGATGAAGGATAGCTCCTATCCTATTGCCTGTCACTTGACTGATGGTCATTCTATTTTTTTCCACAGCAGTCAGATCAACAGCTGCAGCATATCCCCCCCCCTTAAGATAAATGGAATATACTTTCCCTATGCCAGTTCTGTCATCTAGATTTGCCCATTTTCAAGCAGAAAATTGCACATTTAAGCTGTATTCCTGTATGCACTTACCTGGCTGTTTATTTCTGAGTACATATCAGCACCAGTTGGCAGAGTGACAGCAGTTACCTGACCTTCCATCACCAGCATTGCTGCACTAAATCAGGAGTGGGAGGAGGCTGGCGCACTACAAATGCACCGACAACCAATCTGGTGCTTGTAGTGGTGTTTTCACCATGCTGACCCCACTATTGTGGCTGGTAAACATGCATAGATTGTGGTCTTAATCTTTCAGTTCATTGAACTCCATAGATTGCTGTGTCTACTTGGTTTTTGTGTGTGCACAGTCATACCTCGGGATAAATACGCTTCAGGATAAGTATTTTCAGGTTGCGCTCCGCAGCAACCCGGAAGTAACGGAGCATGTTACTTCCGGGTTTTGCCACTTGCGCATGCGCAGACAGTCAAAATGACATGAGCCAACAGTGTGACGCGGCAGCTAAAAAAGCCAATGCAATTCTGGGCTGCATCAATAGGAGTATAGCATCTAGATCAAGGGAAGTAATAGTGCCACTGTATTCTGCTCTGGTCAGACCTCACCTGGAGTACTGTGTCCAGTTCTGGGCACCACAGTTCAAGAAGGACACTGACAAACTGGAACGTGTCCAGAGGAGGGCAACCAAAATGGTCAAAGGCCTGGAAACGATGCCTTATGAGGAACGGCTAAGGGAGCTGGACATGTTTAGCCTGGAGAAGAGGAGGTTAAGGGGTGATATGATAGCCATGTTCAAATATATAAAAGGATGTCATATAGAGGAGGGAGAAAGGTTGTTTTCTGCTGCTCCAGAGAAGCGGACACGGAGCAATGGATCCAAACTACAAGAAAGAAGATTCCACCTAAACATTAGGAAGAACTTCCTGACAGTAAGAGCCGTTCGACAGTGGAATTTGCTGCCAAGGAGTGTGGTGGAGTCTCCTTCTTTGGAGGTCTTTAAGCAGAGGCTTGACAACCATATGTCAGGAGTGCTCTGATGGTGTTTCCTGCTTGGCAGGGGGTTGGACTCAATGGCCCTTGTGGTCTATTCCAACTCTATGATTCTATGACGTCACATGCATGCACAGAAGTGGCAACCCGTGTACGCGCAGTCACGTCTTACATTCTGTTCAGGATGCGAACGGGGCTCCGGAACGGATCCCGTTCGCATCCCGAGGTACCACTGTATATACATGTGATAAAACAGGAAAGCAGGCAGGATGTAGGCAGTCTGTTAGCAGTGGTGAATCTTCTAACATTCTGACGTTTGTATTATTCTAGTTTCTAACATGGTGTCATAAGTTGTTATATTGCTTTTTGTTTGCAGAAGTCTGCCCCTTTCCACCAAAGCAAACTAGAGCTAAACTAAAAGATGAGTTTGGAACTTCAGTATTGTTTCCTGTTGGGATGGTAGTACACTATGTATGTAAGGCAGGATTTGAACAAGTTCCTGGTATCTTGAATACTATTACCTGTGGTAAAAATATGAAGTGGTCACCGCTTGCAAGGTTCTGTAGAGGTAAATCATCTTTTGCTTTTGGTTTATTGTAATGATTTGCAGGTATTTATGAACAAAAACCAGACTTTGTTTTTAAAAAGATAAAGTCCCCACAACATGCACGTCCTTGGACATTATTAAGATGAAAGGTTTTTTGGTTTTGGCCCCAAAGACATATTGGTGGTTTGGTGAACAGGGAAATAAAAAGTAGCCCTATAACAGGGGTCTGCAACCTTTAAGACAAAAAGAGCCACTTGGACCCGTTTTCGAAGAAAAAACAACAGCTGGGAGCCGCAAAACAAGCCAAATGTAAATAACCACACATTCTTCCCCTTCCCCCATTCTCTCTCTTTTCCCTGAGTCTATTTCAGATAGCAAAGAGGGGAATGGTACCTCTCATATCCATTTTTTGCAAAGCACCATGTGCATAGAGGGCATTATACAAATTAATACATAGAAAAGTGTCTGTCCCTCCCTGCAGTTCAACTCCCTCTCTTTTTACTAAAAGCACATATCCATTCCTTCTGCTGGTGCAACTTTCTCATCATTTCTACATAGCAGCATTTATAAACCAGTGCCAGAGAAACTGGGTGAAAGGAAGGTGAGAGGGAAGAGATATGAATATTTATGTGTGTATATGTATACATACATACACCTACACAATTACAGGTTTGAAGCCAACTTAAAATAAAAAGAGCTGGTAAGCAAAGGAATCTGTGGTGCTTTCCATGGGACCAGGGGACATGTCAGCTAATACTCTTCCCTTTCTTCTTCATTTGCTTGTCTCTGCAGCAAATCTCGAGGGGGAAGGGAGAAGGGCAGGAATTGCATAGGCACGAGAGAACGGGAAATCCCGCATGCAGGATTTTGGTGCCTAACAGCTCCCCCTCCCTCTGCAATTGCTCTCGTGCTCCCCCGCCTCTCCTGCTGGCTACCTCTGGACCCCCTCCTCCCTCAACTCGGCGGCCACTCAGAAGCAAGGCACAGAAAAGGATCCCAAAGCACCACCGCCACACCTCTCTCTCTCTCTCTCTCTCTCTCTCACACACACACACACACACACACACCCCACCCCGCCATTTCCCTCGAGCGTGTGTGCGCTCTCTCCCTCGCCTCAGGTGCCTCGCGTGCGGGGCTGAGGAGAGCGTGGCCTGGGTGGGCGGCTCTCAACGTCAAGCGGCGCAGCGCGCGGGGCCTGAGGGCGGGCGGGCTGCTGCGACCGACGGCGAAAGGGAGCGCGCCTGCTTGTGGACGCGCCCGTGTGTGGCAGGTGCCAGCGGTGGCAGTGGCAACAGTGTCCAACTGAAGGGAGAACCGCCGCTGCGCCCTGGCGCGCCTTCCTGCCACCGCCGCCCTCCTCCTCTTCTTCTTCGCTCCCTGCACCATGAGGGAAGAGGCGCCCCGGAGCCGCAGCAAAGGTTTAAAGGAGCCACATGCGGCTCCGGAGCCGCAGGTTGCCGACCTCTGCCCTATAACATGTTTGAGCTAGGGAATGTAAATACTGCAGCTGTTTTACTTGATACATTTACATTTAACCCTTCCTTGAAAGAGCTCAGAATATCATATATGTATTTTTCTTCAGACATGGTTTTCTTCATCTTTTCTTTTATCCTACAAATCCTGTAGATTTAGGTTAGGCTGAGAGACAGTGACTGTCCTTAAGTCACCCAGTGAGCTTCATGTCTGAAAGGAGATTTGAACTTTGACCTGCCTAATCCTAGCTCAGCACTCTAACCCCTACAAGACACTGGCTATACAAATAACTGCTTTTACAGTAACAAGGCAAGTGCTATTTTTGACAAAAAAAACTAACTACATAACCACCTTAATTTATGCTGAGTTTTGCATGATGAGGCTGCCAGGCAAGAGAAGAATAAATATATTGATTTTGAATTTGTCAAGAATAGCAAGTTGCAGTCTTGTAGAGATGAAAGAAGCAAACATCCCAGATTTTCTGCAAAGTTTTTAAAATATCTAACGCTAAGTAATTTTGTGGCATGTGTTACAACTATGCTGTAACCCATGGCAGGATATTTCACACAGAGCATCCTCTTCACAACATGCAGCACCTCCTCCACCCAGGTGATAGTGCAGTACGATCACTTTTTTTATTTGTACTAATCTTCTGTGGAAGATTAAATAAATATGAGTGATGCCCACTTCCACTGGAAAGGCATCCAGAAACAAAATTCTTATTCAAGATGTGCAAGAGATTGGTTTGTTTACTCATTGCATTTGCTGATCTGTGCTTTCATAAGATTTTAAGATGGTGTACGTCAACAGTTGAAGTTCAGTTGATGGTTCAAAGAGCAGTGAGGGGCTGTTTGAACAGTTTTGTTAAAATATGTGAAGGAAAATGTAAAATAACAAAGTATGGCACTTTGAAGATCTCTCGCATGGTAATGTTGGAGGGGGATTTCCAGCCGGTGGCAGAGGACAGAGTGACTCCAGGAGACATAGGTGTAAAAACCCAAACTAAAACGAAGACTTTATTACTAAGCAAATAAACACAAACTCTGGTGGGTGTTATTCCTGCAGGCAGGCAACAAAACTCAGCCTTTTTCCTTTATAGCAACGGTCACCTGCAGCCAATTAATCCCAGAAACTTCTTAAAGGTATACACACATGTTTCTGTGCCGAATGTCCTCTAACAGGTAATTGATATTACAGTATCTTTTATGTGTAGTTAAGGATCCTGGCAAATATATTCAGAATAATGCTTGGTATTAAAAAGGATATTTGCTAGGATTGTGAACTTCAGACATAAGAGATCTTGTATGTTACTACATTGCTTTATGCATTATCTTATATATAGTTTGCTTTCCTTCATGTTTTTAATGCAATTTGTCAAAACTCTTCTCCTTTTATTAATGCCAGACCTGTCAAAAATATTGTTTGTTTCATTTTCTGGTTTTGTATGTTTAATTCCATAATGTTTCTTTTCAGGAAAAACATGTGAGACACCAACACTAGTAAATGGTGGAAGTATTCTCTCATTTAATTCAGAATACACCTTTGGAGCAAGAATTTTATATATGTGTATTCAAGGGTAAGGAAACACCATTAAAGGCCACCAATAACATTTCCAATATACTTTTGCTCTTAATTGTTTTTGCAGAAACTTTGAAAAGATGCAGTCAGTTAAGTTTAGGAGGAGAATCTAAATATATTATTATCATAATCATTATAAATTTCATTATTATATATGTATACCATGCCTTTTACCCTGGGAAGGGACAAGGTGGCTTGCAGATAAAAATAAAAACAGTTTTTTAAAAAGGGAGAAAATAGAGTTTCATACACACACGCAGAATAAAACATTACTGAAAAACATCTAGGATACATTCAAAGCAGCATAATTAACAGGAAACTTAAATATAATCCTAAAAATTTCAAAATAATACATTATGAAAGAGGTTGACTACAGAATGCACATTTAACACAGCGAAGTTAACAATTTTTTATCTTAAGAAGAAAACATTAGTAAAAAGAAGTTCAATATAAAATACACTTCTAAAACAGCATAATTAGCAAGAGATTAAAAAATTACCAAAAGCATAGAAGACATGAAGAATCAGGGCTAGATCGAGCAGTACCTCCCAGCTGTAATCTTGATATTTTAAGGGCAGTAAGACCTTGTCTAGATTGGAGTAGACCTGAACAGCACCGCTCTATGAACTGCCTACCAACTGTACTTCTGATTTATATGGATTGAGCATCACTTGGTTGGATTTTTTATCCTGTACATTCAGATACACAATGATTGGGAGACGTTGGAACACATGTGAGGCAAATGGAAGTGATGTTCGCTGGAGTAATCCACCTCCACTTTGTGTGCGTAAGTAGTGTAAATTATTTACAAATTTGGAGTGATATTTTTTGTGATTAACAGCAGTTGTTTTCTTGGAAATCTGCTTCACTGTGTTCAGTGGAGGTTTGTACCCAGGTGGGGATATAGAGAATTGCACCTGAAGGCTGCAGTCCTATGAACACTTCCTTAGGAGAAAGCCCTATATTGAACTCAGTGGGACAATCGGGCTATGAATTTGCCTTAAAATTTAGTAAGCATGGTCATTAAAATAAGCGAATTAGTTAGTTCCTATTCTGTGTTTGTTTCACAGCTATTCATAAGTCTGTTCTGTCTCATTTCTATAGTAACCTGCTAATTAAAAATAGCCACATGGAAATACATATTGAAGCATGTATAGTCTCACAAAAAGATACATTACTTTTTCTGTTTTTGTATATTTTTGTAAATTTTAATAAATAAAATTGCAACATAGATTATCCATAAAAAGCTCATATTAAACAGATAATTCAGTCAAAAGAAGAGAAGTACAGGGACGAATCATACGCTTCTAAACATATTTTATCCTAAAGTTGTGTTTTCATGGGTTTTTTTTTAAATCAAAAATCACATCTGAAATTTTGGAGTGCAAAATCTGAAGGACAACTTTATTCTGATTCCTTGCATTAGCCTGCAAGTTCCTCAAGCATTTTCAAAATGTTGTACGTTATGCATACAATACAAATAAAGGAAATAAAAAATGTTAGTTATAGGGTTTACAGTTTTGTTATTTAAAATGCTATTGTAGATGTCTAAATGAGATTTCTAAGTTTAGACTAATCAACTTATATCTAAATTACACGGAACGTTGAGCACCCAGAGGTAATTGAATCCCGCCCTGCTTCTTGTTGATAATTTTCTGGTTTGCACTTTCTTAAGTTATTTTAAACAACACCAACCTCCCAGATTAGGTTTTGGTAATGTTAATTCAGCCAGGAGAAAAAAAATAATGTCTCGTCAATTGTAAATGGCTTTTGTCATTTCAAGCGTTTATCTGACAGAGACTATGGTAAGGATTTTTTTATTTCATAAAATTTACACAGCTTGATTGTAAAACAAAAAACTCTCAAAGTGGCTATGGCAGATCCCAGTCTAGAAAATTTCACAAAAGAATTTGCTAAAAACTTCTAAGAATAGGTTAGATCACATAAGAGGTAAAAAGCAGGCAGAACTTTGTGAGAATATACAGTGGTGCCCCGCAAGACGAATGCCTCGCAAGACGGAAAACCCGCTAGACAAAAGGGTTTTCCGTTTCGGAGGCGCTTCGCAAGACGAATTTCCCTATGGGCTTGCTTCGCAAGACGAAAACGTCTTGCGAGTCTCGCCATTTCCCCCCCCGCTTCCCCCCCCTTTTCAAAGCCGCTAAGTCACTAATAGCCTTTTAGCAGCTTAGCTGCTAATCCTTTAATTGCCGCTAAGCCGCTAAATCGCTAATAGCGCTAATCCTCTTAGCCGCTAATGGGGTTGCTTCGCAAGACGAAAAAACCGCTAGACGAAGAGAATCGCGGAACGGATTCTTTTCGTCTTGCGAGGCACCACTGTATATATAGATACACCCAAAGGCATCCAGAAGGCATTTGAAGTAAGTGCTGCTGGCTGTACAGACGACTCCCCACCTACACAAGGGTTACGTTCCAGCACCCCACAAATTACTTTCTTCTTTAGTCCACATTTATGGGCCTATACAGGCACCTCCCTGTATAGGATCGATTGATTGATAAGACAAAGGGCCCTGCTCCATTATTGTTGCTAGTGTAAGGAAAAAGGACACACTTAGCGTTGTTATCTTAAAACTTTGTTGAGAGTATGTACAACATGTCATGTAGCATTCGGTTGAGACGAGAATTAGATTGGGGCCTGGTGGGTAGGGAACACAAAGGAGGCTATGTTCCAGAACGCATCATGGCTTACATCAGGCACCAGTCCATCAGGGTTCTGGTGTCATGAGTTATCGTCATATCTTCCCTATGTTTCCATAAGGAATAAGATTCAGATTGCATGTAAAGGTTAGTGTACGTTGTTAGTAGGGTTACATATAGAGATCTAAATAGATATTCCTCAACAGTAATAGCATTCTTCATTCATGAAAAAGTATAAAACAGAATGTTTGCACGTGCAGGTATTTGAATATAGAAAATTCAACTGGTCTGGAATCTGCTCAGTGCTTGTATAGTATATGTACTTACCCTATTCGTGCTACCTTGAGTTCCATGATGATAAAAGGCAGATATCAGTGTAACTAAAATCTGGTGTAATAACAAAGGTTAGGTTTAAATACATTTAAATGTGCACATTTATCTTGAGCTTACTTTTCAAGTGGCTATGCATTGGGTTGTGCAATAAGGAACATCAGCTGCAGAAAATTAATGGGGCAGTTCTGACCATTATTCTATGAAGCTGGGAATGAGCGCTGGACCCAAGCATCTTCCCCTCTCCCTCTTCTCCTCCCCTGGTTGTGCATCAATTTCAGTATGAAGATCCTGGCTTTATTAAGGCACATTCTCTGTTAACATAAGAAGCAGGAACTTCTGATTTACTTTCTATTAATCTAACAGGAAAATAAGCCAGGATATTGAGTGTATTTCAGTACTTCCAAAAAGTCTTCCTGTCTGCACAGAACTGCAGATGTGTTCCTGTATGTGCAGCTCCCCAGAGAATGACTCAGAGAATCACAACCAATGGTAATTCCCTGCTGCCAAAATGTGAGCCTCTCTTCTTACGATTTTGTTCATTTTTGGTAAAATAAAAAATAAATTAAACTGAGAAATCCAATAGGCATTTAAAATATATCACTTCTAAATAAATATATTTAAAATAGTAGTTGTTACACAGTATGTTTTGGATTTGTCAACAGTATACTGTTGACAGTTCTATCATTTTGCTGAATTATTCAGTTTTCTTTTAGGAGCTGTATGTAAAGACCCTCCAGACATTCCTGGTGGATCCCACAACGGAACTGCATCTATTTATCCTTATGGAACAGTGATCAAATACAGCTGCAAGGAGACTTTCTCACTCATTGGAGAACCTATTATATACTGTGATGTTGATAAAACTAATAGACCACTGTGGAGCAGTAAACCCCCGAAATGCCAAGGTTATTTTTTTTAATATATACCAGTTTTTCCTTCATGATGATTATAAAAAACAAAACCTGTTGACCTTTCCCACCTTACATTTTTTAAGAATTTGAGATAAAAGTCAAAATGTCCAGACTTCATTTTGTCTACTTTTTTGTGTGTAAAAAGCCTTCTGGCACGACTTACCGTATTTTTTGGCCCATAGGGCGCACCGGCCCATAGGGCGCACCTAGTTTTTTTGGGGGGGGAAACAAAGGGGAAAAAATTATTTTCCCCCCAAGCACTCCACAAGCCTGGGGGCGTGCTGCGTGAAGCCCAAAGCCTGGGGGCGCTGAGCTCAGCACGCCCCCAGGCTTCGGGGTGCAGGCAGCTCTCTGGAAGCTGTGGGAGAGCTGCACGACTTGCGGATAGCTTCCTGAAGCCTGGAGAGCGAGAGGGGTCGGTGCGCACCGACCCCTCACACTCTCCAGGCTTCAGCGAAAGCCTGCATTCGCCCCATAGGACGCACACACATTTCCCCTTCATTTTTGGAGGTGAAAAAGTGCGTCCTATAGGGCGAAAAATACGGTATACAGTTTTAACCAATGGATGACATCATAGCAATTATTGATATTTAGGAAAAGGCTAAAGCATTAACTTCCTGGTTCATTAATTGTTAGAAAAGTGATTGCTGAATCATAGAAAACAAGGATTTTACCCAGGATTTTAGTGTACAGGAGTGTGTCTACTCCACATACCCCTTGCAGTAAAACAAAGTCAGGTGTTTTTTCATACAGAATGGGTGACATCATCCCCATTTGTTAAAGCCTACCCAATTATCATTGTACATTCAGTGGCTGGATACATTCCCACTAGAGAAAAGTAAACTGGTCAAATTAACATGGATTTTTCTTCTCTGGATGGAGGTAGGATGTTATAATACTTTTCATAAAAGTCTGTTTTTTCTCCTCACTTTCTGAGATAGAATCTTTTAGTCGGGTTATAGACTAGTGAGAAGTACAGTAAAGCACTACTTCATATTAAAAACATAACAATGCTTCATTTTTAATTATCTGTTTAATATTGGGTTATGGTTTAGTCCCTGTTAGTCAAAAAGCAGGAAAGATGACTCTTGCCCATTAACAAAGTGAATAATTTCCACCAGTAGGTACTTCTACTGGTATGGCACAGAGGATTTTGCTGTGCTTCAGAGAGGGCTTTATTTTCCTTCTTAAAGAAAGTTTGAAAATGTTGCGTGGATTGTGTAATAATGTCTTTCATCTCTCTTGATTCACACACATGCTGAGGTATAGCCACAGCTACATGGCAGTGCTTGTTGGAGAGATAATTTCCCCATGAACTGTTTGATTGCTAGGAATACTGTATGTGTAAGTGCTAATTGGAGGAAATATATTTGGATCCTTCTAAGGATTAGTTCAGGGACGCGGGTGGCGCTGTGGGTAAAAGCCTCAGCGCCTAGGGCTTGCCGATCGAAAGGTTGGCGGTTCGAATCCCCGCGGCGGGGTGCGCTCCCGTTGCTCGGTCCCAGCGCCTGCCAACCTAGCAGTTCAAAAGCACCCCCAGGTGCAAGTAGATAAATAGGGACCGCTTAATGGCGGGAAGGTAAACGGCGTTTCCGTGTGCTGCACTGGCTCGCCAGATGCAGCTTTGTCACGCTGGCCACGTGACCCGGAAGTGTCTCCGGATAGCGCTGGCCCCTGGCCTCTTAAGTGAGATGGGCGCACAACCCCAGAGTCTGTCAAGACTGGCCCGTACGGGCAGGGGTACCTTTACCTTTAAAGGATTAGTTCAGCAGATGGGACTAATTTTGGAGACCTTTGATTTGCAGCAGCCATTACTAAAATAATGTGTATTCCTCAAACAGAAAACACCTGTTGGAAGAGGCCATAAGATAGCAGGAGCCTTTTTTCATCATGTGTTCTATGCAGTCTCACAGAAAAGCATTTATAGTCTCATTTTCAAAGATCTAGATTGATGACGGAATATATTTTTTTTTAGTAAAGTTCAGCAGAAAAAATAACTTGTAATAACGTAGAAATATAAGGATTCTGTTTTTAGGGGATTTTGATTTTTAATATTACTTTCTGCTTTCAGTGATTATATGTACAGATCCAGTAGTTCAAGATGGAATGAAGAAGATAAGTGAGTTTAAAGATTCCTATACCTTTGGCGGCAATATTACATTTGAATGTAAAATTGGATACTTCATGATCGGAAGTTATTTCATTCGATGTGAGGCGAACAATACTTGGATCCCTAAAGTGCCATCCTGCAAAAAGGGTAAGAATTCTTTAAATAGAAAAACATTAGCATTTATGTTTCTGCATTCAACAAGAAGAAGCCATTTAAAATGACATTTATGCCTAGGGCGTGCACATTCCCAAATGCAGGCATGCAAAGAAGTACTGTATGTTGAAACAGATAGCTTAAAGAGAGCTTATTTAGCCTCACTAGTCCCACAGATGTATGTTAGTTATTTGTAACAAAAGCCAAAGTCATGCAAACTCAAATGAAAGATATCAGAAATAATAATTATTAGAACTTGAACATATGAGAACATGTGTAGATATGTGTACAAAGCATACAAAATTACAATATACAAATAGATTCTCAAAGCTGTGGCCACTATTTATAAAACAAAGAAATTCTGCAAACAATACAGATTATAAACTGACAAGATTTCCAGGATTAAATCTCATTTCATATTTCATCAAAATCAGAATGGAGAATCAGTCATAGATGGTCCTCTGTTTTGTAAGACCTCAGCCAAATTTTGACCAGCAGCAACATACTGGTATACTTACTCCTTGCTCAGGATTCTAAATTCTTCCCTCTTGGATTGCAGTTTTGAATTTGAATGTTCAGATTCCATTATCTTAGGAAGTTTTTCAGAATTCATTTTTTTATATTGGAATCCCATTTTTATTACAGTCCTTTGTAATATTCAACCATTTGGTTGAATCCAAATGGTTTAGAGCTTACAGAAGAAACAAAGGAGATGTCATATTATTGTGACTTTATATATGTACATATTATAACATTGTTAAACACCACAGCAGTGCCAGAGTCCAGGGAGTACCAGACACTTATCTAGGGTCTGTGTTTCCTTTTGGAAAATGAAGCACAGTGGAGCCTAGGGTGTCTTTATGATATTTGGTTTATTTACACAAATATACAACCTGAGTCTACGATACAAGGGTGCCCCAGGCTAACACCTCAAAAAGAAATTAAATGACTTAATTAGCTCTTGACACGTGTTGATCTCCCAGGCTTAAGAAATGTCTAATATACACTCTAGGAAGTTTGCCTGACATAATTAGCTTTTCATAAATGCTAATTTCAGAGGGTTCTAACATACATCTTAGACTTGTTCTAAGATTACATTCTTGATTACATTCTAACACTTGGGGGTCTGATACACAGTTTTAACATTCAAGCCTTAATTAAATTATAGCACCCACCAACCTATAACAATATTATTAAACAAATGTTAACATTTTGCATGGTGTTTTTATGAAAGTAAGATAGAAAAAAACTGAGGTACTAAAGGGGATCTATGGCTGTCATCTATGAAGGTAGTTCCCCATCTGTTACTTTGTCTTTTCTTACATATATTTGGGCACCCTCTCCTTTGATTTTTGTTAGTCATTTATGCCCAAAAAGAAAGAAGCTGCCTGATAAAGTTTCTTAGCCTGGTTGCCTGTGAGCTGTGCTTACCACAACCAGTCAAGTGGCTATTTTACAAGCCTGCCCAATGTGTGACTGCTCAGAAAATGCTCAGAGAACAGAAGTTACTTTTGGTGATGTCACAGGAATGGGATTTGCATGACTTGGCCATGAAGCAATTACCGTATTTTTCGCTCCGTTGGGCGCACCGGACCATAGGCCGCACCTAGTTTTTAGGGGGGGGGAATGGCTTCCTCTTTAGCCATGTGCAACCTCTCCAGCTGGGAGAGGCTGCGCGCGGCTTTGGCAGAAGCCAAGATAGCGAGTGGGATGGATCCTGCTCGCTGTCTTGGCTTCGTTTTTAGCCGTGGGGCTGGGGCGGGGAAGCCCAAGCTTCCCCCAACCCCAGCCCAGAACAGGTCCGGGAGCAACGGCAAGATTGCGTGCAACCTCGCCGCCGCTCCTGGAGCTTGCGGGGCTGGGGGCGTGCTCCGAAGGCTTGCGGATAGCTGCCTGAAGCCCAGGGAGTGCAGCGGGAGTTGGTGCTACGCTCCCCGGGCTTCAGGATGCAGACTGCTATCCGCAAGCCTTCGGAGCCCAGCGGGAACTCCCACCAGGCTCCAAAGGCTTGCAGATAGCTGCCTGAAGCCCGGGTAGCGCAGCGGGAGTTGGCGCTGCGCTCCCCGGGCTGCAGGCTGCTATCCGCAAGCCTTCGGAGCCTGGCGGGAACTCCCGCAGCGCTCTGAAGGCTTGCGGATGGCTGCCTGAAGCCTGGAGAGCGAGACGGGTCGGTGCACACCGACCCCTCTCACTCTCCAGGCTTCAGCGAAAGCCCGCATTCGCTCCATAGGACGCACACACATTTCCCCTTCATTTTTGGAGGGGAAAAGGTGCATCCTATAGAGCAAAAAATACGGTAGTAGTAAACTGCATTTTGTGATTTACTTTCATAGATTACTCAAAATTCAGGTAGGTGATATTATGGTAATACCTTGAATCTTACCACAAACTTATAAAAGCAAGGCTAAAATTATGTTGACATTATTTTATATATTTTGTGGTTTTATTTTTCTTGTTATAGTTTCTCAAGATATTTGTGGTGCTCCAGTAATTCTAAAAGGAAGTGTGTATCCACCACAACCTTATTATAACCTTGGAAGTATCATTTCTGTGCGGTGTGATAAAAAGTATTCTTTTCCTGATGAAACCATGGAGATGAAAGCACGGTGCAAAGGCTACAACCAGTGGGATCCGCCTGTACAACTTTGTTTCTGTATGTACAAAGCCAGCTCTGTGGTATTGAGGTCTGTTGATACAGAAGACAAAAACTTTAAAACCCTACTAGGTAGACAAGTCTACTTACCTTAGATGGTCAGGCGGCATTGCAGCCTGGTCAGTGATCCAGCAGTCGGCTGGGGAGGACTGCGGGCCTGCCTGCAGATTGGCCTTTGGCTGGCAGGCCCGAGCCCGGGGATTCCCAGGGACGGGGGCAACCAACCAATGGGCTTTGCTTGGGTCTGCCCCCGGGGAATAAATTTAGATAAGCCCAGCAAAGGCCCGTCTAGTCCAGCATTCTGTTCACACAGTGGCCTATGGGAAGCCCTCACCCAGCACATGGTGCAATTGCACTCTCCCCCAGCAATTGGTATTGAGAGGCATGTTGCCGTTGATATATAACAATTATGACTATATCATATAGACCTTGATAGCCTTATTCTCCATCAGATTATCCAATCCCTTTTCAAAACTGTCCAAGTTGGCTTCCATAGCTACATTTTGTAGTAATGAATTACTGTATTTTTTGCCCCATAGGATGCACCAAGTTTTTTTGGGAGGAAATAAAGAAAAAAAATTTGTTTCCCCCCCCAGGCGCTTGTGGGGCCGGCAGCAGGGAGAAGCTCTATTCTCCCCGCAGCCCGCCTTCAGACCAGGTCCGGGGACAGCGGGAAGACGTGCTGTGCCTCCCAGCTGTCCCCAGAGCTTGTGGGGCAGGCAGCGGGGAGAAGCACTCTTCTCCCCGCCACCCGCCTTCAGACCAGGTCCGGGGACAGCGGGAAGACACGCTGCGCCTCCCAGCTGTCCCCAGAGCTTGTGGGGCAGGCAGCGGGGAGAAGCACTCTTCTCCCCGCCGCCCACCTTCAGATCAGGTGCGGGGACAGCGGGAAGATGCGCTGCGCCTCCCCACTGTCCTCGGAGCTTGCGGGGCTGGCGGCGGGGTCTCCCCGCGGTCAGCCTCCAAACCACTTCGGGAGACAGCGGGATGGTGGCGTTCCGCCTCCCTCTGTCCCCCGACCTTGTGGGTCTGGCGCTGGGGCTCTCCTGAAGCCTGGAGAGCGAGAGGGGTCGGTGCGCACCGACCCCTCTCGCTCTCCAGGCTTCAGCGAAAGTCTGCATTCGCCCCATAGGACGCACACACATTTCCCCTTCATTTTTGGAGGGGGAAAAGTGTGTCCTATAGGGCGAAAAATACGGTAGATAGTTTAACTGTGTTGCATGAAGAGCTTTGTTTTGTCAGTCCTGAATCTCCTAATCAGATTGATTTGATGACCTTGGACTCTAGTATACTATGAGAAGGGGAGAAAAATATCAATTTTTCTTCACACCGTGCATCACTTTATATACCTCTATAATAATAATAATAATAATAATAATAATAATAATAATAATAATAATAATTTTTATTTATAGCCCGCCCTCTCCAGCCAAGGCCAGGCTCAGAGCGGCTTACAATCAATAATAAAAACAAGTTGAATGATTACAACTTAAAAACAAAATTAAAATACAACATTAAAATATCTCCTCGCCGGAGAAGGAAAGGAAAAAAGAAAGAGAGGGAGGGAATCAAACTGGCTCCAAGCCAAAGGCCAGGCGGAACAACTCTGTCTTACAGGCCCTGCGGAAAGAAATCAGATCCTACAGGGCCCTGGTCTCATGAGGCAGAGCGTTCCACCAGGCCGGAGCCAGACTTGAAAAGGCCCTGGCTCTGGTTGAAGCCAATCTAACTTCCTTAGGGCCCGGGACCACTAGGGTGTTGCTATTTATGGACCTTGAGGCTCTCTGTGGGGCATACCGGGAGAGGCAGTCCCGTAGGTACGAGGGTCCTAGGCCGTGAAGGGCTTTAAAGGTCAAAAGCAGCACCTTAAATCTGACCCTGTACTCTACTGCCAGTGCAGTTTGAAAAGCACTGGGTGAATATGCTCCCATGGCAGAGACCCCGTGAGGAGCCTCGCTGCAGCATTCTGCACCCTCTGGAGTTTCAGGGTCAGCTTCAAGGGCATCCCCGCGTAGAGCGAATTACAGTAGTCAAGCCTGGAGATGACCGTCGCATGGATCACTGTGGCCAGGTCGGGGCGGGAACGGTAAGGGACCAACTGCTTGATGTGGCGAAGGTGGAAAAATGTCGGCTGTTGCTGTAACTTGCGCCTCCATGGAAAGGGAGGCGTCAAGGATTACACCCAAACTCTTAATGGAAGGCAATGGCACTAACTCCCGCAAGAGAAGGGAGTTGGTCCCTCATCCCCATGCCATCCCGACCCAGCCATGGGACCTCTGTCTTCGAAGGATTTAGTTTCAATCGGCTCCCACGAAACCATCCAGCCACAGCTTCCAAGCATCTGGTCAGTGTGTTCGAGGCCGAGTCGGTGTGGCCATCCATCAGCAGATAGAGCTGAGTGTCATCAGCATATTGGTGACAGCCCAGCCCAAAGCTCCGGATAATCTGGGCAAGGGGGCGCATAAAGATGTTAAAAAGCATCGGGGAGAGAATTGCGCCCTGCGGCACTCCACACACCAAGAAATGGCGCAACGACATTTCTCTCCCTAGTGCCACCCTCTGTCCCTGACCAGAGATAAAAGAGCACAGCCAGTTACGGACTATGCCCTGTATCCCCACGTCTGCGAGGCGGTGGTCCAGAAGATCATGATCGACCATGTCAAAGGCTGCTGACAAATCTAAAAGGATCAGTAGTCCTGACCCGCCTCGATCCAGTTGTTTACGGAGGGCAACCAGAGCCGTCTCGGTCCCAAAACCAGGACGGAAACCGGACTGAAATGGATCTAAAGCCAATAATGACCCCCCTTATCTTTTTTTCCTAATTAAAATGCCCTAAATATTATACCCTTTCCACAAAGAGTTGCTCCAGTCCATTCATAAACTTCCTTTTCCTTTTCTGCATCATTTCCACCTCTACAATACTGCTTTTTGCATTGCAGTAAGCAGAGCTGTACACAATATTCAAAGTGTTGTTGCACCATAGATTTATATAAAGGCATGCAATTGGCAGTTTCATTTTTCATCCTTTTTTCTAATCCTCATCACAGAGTTTTCCTTTTCACAGCAACTGTAGGTTAGATGGTACTCTGCTTCTAATACCATGCTCAAGACAGATACTGTTTCCCAATTGTCTAAATCAGAGATAGGCAACCTGGACCCAAACCTTATCTGAACACCTCCTGAAGCTATTCATTTCTTACATCCCACAATTCTTTCTTTTTTCCTGGGTTTAAATCTCAGAACAACTAGAAGGAATATATTTTATTTGATGAAGAATAAAATCCTTTTCCTGTTTATATTGCTTGAGAAAAAGATGTCCCACATCCAGCTGTCAGAGAACAAATTGGCAGGCTTCTGCTTTGTGTGTGTATAGCATACTAAAGGAAGAAATTGTTTATTTTCACTGGTTTTACAAAACCATAACTGTATCAATCAGTTGTGCTGAATTTAAAAAAACTTAAATATAAGAACATCCTGCTAGAGCAGGTGAAAGACCCCCCAACATCATATTCTTACAGTGACCAACCAGATGCCTATGGGAAGCATGCAAGCCAGGACACCCAAGCACAAGAGCACCCTCCTCTTGTGAGCTTTCCAACAACAAGTATTCAGAAGTATACAGTCTTTGACCGTGGAGACAGATCATATCCATCATGGCTAATAGCTGCTGATAATTTTATCTTCCATTAATTTGTCTAAATCTCTTCTAAAGCCATCTAAGTTGGTGGTCATCACTGACTCTTGGGGGGGGGCGGACGAGTTCCATAGTTTATATGTTACACGAATAAGGTTCTGAATACTCCAGCATTCAGCTTCACTGGAACAGCTTCTAAGTGTTATAAGTTCTAGAGTTATCAAAAAGGGAGAAAAACTACTCCTTCCAGGTATACAGTTATATTCTATGTATATATACATGTTTATGCATGCATGCATTTTTTCATAATATTTATATACCACCCAATTTAGCATTCTTCGGGCAATGAAAATATAATGGGTGGTAGTCAACTAGTTTTTATACTACTGGAAGGAGATTTCACCCATCTCCTCCCATGTATGGCTTGCACCATTCCTATATCTCCAAAGAGATAGTGAAACCCACAGAAGAGATCTTGGAGGAACAGGAGAACTGTCAATTGCACAAGGATAAATCCTTGCACTGATGGAACATTCACCTTAGTGCTGCATTGACTACAACCCATTATAGTGAATGATTTAATAGTTTGCTTTCCCCTGCTAATGTTCTAATATTAAAACATTATCTCCTTAATAAAATGAAATAGTGAATAATATATTTTAATCCACAGGCCTTTTCTCTAATATAGAGTGCATCTCATCTCATCTCATTCACTTCTGGGTTTCTTTGCAGGGAAGCTACTACCTGGGTTCCTTTCAGGAGAAAAGGAGGGATATAAATTTGATAAATAAATAATAAATGATAGTGCTACTGTACTAATATTAACATAGTGCTGCTTTATTTGACAGTATTGTGCTAAATGTTTGTGGAAGAGGCAATGCATTAGTGCACTAATTGATGGATTTAAATGTACATTGTTTTACTTTATTTGCAAAGCAAAGACTAGAAACAATGGGACAAAGTAAAAATAATAGTTATTTCAAGTAACAAAATGCCCAGTGTAGCGTCAACTATAAACTGCAACTGTTGAATTCTCTCATTCCTTGTAATACAGGATTGGGATGAAGCTAAAATGATGGTGTTTAGGCCATGGTTGCAAAGGTGAATGCTGTGTGTCTTACTCAATAGCTAGCTTGTGAATTGTTGGGACAAGTAAAAAGAGGGTGATGCTGGGTCTCCCTCTCTCTCTCTCTCTCTCTCTCTCTCTCTCACACACACACACACACACACACACACACACACCATTTACCTCTCCTAAGGATCCACAAACTAGTACAGTGGTACCTCCGGTTGTGGATGGGATCCGTTCTGGAACTCCAGTCAGATCCCGAGGTTTCTGCAACCAGAGGGACTGCTTCTGTGCGTGCACACGTGGTGAAACCCGGAAAAATACTTCCAGGTTCGTCGCATGTGTATCCTGAAGGATACGTAACCTGAGGTGAACATAGGTAGAGGTACCACTGTAATCAATATTTTGATGCATCACACACACACAGCTTTGCAACCATGGCCTAAGAGTCCAGCCACACCACAGGAGGAAGCAGCAACAAAGCTACTCTGGTGATGAATCAAAAATCTCAACACCCTGGCTCAGATAGCATCAGGGCTTTTTTCCCCAGCCGGAACTCACCAGAACTCAGTTCCAGGACCTCTCTCAGGTGGGCACCATTGCCTTTCAAAGACAATGAAGGAGGTGCTCATGGTATTTTCTGGCACCTCTTTTTCTAGAAAAATAGCACTAGATAGCATATTGATGCATAACAAAGGAGTAAAAAAAGCCACCCTTGTAACTTTTGCCTCATGCAGTCGTGAAAGAAAATTAGTAAGATTTATGCAAGGTGTCTATTGTGTGCATTTTTTTCTGGAGTAGCTCCCCTAAGAAGTCTGCATGGAATTACCTCTGGTGCCATCCTGGAAACAATTATGCCCCTTCCTGCCCCTTTTCACAGATATTAGTTTTGGGGAAACAGACAGACCTGCTCTTAGAGAAGGGAGAAATTGTGGAGGAGAGGGCCAATTCAAGTGGAGCCTGCTTGGCAGCTTTTTATCTAAGCAATGAAAAGGGGTAGGGGGTCAGCCCTCCTACTATTTTTTTCTGAATGATGATTTTTGTTTACACTCTTAGGCTTAAAAGGTCCTTCTAGATCTATACATAACATCAATGGGTTTTCTTAACATTTTGTACAGAACATTCTGCATCTTGCAAATCAAGTTGTATAAGTATGAAAGATTTTGGAAAATAATCTTATTTCTATATGGACTTTTGTGTTACTTTGTTTATGATCATTATTTGTTTTCAGTTAGATTATCCCCGGACACTGCTAAACTCCATATCCTTAATGGAATAATAAAACAAGGGAAAAAAGAATACTATTACCCTGGAGATGAAGTTATTATTGAGTGCTATGCTGGCTATGTTTTGAAAGGATCATCTAAGATTAAATACATTGGTGGGGAAAAATGGTTGCCTAATATTCCACATTGTTATCTGAGTAAGTATTAATCCTTGTGAAAATGTAACATGCCAAATATTTTTCCATTGATATGAGACTGCCTTCTTTTAAATATATGCTTTCATAAAGGTACAAAATCTAGACAGTTTATCTCACAGTAGTGCATCAAAATTTAAAGGATTAGCTTCGCCCTCTTTGTAGTCACTTCAGAGTCTCCTCTACTACTTGATATAATGATCTAGGAAGAAGGTTATTTATTCTGAGAGACTGGAGAATCCATTTCTTTCACCATTCCCTCATAGGTGAACCTACCCCATCACGTCCCTGCCCAACCAGCTTTTTTACTTTTTTGTAATACTGTTTTTATTGAAAAGCAAACAAAACAAAACAAACAAAATTAGTCATTGGTTTTAATCCTTATGGCCAGTTACCGTATTTTTCGCCCTATAGGACGCACTTTTTCCCCTCCAAAAATGAAGGGGAAATGTGTGTGCGTCCTATGGGGCGAATGCAGGCTTTCGCTGAAGCCTGGAGAGTGAGAGGGGTCGGTGCACACCGAGCCCTCTCGCTCTCCAGGCTTCGCGGACCTCTCCGCAAGCAGCAGGAGCGCTCCCGCTGCTTGCGGCGAGTTGCCTGCATGCCGAAGCCTGCGCGCGCTGAGATCAGCGCATCCAGGCTTCGCGGACCTCTCCACAAGCAACGGGAGCCAGCGCTGGGCTCCTACGGCTTGCAGAGAGCTGCCTGTTTGGGGGCTGGGGTCGGGGGAAGCTCGGGCCTCCCCCGCCCCAGCCCCGCGCCTGGGGGGGAAATAATTTTTTCCCCTTTATTTCCCCCCCAAAAAACTAGGTGCGCCTTATGGGATGGTGTGTCCTATAGGGCGAAAAATACGGTACATACAAGTATATTTTCATCATATAAACATATATTGAAGAAGATGGCCAATGAACCTCTCCAGAAGGAGCTGTGAGATACCGTAGGTTTGAGCACTTCTGTTTGGGAGCTAGTAAAAGAAATAAACTGAAACCAATCTGTTTCAAGCATGTCGTTTGTAGTTTCCCTTCTATCTAGCTAACACTTTTGTATGATCTTGTCCATTAGCGCCAGATGCCACACTCTGTTACACCATTTACGAAATGAACAGCCTTCTGTGTCCTTCTACACATGCACAGTAGAGAAAGCAAAGCTATGCCTGTGAGATAGCTCATTTGGTAGAACATACTGTAAGACTCTTAATCTCAGGATTGCGGGTTTGAGCCCCACATTGGGCAAAAAGATTCCTGCATTGCAGAGGGTTGGACTAGATGACCCTTGTGGCCCCTTCCAAGTCTTTAATTCTATGGATCTAAGACCCGCTTTCATTTCAACCTTCTGGTGTAGCAGTTCAGATATGGCCATGAACACAAATCACCAAAAACTTGTACCTTTGAGCACTCACACCAAAGATGAATGAAGGTCTCTAATATTTGGTTACCTCTCCAATATACAGGTGGAATGGAGTTGTCAGTGTAATGTAGGCATACTGGAGTCCAGTGCCATCTATGAATAAGTTTCAGTGTTGATTCTTTAATTTTAGTGGGAATAGTTTTAAAAAGAGGTGTGTGCCCATGCACCCTCTGTGACACGTTGAGATCTGATTCCTAGAGTGATTTATCTACCATGTTTAAACTGAAAAATCAAGTATTTTATATGTATCTGTTGCTATCCCCCTCACATTTCTAGAACCAATTTCACACAGCTTCTTAAAACAGACTAAGGTATTTTGGTGCATCATGAGTTTAAAACCATTGTTTTATTATTACATTTATTTCCTACCTTTCCTCTAAGCAGCTCAAGGATGTGAGTATAGCTCTGTTTTCATGAAATGTGAGGATTTGTAAGTATGTAACTTATTTTTAAAATGAGACTTGCAGCTTTAGTATTGTAAAAGGAAATTCTAATCCTAGCAAAAAGGGGGAAAAAGAAAAAAGGGATTTGGAATTAATGAGTCAAATAAAGTCAATGATTATTCTTTTAAACCTGTATGATTTCTAGATTAGTATAGGAGAAAGTTTAAAGTGGCCAAGTCATATATGAGAGTACGTGCAGTAAATGAAGCATATCAACCAGTTGTGATATGAAATCCACCTTGAGCTGCAGTACTTTCTTATGAGACTGCCAGTCTGAATGAGTAGACTTTCGAGAAATAGTCTTACAATGTTCTTTTCTGAGAAGTTTGCTTATTAGAACCATTTCCCCTTCTTTTCTAGGTATTTTCCTGAGAGTACTTATAGCTGGTATGTAATTTATTGAATCCCCGCGGCGGGGTGCGCTCCCGTTGCTTGGTCCCAGCGCCTGCCAACCTAGCAGTTCGAAAGCACCCCCAGGTGCAAGTAGATAAATAGGGACTGCTTACTGGCGGGAAGGTAAACGGCGTTTCCGTGTGCGGCTCTGGCTCGCCAGATGCAGCTTTGTCACACTGGCCATGTGACCCGGAAGTGTCTCCGGACAGCGCTGGCCCCTGGCCTCTTAAGTGAGATGGGCGCACAACCCCAGAGTCTGTCAAGACTGGCCCGTACGGGCAGGGGTACCTTTACCTTTACCTTTTAATTTATTGAAAATGAATGGGAGAAACAGGAAGATGTATTAAACATATTTAAATACCAGTGCTTTGTACAATTTCAGATGCTTTTTACCAATAGCAAAAAATACTGGGTCAGAGATAAGCATTTTGAAGTTTCACTTTTTGGAGAAAGTTAAGTCCATGCTTAATTCTCCTTATTAAATTAAGTCCCCTGGTTTTCAAAAGGGAAAATTAAGCATGGATTAAAAATCAGCTCATGCCCCTAGAAGTTTCTCCCATGTTTTTCTTTGCTAGACAGGATTTACTTTTTGTTGAATTGACTCTGAACATTGTGCACACCATTGATGCTTTGTAAATTTTCCACATTTTATCAGTTTAGCACTGGTGCTCAAATATTTGCTCATCAATTGATGAATCTCATCCTTGGGTCCAAAATCTACAAGTACATTGTCACACACAACACACACACGGTATTTACTGGTAATAATTTAAAATGATTTCTGGTACTAAATAGCAGTGTAGGCAGTGAATCACCAACCTTTACTCCATCATACTAATTGGTGTTTTTTTGTCTTGAAGTAACTTATGATCACCTAATGACAAATCATCGCATTTTATTGTTAACATTCAATAGGTGTTATTATGCTTTGAGTAACATTTGAAGGACATTTTCAAAACTAGTTTTGAATTATGCATGTTTTCTTGGCCTCTCATGAGCCTTTTTTAATAGGATAATATGGTGTATTTTTCTTGTGTGTGTTTTTTTTTCCTTTTAGGGTGCCTATTACCTGTATTGATTGTTGGAACCAAAATGGTTTATCAGAAATTTTACTTAGAAAGGTAAAACATCTCTTATTACTAAACTCTTTTATTTTCTGTTTTCTGTTTCTGTTTTATTGAATTTTCAATTTTACATCTCAAAACAAAAATTTTCATACTATTTTATCTCCAATGACTTCCCTCCTCCTTCCATGGTTCATTTTGCTTGTCTATCATTCCTGCACATTTTACTTTAACCATTTTAATCAGTTCTCCACTCTTACATCACTCAAATATTCATTACACGGTTGAATTTATCTTAATGTTGCCAGTGTTTTCAGCTGTATACAATTACTTCCATATACTCAATAAATATTTTGCACTCTTCTTTGAATACATGTTCTTCTTGCTCTCTTATTCTATGTGTTAAACCTGCTAGTTCTGCATATTCTAACATGTTAAGTTGCCAATCCTCCTTGCCTGGGACCTCCGTCGCTTTCTATTTTGGGGCTAACAAAACTTAAGCCGCCATTGTTGCATACATTAATAATTTTTTCTGGCACCTAGGAATTTCTGTCTGAACTATTCCCAACAGGAAGGACTCCGATCTTTTTGGGAAAGTTATTTTAAACATTTTTTCAACTCACTGTAGATCATCTCCCAATATTATTTTACCTTTTTACATATCCACCACATATGAAAAAATGTTCCCTACATTTCTTTACATTTCCAGCACATATCTGATTCTGTTCTATACATCTTAACCAAGCTGTTCGGAGTTACAGTGAGGGGGAAAAGTATTTGATCCCCTGCTAAATTTTCCCATTTGCCCTCTGACGAAGAAATGACCAGTCCATAATTTTAATGGTAGGTTTATTGTAGCTGTGAGAGACAGAATAACAACAGGAAATCCCCAAAAAGGGAAGATAGCTCATCTCTCCTATGCTACCCTTGTGTATCTAAGATGACTGGGCAGCAGTCCAGTGCCTTTAAGGGAAGCCCACCATCCCAAACTGTACTGTCTCATGTTGTGGCCTTCCTAGAAGCCCACAACCTTTTCTTATGACACAATACACACAATCAATTCCTTAAAGGACACAGCTTTCAAGATCTAATAATAGATATTGAACTGGTTCCACCTTCTATACAGGTTCGACATAAAGAGACATCTTGCTGGATGCCATACTTGCCTTTTGATTACAATTTCATGTTTTCCAACACATGTGGTCATGCTCCAGATTTATACTTGTGTACTGCATTATATATTGGACTGAGATTAAGCCAATTCAGAAACAGCAATTAGTTCAATCTGGGGCTGCAAAATTGCTAACTGGGATTAAGTGTTGTGGTCATATTATGCTAGTGTTTCACAAACTGCATTGCCTCCAGATTCAATTGCTAGTACTTATTTTAAAGCCTTTCATGGCTTCTGTTAAAGCTTGTTGTCTCCAGATACCTGAAACATCATTATGTCTGCCTGTCCATATGCTAACATCTCCAGCAGAGCCCCATCACTGGGTCTTGAGATCTAATAGTGAAAAAACAATCTACTGGCTATTGTGATTAACTGTGCAATCCTGCACATGTCTACTCAGAAGTAAATCCTATTGAGTCCAATAGGACCTGCTCTTAGATAAATGGGCAGGGGGTTACAGTGAAAAGAAGGCCTTGTACATTCACAAAGCACTTCCATGAGGGAGAAGGAAGCCTATTTTCTGTAATTACTTTTCAAAGATAAATGCAGCATCTTTTAAAAGTAAAAATAGTATTCTGTCTGCAATGATATTGTGGTTTTTATATTATGGTGTAGTGGATTGGGTTGGTTTTGGTTCCAATCCATTCCCACCAATTTATATAGAATGATATAGGTTTTGCACCTTGTTTGGTACCTTGCTGCAGTTTTGGTCGCCTCACAGTAGTGATATACTTCCATACAGATGACCCCCCTGAGACATGGAACAAGTATATAGGTGGAGCTCTCCATTGAGCCTAGAGAGGTGGAGAGGCCTAGATTGGTTAGCTGAAAGAGTGGGTTGACCATACTTCCCATTCTCTGACAGGGCAAGAACAGAGAGCAGAGAGATGCGGCAGAGCACAACAGCTACCAAAGAACATAGTTTGCTGCCAAAGAGTAAAGTAGCAGTGGCCAGTCCTAACCTACTCAGCAATGACCTTTCAAGTGAAACATCCAAGAGGATAGCAGTACAAGGAAAATTGGGCCATCCCCGCAACTTCAGAAGCAAATCAGTGTACTAGGTAGACTCAGCTTATTTCTGCCCTTTCTTTTCCTTCCCTTTCTTTTACCTTTAATACCCCTTTCACCCTTTACTCATGTGTTAAATGAGAGAGGCAGTATTCTATTTAGGGTGGTCTGCAAAGGCCACTGCATCATCAGTATTAGTAGGCTTCCATAGTGCTGCATCCCATAATAACTGTGTATGGCTCCCTCATCTCTATGAACTCAGCATATGGTCTCTGGAAGATATGTGTCCCTACATATATATTTTTAATGAGAAAAAGCAATAAAGGGACATACGATGCAGCAGCACATTCAAAAACTGCAAGATACCGAATTTAGGGCCATATTTATCTTAAAAATCAAATAATACTTGTATCTGTGATCTGATCTACTTCCCATCTTTTAACATGTGTCTGAATTTAAATTGTGTTAAAGCCAAAATTCTCTTTGCTAATCTTTAGCTAATGCTGCATTTCCGCACTCACATTCAGTAAATAAACGTGCAAAGAAATGCAGGTACCTCGCCGGTTACATTCCTGAGTGCCACATGTATATATGAAATGACGTATAGTGGGGAACACCATATAAAAAGCCTGTAAACACCCTCTAGACTCCACCACAATCGCTCCTTCCTAACCTCCTTTCTCAAACTCCAGCTCTCTACAGGCCTCAAAGGTTGGTGCAAAGGCACCTGGGATTGCTAGCCATCTCCCCACTCTTTCTTGCACCATTTTTGCACTTTCCCCACTCTTTTCTGGCTGTTTCTGCCCTTTTTGTGGTTTAAATCTTTTTATTTAATTACTTCCTGGCATTGCATGTATACGTGGTTGGGCATGAGTGAAATGTGCATAAATGGGGTGATGCTTGTGTGGTATGATAGTTCACACAGTAAACTGCAATGTCCCGCAAACCTGTGCCTATAATATACACAGTTACAGGAAAGTGCCTATTTCAGATTCCACTTTTCAACATTTTAGTATTGAATGTGAAAATTCTATAAACACAACTATAAGTTAAAGAGTAGATATTTGCTTCAAGTAGAAGAATATGGGCCAGACTAAAACCTATATGCAGGTGCTTGTTAGCACAGTCCCAACGGCTACTTCAGAAGGGGATTATTGAGAAGCAAGAAGAGTGCTCCTTTGCTCACCACTGCTCTGATTTAAAATGGCCCCCAAAGTATGCGCTGGGGCCAGAGATACGTTGCAGAGAAGCAGAAGGCTTAAGCAGTCTTCTCTGAAAAGCTGAAATGGGTTGCTAACATGGTGCCCTTCAGATTGTTGGACTACAACTACTGTCATTTATGACCAGGGATGGCCTATCCCATTTCACCACCTGTGACAAAAACAGAATGTGCTTTTCTGTGCCCCTTGCCACCCCCTCCCCACTTCTGCTGCACACTGTAATGCTCCCATCCACCCCCCGCTCATGCTGAACTCATTCCACAAGGCTTTGTCGCTTTTCTTTTCCAGGGGTGAGGAAGAAAAGTGAAGTGACACACCAGAATGCCCTCCACTCTCACCAAACTCAGAAAAAGTGGGAGCAAGTCTGCAAGGGCTTGATGCTTGGGGACTGGGGAGAGAAGCTGCAATGCAGCATGCTGGAGTGCTCCCGACAAGGGCTGTTCTGCCAGTGTTGGGACACCACCTCTTGTGCTTCTTCCACCTGACACAGCCACTTCACCCTGCCTCATGGGCAGACCAGCTCTGTTTATGACTACTGCCTGTGCTGCCTGGGACTTATGGAAGCTCTAGTCCAACAACATCAGGAGGGCACGATGTTGGATTCTCCTGATCTAAAACAATAAGATTTCACTGTAAATTATGTTTCAGTTCTCCTATAAATTACTATGAATGACATCATATGTGCTTACTGTATTCATATTTTGAAGTTAAAGTTGCTCCAAAGAATTCACTTCGCCATCTTGGCCTCGCAACAGCCCTGGGAGATAGCTGAAAAATAGATGCTTGCCCATATCTGCCAAATGATCTTCATTGGTAAGCAAGAAAATGTTTCTAGATACTGGAAAATCTACCAATTCCTGGCAAACTTCCAACCTCAATTAAATATTTTTTGATACTTTAATTCACCTGATACTTAAAATGAGGAACTACTTCACAAAAATATTTCATAAAATTGAAAAATTTATGTTCTTTGCTTACAGTCCTAGATAGGGACAGAAGAACTTCATTTGTGGTTCAAACTGAGATCCATTAAGTGTGGCATTTTGTTATTAGAAGCAGCCAGCTCACAACCACAGTTTTAGAATGGTAGGCATCCCTTATCGCTTGTCCTCAGCATCTGTACTTAGAGTTCTTCGTAGTCTCTATACAGTCCATTGTGTGGGTTCTGTGCCCAGAGCAGTACTAAGAACCTTCTAGAGCAGGTACCTTTCAGATGCTTTGGACTGCAAGTCCCTATTCCATGACCCTTGGTTGTGCTGGCTAGGGCTGATCAGAGTTGGCATCAAAGAGTCAGGAGGAGACCAGTTTGGGGGAAAGTTGGGCTCTTAAAAACATTTTGGTAGGTCTGCTTCCATTCCACATGATGTATTCTCAAGCAGTATGCTCCCATCCCCCTCAGTTCCTTCTTGGCCACTGCAGTGGTTGCATCTTTGAAACTTTATCACCCTTCCCCCATTCCTCTTTATAAAAAACCAAACTTTATTCTGTTTTATTTTCTCTTCTCTCTATACACTACTTTCCCTTCCAAATTTTGTATTTTATTTCATCTCTAGGATCTCTCTAGACCAGTACTATTTTTCTAGAAAAAATGGTGCTGGAATTCACCACGAACACCTCCCTCGTTCTCTTAGAATGGCAATGGCACCCACGTGAGAGGTTCCAGAACTGAATTCTGTTGAGTTCTGGCTATAAAAAACCCCTGCTCTAGACTATCTGAGACATCTTAGTGCTCCTCCAGAACCTGCCCCCTTTAAATTTTGTAAATATTTTTTTGCCATGCACGTAAAGCTGAATGCACACAAGTTACTGGCTTACTGTGTATGCCCAGACAGATGTTTTAGTTGTCTGTCTGTTTTAAATGACACGTAAATCATAATGGGTTTTGTTGATGTTCAGCTGCTTCTTTCAAAGACTTTGCATTTTAGAAAGTTACAAATGTCACTGTATAATGATATTTCGTATTTGAGATTGGTTTTCTTTTCTTTTCAGGCACTTGATTAAACGAGCACTTCCTAAAAGCTACAAGAGATAAATTGTAAATTTCTGAAGATAATTATACACTTACATGAATCAAAGACTTTAAAGTTGAATTTGTATTATATATTAATTTACAAGAAATAAAGCATATACATGAATATAAGATCATAAATCTCATTTTTAAAAATAGATTCTGTACCTAGTGGCGACTGGTACTCATGGAACAGTAGGCAGGGAAATCAACAGTAGGTGGAGTTGAGGCCAATGATAGGCATAGCCAACTATTTCTAGTCCCGCCCCCCAATCTCACCATTGAATTCTGCATTTGGGCTTGATTGGGGCATGTGACCCTCACCTGTCCTAAGAGCTACTCCTGCTGAGGAATCACACACCTCCTCCCAGAGCTAATGCACCCCACCTGGCCAGCTAATGAGCTGAGCTGTGTGCCCTTGTCTGTCTCAGCCTCCTTGAGTGTACCTGCTCCTCTTCCTTACGCCTCAGAGCCCATCACGTTCATGGAGATGGAGGCTGCTCTGGCTCTGGGTAATGGGTCCTGCTCCTCTGGTTCCTGTGCTGGACTCCCATCACATTGCTGACCTCTGTCACCCCGTGAGTACTTTCTATGCCCCCAACGTCTCCTCCACCCCCAGCTTGCCCTGGTGTGTACCAGTCACAACTATATCCCTTGCCATGATCCTCTTCCTCCTCCCCGTTGTCCTGCCAGTTCATGACGTTATATGAAAAGAATTAGTACCCAAACTCAGACATATTCAGATACAGTATATAAACAGCCGAACCTGTGTGCTACTTTAAACAAATAAGCAGTCTTAAATAAGCTTTTGGGTTTTTGCGTGTGGCCGGTCTATGGCAGCTGTTTCTCAAGAAACCATTGGGGTGGTTGTGTATGGAGAGATTAGATACAGTGCTACCTCGGTTTACGAACTTAATCTGTTCTGGAAGTCCGTTCTTAAACCGAAACCGTTCTTAAACCGAGGTGCGCTTTCCCTAATGAGGCCTCCCGCGCCAGTGCCCTTCTACCATTCGGATTCCATTCTTAGACTGAGATAAAGTTTGCAAACCAGGACACTACTTCTGGTTTTGCAGAGTTCCTAAATCGAATTGTTCGTAAATAGGGCTGTTCTTAAACCAAGGTACCACTGTAATAGCATTTTTGCCTTCCTTGTTTGCCTTTTTCGATGTTTCAGAGGGTTTTCCCAGGTTTTTTCATCATTTTGGGGTCATATTTCCATGGTTGGGAACACACTAACAATTTCCGCATAGCAATCAATGGAAATCGTCAGCTCATGTAAATGCTTGCCTAACAAACAATTTCATGAGAAAACATAGTGTTCGGATATCAAGACCTGCATGCAGTTGCTTAGATACACTTCCATGCTACGTGCTTAAAAGTCATGTGTTGCCATCTGGTTGGCTGGTAAACTTAATCCTCAAATTAAAACTTTAAAATTATTATTTAAGTAACACCATCAATGTTTATGATACTTTACTGAGTAACAAGTAAAAAAGGACAGGTCCTGGAAGTCTCCAAAATCTGAGTGTGCTGAAGAAAACAAAGGTTCAGATATAGGGAAATTCAGGCAAATTCAGATGTAACTATCCCAGCTAAATAAATCATGGTTTGTTAAATTTAGAATGTGCATAATACCTGCACACTTCCCTACTTCATCTTCGCTTTGTTGCATACTGACTTTGGTTGTCAAATCATGCTTTGTTAAAGCCACAATTTCCCGTTACATCTGGGAGAGGTAGCAATTAAAAGTGGATAGCAGCAGTCAGTCAGCCAGCCAGCCACTAATTATTCATCATTGCATCAAATATTTATGTAGGCAGTAATAATTGTTATGGATTTAGGGACTTTCTTTAAAGAAGCCCACATCTGTTTCTGTTGATACATAGTCCTGTTTACAGCAGCTCCTAGTACATCTGTATTTCCTGCAAACTCTGTACTTTCTGTTGCTTCTACTGTTTTCTAGAGAACAAGCTTGAGTCAAGTCCACCCAGCTCTGTCTACCCCTTCTCTCTATGTTGCTTCCACTACATAAACATCCCATAAGCTAACAGCACACTGTCTCTTTTTTTATTCCAACTGTGCTTACATCCAAATGAGGAAAGGCTTGGCTGGGAGAGAGGAAAGCAGTTTGTGTTGATTTATCTGAGAAATTCTTTCTGCGGGATATGGGGGAAATGCAGCGCTTTGACAATCCTGGTTGTATATGGCTATGGTGTAATAGATTTCTGTTGCAATACATAATAATTCTGGATTAAAAAAAATAACTAATTTGGTACACAGGCTGAGACCCTATCTGCCCATGGACTGTCTCGCCAGAGTGGTGCATGCTCTAGTTATCTCTTGCTTGGACTGCTGCAATGTGTTCTATGTGGGGCTACCTTTGAAGGTGACCCGGAAACTACAACTAATCCAGAATGCGGCAGCTAGACTGGTGACTGGGAGCAGCCACCGAGACCACATAACACCAGTCTTGAAAGACCTACATTGGCTCCCAGTACGTTTCTGAGCCAGTGTGGTGTAGTGGTTAAGAGCGGTAGTCTGCTAATCTGGGGAACCGGGTTCGCGTCTCCGCTCCTCCACTTGCAGCTGCTGGGTGACCTTGGGCCAGTCACGCTTCCTTGAAGTCTCTCAGCCCCACTCACCTCACAGAGTGTTTGTTGTGGGGGAGGAAGGGAAAGGAGAATGTTAGCCGCTTTGAGACTCCTTAAAGGGAGTGAAAGGCGGGATATCAAATCCAAACTCTTCTTCTTCTTCTTCTTCTTCTTCTTCTTCTTCTTCTTCTTGGTAGTGGCACCCGCCCTGTACAACACCCTCCCACCAGATGTCAAAGAGAAAAACAACTGCTGTACTAGACTTTTAGAAGACACCTGAAGGCAGCCCTGTTTAGGGAAGCCTTTAATGTTTGACAGACTATTGTATTTTAATATTTTGTTGGAAGCTGCCCATAGTAGCTGGGGAAACCCAGCCAGATGGGTGGGGACTAAATAATATATTATTAGTATTATTATTAGTAGTATTATTATTATTTATTAATTAACAAATGCTTTAAATTAATAAATCATCACTGGATGGTTCTAAATTATTCCTCCCCAGCCACTCTCTCAAAGCTACACCCTGTCTTTCTATTTATATTCCAAGTGCCTAATAATCTGGTTAAAACATATTTAGTTTGTATTGAAAATCAGTAAAATGTCAACCTTGAAAGAATGATAAAACAAAAGACAATGTCAGGTTCAATATATCAAATAGAAGAGCCAAAGCAGCAATAACCAAAAGACAAATACTTGTTCAAATAGAGATGGCTCTCCAGTAGCCTAAACACCCCCAAAAGATGGGTCCTGGCAGATTTCTGGAACAGATATGAAGGGATACAGCTGTCAGTTACATATTTGACTAGTCATAAACCACAAGCAGCACCCCACAATACTGGGATAATAATACCGGACTGCATTATATAGCTGTCATAAACCACTTTTTCTCAGCCACGTCTAGACCCTCTCTTCAGCCTGTCACATGGTGTAGTAAAACTGCATTGCACTGTCTAGGATTTTTTTTTAAAAGAAATTGATTTTTAAAACCTTAAAAAGCAGCAGGAACCATATTTTCCCCACTCAATAATACTTCGATGTGAGAGAGCATGATTTCTACACTTTTTTCAAAGTAATGGGACAGTCCACCAACATATCACAGATGCGATACAATCCTGGATTTTCCCCGCTGTCTTTCGCAAGCAAGCTGTCGTCTTCCACTGAGGTGGGGAGGAATGAAACATAGCGAAAAAGTACAGTCTGCAAAGGATCCATCCGGCACTCTAGGTGGGAAATGCTATAGGGGGGGAAACAGGGAACGCGAGCTGAACAGCGACCATCGCGCGTTGCTCCCCGCAACGCGGCCCTTCACCGAACGCTTTTACGTCACTCGCCCGCGGAGTCGTGAGCCTGCCTTCTCTTCGCCGTCGCCGCTCAGCGTTATGCAACGGCCGTCCTGGGGGCTTCTGCTGACCCGCCGGCTCTTGGGGATGTCGATGCTGTTGCTGCTGCCTCAGGGACTGGTGGGTGAGTACGAGGAAGGCAGGCGAGTGACGACGGAGCCTCTAGCGACCGCTGAGCCTCCCTTTCTCGCCGCCACCTGCCCCTTCCCCTCCCGCCCGCTCACCTTCCCGCCCTCTCTCCTCGAGCTTGGAGAGGCTTCGCAAAACGCGGCGCGCGAGTGGGCGGGTCTTTCCAGGCGCCTGAGGTAAACGCGGATGTCCCCCCGCAGCCCGCCAGGTGGCGCCGAGGTGTCCGTCCTCCTCAGCCGCGAGGCGGTTGCGCGCCGCCCGCCGCGTCCCAGGCTGCGGCCTCCGTCGGCAGGGGCCTTTCTCTGCCAGGCGGCCTTTCTTACTCCCGAGGAAGCACGCATGGGGAAGACCTTGGTGCCTCCCAGAAGGGTCTTTTAGGGCGATTGACACAATAATAGTGCATTAGCGGTGGGGTTGTTCTACTTTATTCTGTGGTGCTTCACTAACTCATATATAGATAGATAGATAGATATAGTTACAGATTTAGATATATATAGATATAGAGATATAGATATATACAGTGGCGTAGCGTGGGTTGTCCGCACCTGGGGCAAGGCAAGTAATTTGCTCCCCCTAACCCGTGGATTTGCGCCCCCTAACCCGTGGATTTGCGCCCCCTAACCTGTGGATTTGCCCTAACCCCAGATTTTGCGGCCGGCCCCCCCTGCACCCCCCACGCTACGCCACTGGATATATACATATATATATATACACACACACACAGCCGAGCTAGCTGCAACGCATAGGTCAGTTAGTTAACTATTTTTATTTATTTATTTACTTACTTGATGGGGGGGCAGCTGTAGAATGAAGAACCTAAGGTTAATATCAATACATAAAATCATATGGACAAGACAAAACAAACTGTGCAGGGTCTTTATACCTAGTTGCTTATCTAGCTGAGCGCTTTGAGAGCACCTGGTGATCCACTAGAATTCAGGATTTCAGGGCTTTCCGGTGGAGGGAATACCACCAGTAACATTCCACCTGCCAGTACAATTCAGTGGACAAAGGGGGAGATCTTTGCTGGCAGAGTAACACAAGTGGCACACTGTCAGCAAAAGGAGCCACCAGAAATGTCTTCACTCAATCTATACACACACACACCAACCTGGCATAGGGTGATTGTGGATTGCAGCCCATAAATTGCAAAGCCTTTAAATTCTACACGGGATATTTGGCAACATAAGAAATAAAACTACCCCAACAAAAAAAATGAGATTCATGTTTCCATTACATCACATCTAAAATAAGACTTTCTATTCTTGACATGGCACAGATACCAAAGTGCATCTGGCTGCAGCCTTTGTTATTTGTGTAAGTGAATCAGATAATCTCAGATTAATGGTGTGTGAGCCTTTCCTGGTCATCTCTGTAAAAAAGAGTGCTTTTTTCTGGTGGTACACAATGGTACGTAGTACCACCACCTTTTGGGGGGGGGAGACAGGAGGTCTCTCAGACCCCCGTCAGAGTATCACACCTCATTCACTAATCTGGGTAAATGCAAGGCGCGACCCCATCTCCTGGCAGAATATTGGATTCATTCCTGGCTAATTTATGGGTTCATTATTTTATGATAGTGTATGTATGTGCTTCATGCCTACCTGTTATTGCATTTTACTATTAGGAGGGCCCAAGTTCTGTATGTATGTATTTTACTGCTTGTCAACTGCTACAGAGGTTTTAGCTTGAGAAGTGTTATAGAGAGTAAAGAGACATGTTCTTTATTTTCTGTGGAAAAACTCCAGTTGAAAAGAGTTAGCTGGAGGATTTTTTTTGAAGGGATCAGATTAAGATGGTTTTGTCCTAGACCTGCGGCAGATGTAAAAAAAAAAAAATCTGTGTCAAAGGTGGATTGACGACTCATTGGGAAGGTTGAGGATCCTGGGTTCCTCCATTCCACTGACAAGCTGCCAAAGAGATCTGAAACTGCTAGACTGAGAGCTGGTAATTAATTTCTTCTCACTGGAGAAAGCCACCCCACCTCAGAAAAACTAGTTGCTAAGGACGGCACAAACCAACAAGGCTTAGGACCACCACCACGAACCTTGTAGAGCTTGTCATAGGCTGGGAGGCCTGGGATGTTTGTGACATGACAGTGTAAGTGTGGCAGGCCCCTGGCAGGGCCTTCCAGCCTGCTTAGCTCCCGAGGCCTGGGGCAAGTGTGCCCAGTTGTCGCCCTTCCTTGCATGGGCCTGGCTTAGGAAACTGTGATAGATCTACCACTCTGCTCTGCTCATTTCCTTCAAAACGCATTCCAGTAGGAACATTTTATTTGAAATTAACAAGAACTGTGTAAGAACATCAGAGCTAGTTTCACTGGAGCTTGCAGAAGAGAAGATTAAGGATATTGAGTCCTCAGTGTGAAAGGTGTCTGCTAATACACACTGTTTAATGAACTCAACTTAAAACACTTTCACTGCATTGTCAGTGTTTCTCTTTCATTATTGTTTGTTATAATTATCCCATATTTAGTTTTTTAGAACAAATATAGTGAAACTGTAAACAGGACTTTTACTTCCAAAGGCTTATGTGTCATATTAATCTTTGTCTTTTTATGTGAACCCAGAGGCCTGTGATGTTGACGATTTACCAATATTTCCCTTTTCTGAGGTCAGTATGTTTATATATAAACGCTTCGCAGTATATGGATGCAAAGAAGGTGCTGTAAGAGTACGTGATAAAACTAACACAACTTCATGTATTCACGGTTCCTGGACACCGTTGTCAGACCCCTGTCATGGTATGTGTTGCTCTAAATGTGTTCATTTATTTTAGTGATTTCTAAAAAGTTACTCTAATGCTTTAAACATAAGAAATACATAAGAAAGTCAAGCTTGCAAAAATTTGCCTGATAACAAATGTTGGAAATGTGGGGAGACTGAAGGTACATTCTTTCACCTTTGGTGGACACGCCCAAGGATTAAGAACTTCCTGGAGATGATTTATAATGAAATGAAAAAGGTATTTAAATATACCTTTCTGAAGAAACCAGAGGCCTTTCTCCTGGGAATGGTCGGCCAATTGGTGCCAAAGAAGGATAGAATTTTTTTATGTATGCTACAACAGCAGCAAGAATACTCATCGCAAAGCATTGGAAGAGACAAGATCTACCCACTCGGGAAGAATGACAGATGAAGCTGATGGACTACATGGAACTGGCGGAAATGACTGGCAGAATCCGAGACCAGGGAGAAGAGTCGGTGGAAGAAGACTGGAAAAAATTCAAAGTATATTTACAGAAACATTGCAAAATTAATGAATGTTAGAAGGATGCTGGAATGAAGTTACATGGTTTTAGTAGAAAGGTTATAAAGAACTAAGTAAAAATGGATTGTTAATGGGTCAAAGTGTAGAATTTAAGGCCAAATTGGGTTAAGATAAATTATAGAACAAAAATTGAGAAAGATGGAAAGGATTTGCTGAAATAGCTATGTGAATTAGAATACAAAAAAGGGAGGTGTGAGGAGGTCTATGAAACAAGCAAATGAAAGATAAAGATATGGAAATACTGGATATGTTTTTAAATGTTTTTGTTTTTTAAATGTTTTTGCTTTTATTATTGTTTTGCTGTATTGTGGTTTTTTTGTGTTTTACTGTGCTTCTTATTTTTGAAGCATTGTAATTTATTATTGTCTTTTTTCTTTTTTCTGTAACTGTCAAACCTTTAATAAATATCATTTTAAAAAATAAAATAAATAAACATAAGAAATACCAAGCGTCTCTTAATTTGTGGTTGTGATTGTACCCACACTTACTTAGAAATAAACTCTAATGAAATAAGAAGAAGTAGATTGCCGGAAGAAATATCAACAACCTCAGATATGCAGATAACACAACCTTGATGGCAGAAAGTGAGGAGGAATTAAAGAACCTTTTAACGAGGGTGAAAGAGGAGAGCGCAAAATAAGGTTTGAAGCTCAACATCAAAAAAACTAAGATCATGGCCACTGGTCCCATCACTTCCTGGCAAACAGAAGGGGAAGAAATGGAGGCAGTGAGAGATTTTACTTTCTTGGGTTCCATGATCACTGCAGATGGTGACAGCAGTCACGAAATTAAAAGACGCCTGCTTCTTGGGAGAAAAGAAATTACAAACCTAGATAGCATCTTGAAAAGCAGAGACATCACCTTTCTGACAAAGGTCCGTATAGTTAAAGTTATGGTTTTCCCAGTAGTGAAGTGAGAGCTGGACCATAAAGAAGGCTGATCGCCGAAGAATTGATGCTTTTGAATTATGGTGCTCTTGAGAGTCCCATCGACTGCAAGAAGATCAAACCTATCCATTCTTAAGGAAATCAGACCTGAGTGCTCACTGGAAGGACAAATCCTGAAGCTGAGGCTCCAATACTTTGGCCACCTCATGAGAAGAGAAGACTCCCTGGAAAAGACCCTGATGTTGGGAAAGATGGAGGGCACAAGGAGAAGGGGGCGACAGAGGACGAGATGGTTGGACAGTGTCCTCGAAGCTACCAACATGAGTTTGATCAAACTGCGGGAGGCAGTGGAAGACAGGAGTGCCTGGCATGCTCTGGTTCATGGGGTCACAAAGAGTCAGACACAACTAAATGACTAAACAACAATAACAAAGACAGCAGGTGACAGAAATGGTGGCCAACTCATGCCTGGGGCCTGCAGGACCCCTTTTTTGTGGGAAATATTTGTACTCAAGATGGCTTTGTTTGTCATAAGTAATAAACCTTAAGGTTTTCTTCTGCTCTCAACATGCACTACAAACTCTCTCTGCGCACTAGTGCAGCTTATTTACCAGACTCCTAGCAGTTCTATCCAAGTTTTGCCTATTTGCTAAATTGTTCGATATTTTTCTAGGAATTTCTTGTGCAGTTCCTCCAAGTAGTCTTGATGGCTCTCACAATGGGACTGGGACTTATCCTTAAGAAATAGTGATAAAATACCATTGCAATGAGACTTTATTGGTCATTGCAGCACCTTCCATTTCTTGTGATATTGTTGCTAATAACGGTAAAGCACAGAGGAGAGGGGAATTCTCTCTACCCACATGTGGAGGTTGATTTTATTTTCATAACAATTTTATCTGCAGTGATGCTATTAAAAAAGCCTACTGACTTGCTAGGAAGCTGTGTGCTGCTATGTCCAGATCAGTGATAGGATTTTATAAATACATGTGTTGTGTATGTTTCCTACTTCCCTGAGTGCTCCAGTGTTTTGCCAAGTTTGTCTTCCTTTTGAAGGAGAAATCACTGGAGACAGATGTATATTTGAAAATAAGACAAACATTAAAAGAACAAATAGAATAATGCTGGAGGAAAACAGAATATGCACTTATAGCAGGCCACTAGAATTGCTGCCCCTGCCATCATATCTCTCAGCACTCCTGATTCATAAAGATGCTAGCTAGCTAGTTGTCAATGACAATCACATAAGCAGAATTATTTGACTCTTCATGTTTTCCTATTAACTGTTTGATTGCTAGGAATCTGATTTCCCAATAGTGCAAAAGCTAATTTGCGGAAAGATAATGTTGAACCCTCACAGGAGATGGATTTATTTTATCAACCAATAATTTTGCACAACCATTACAAAAGTATTCCTCAAACAGGAAAGCACTCATCTGAAAAGCTGTTCCTCTTCAGAAATGTGCTTAATGCAGTAAAAAATGTATTCAGGGGGCAAAGACAAGCTGCTGGTGGGCCTGGGGAAATGGTGTGGGGTTAAACCTCCACTCTCTCATACACATTGCAATCCTAATCTGAATTGAAGTTTAGTGAGACTGCTTTTCCTGCAGAAAGTGGCTGGTTCTAAGACCACTTAAAAGAAAAGTGTGCTTGTCATAACATGCATTTGACCCTTAGTGGCTGTTCCTTTAGGTGATTATACTAAAGTTGCACAATTATAAATGATGAAAAAATTATAGCAACCCAAAGTCTAAACATTTCTTTTTTTTTATAAGATATTTATTAAAGTTTTCAATTTTATACAAAGAGAAAAATGCAAAAACAAAAATAGAAAAAATGTTAAAAACACTTAAAGATCACAACTTATTTTTCAATAACATATTTCCCTGACCTCCTCATACCTCCCCTTCTTGTTTTCTAGTTCAAATTATTTGTTCAGCAAATCCTTATCTCGTAACATTACCACTAAATAACACCTTGTTTTCTATCCAACTTCTTGAAACTTAAACTTTTACTTTAAACTAACCATTTTTTCATAACCTTTTATACCATTGCAGCTAGAAACCACTTAATTTCAATCCAACATCATTCAACATTCCTTAATATTGCAATATTTCTGTAGATAGTCCTTAAATTTCTTCCAATCTTCTTCTGCCGACTCTTCTCCCTGGTCGCGGATTCTGCCAGTCATTTCTGCCAATCCCATACAGTCAATCAACTTCATCTGCCATTCTTCCAGAGTGGGTAAATCTTGCGTCTTCCAATACTTTGCAATGAGTATTCTTGCTGCTGATGTAGCATACATAAAAAAAGTTCTATCTTTTTTTAACACCAACTGGACGACCATGCCCAAGAGAAAAGCCTCTGGTTTCTTCTCAAAGGTATATTTAAATACCTTTTTCAATTCATTATAAATCATTTCCCAGAAAGCCTTGATCTTAGGGCACGTCCACCAAAGGTGAAAAAATGTACCTTCATTTTCTTTACATTTCCAACATTTATTATCGGGCAAATGGTAGATTTTTGCGAGCTTGACTGGGGTCATGTACCACCTGTATATCATTTTCATAATATTATCTCTTAAGGCATTACATGCCGTAAATTTCATCCCAGTGGTCCACAACTGTTCCCAGTCAGCAAACATGATGTTATGTCCAACATCTTGAGCCCATTTAATCATAGCAGATTTAACCGTCTCATCCTGAGTGTTCCATTTCAACAGCAAGTTATACATCTTTGACAAAATCTTAGTTTTGGGTTCTAACAATTCTGTTTCCAATTTTGATTTTTCCACCTGGAAGCCAATTTTTTTATCCAAATTATAAGCCTCCGTTATCTGAAAATAATGCAACCAATCTTGCACCTTGTTTTTTGGTTTCTCAAAACTCTGCAGTTTCAATCTATCTCCTCCTTGTTCCAAAATCTCCCAATATTTCGGCCATTTGGCCTCCATATCGAGCTTTTTCTGAGCTTTCGCTTCCATTGGCGACAACCACCTTGGGGTTTTATTTTCCAATAAATCCTTATATCTAATCCAAACATTAAACAGAGCTCTCCTGACAATATGATTTTTCCCACCTGAAGAGTATTCTATTTCTTCTCAGTAGAACAACCAGATCTCTGTAGTAAGCCCTTACGTCCAAGATATGTTTAGGTATATCCTTGAAGATCTCCACAAATGAGTCTTCAATTTCCAGTGTTCTTTGGTAGTGCAAATTCAGAATTTTATCTCTTTCTTCTTTTGTTCTTAAAGTGATCAAACAATCTCTTGCTTTATTCTTTCCTTGTCTTTTACCAAGTCTAAATGCACTCACTATCTTGAGTTCTTCATTCCCCAGGTCCTGTTGCCAAAAGTCTGTTAGTTCCTTTGTAAGGAAGTCTACCAGGTTATCTTTCTCACTTTCTGGCACTCCTCTGATTCTTAAATTCCTCTCCTTTCTTTGTAGTTCTATCATAGACAGTGTCAGGTCATGCTCTTCTAGTTTCTTATATACCGGTGGTATCTTCTCTTGAACAACAGTTGCGATTTCCTTAGCTTCCTCTGCTAACTTTCAAGTCGAGGCCGATTCCTCCAGTAATTTTTTGA